AAATCGTTTCTGGGCTGTGGTAGGTGTAAGAAGCATTTTCTCTGTATCCAGATTTTGTTGCTTCTGTGAATAGATTCCATTCTAAAAAGTAACGCCAATGTTATTTATTAGCTAGAAACAATGTTACATGAAGGCGTAACAACGGAGAAACATAAAGCAGAATCGTTCGAAAAACAATCTGAACAACTGCGCGATATTCAGGAAGAACTGTCTAATCACAAGCAACAGTAAGAACTAAATTTTACAGCAAAGAAAAAAAATCTAAGAAAGCTAATATTCATTAATTTGGATCTAGATTAAAGAGAATTGGACAACTTCTAGACTCGCTATTAAAATCTAGCAGTAAAGGTTCTAACCAAAGCTATTTAAAGAGTCCTTCTTATAACAAGCAAATACTAGCAGGAAACCATTGATACGGAGTTTCTAATTGAAAGCTGCCCGCTTAAATTTCCTGTACATGCCAATTAATTATATTAGGTTTATGCGATAGTAAATAAATGTGAACTGTCATAAGGATGTTAAAGGCTATTGTGTACTATGTGAAACTGTAGATCATTCTAGTCAGTTTTAATTGTATGCATTATTGAACTGCGAAATGTTAAATTTTTGTATATTAGTTTTGTTAAGATAAGAATTTTCAAAACAATTCAGAGAATTACAGAGCTTACGAAAGCTCAAAGAATTAATGAAAAAAAACTATACTTCGTTTCATGTGCTTAATTGTGACTACAAATTTTACTTTATCGATCATTTCAAGTAACTATGAACAATAAAATTATACCAATAAAAATGTTTGCAACACCAAACTGGATAATTTACCGCAATAAGTTAATTTTACGCTGTATTATATATTACATCCTAGCTTGGGATCGCAAAATAGATACTTTATTCACTCTATTAGATTAATTTTACGTGTAATTTTACGTGAACGCTGCAAATTCACCCTCGTGATATCAAATCTATATTGAAATATAAAGTTTCCATCCTATACCACTATCACATTGTATGGCGATAAATTGTCCTAAATTATTACAGTCTAGGGACATATATACATTCTTAACATATTTGTTGTGTCGACAAGTTACAGCTGCCAATAGTTTAATAAATAATGAATGGTACACATTATTTGCATACTAACTCATATATATATATAAGATGGAAATAAAAATTATAACACGTTTATTAAAACCACTGCATTAACCATGATTTGTTGTGGCACCGGCCATACTAATATAGAAGTTTAAGATATGACACCGCTGCTGACTAGTAAAGTGAGGGAGTAAGAGATCAGGTGAACACTGTACCTACTGAATTTGAATAGAAATGGGTCAATAATTGTAATCGTAATAAGAAAGTAATCAAATTCATTATTTGCTTACACGGCATTTTTCGTAAACAAATAGATATTGTACGTTTTGATACCGTTAATGAGGAGACAAAATAAATTCTCATGTATAATTTTAAACATTAAAAAGTATTTTAAATAACAGATTAATAAATTTGCGTATATTATTATGTGTCTTGAATGACCTTTGGCAATCATCCTTATGTAAAAAATATTTACTGCTAACTCAAAATATGTAAGGCCTTGGCATCCATTACGAAAATATAAAGTATCAGGGCACACTGTAATCCGGCCTTAATTGTCTGACACAAAAGATAATTTGACCGATTCTGAACTTATTCAGGACCAAGAAGTTTCTGATTCGTCGAAACACCATTTACTAAATTTAAACTAGCGTAATAATGAGTAGAATAGTAAAATAAGAATTTCGGATATAAAATCGAAAAAGATAATTTTGGTAATCCTGTAATAATATAATAACTATTTGTTAAAACAATACCTGATTAGGATTAATTTAACTTTCAATGTTTCAATGTTTCAATTAGCAATTGCTAATACGTAAGCTACATGCACTTTAGATCAGGTAGAATTATAAATCAAATCTAGTTTAACAATAGACCTTCAATCATTCAAGAAAAAAGGATAAATGTAATACTCTCAATAACTAATTCAATATTTTTTTAAATTTTTCTGTAATTTATCAGTTTTAATGCAGTAAATTTTAAAAGCCTGTAAAAGCTTTCGAAACGATGAAGCAAGTCCTATTTATAGCTTAACTGATTTTAAAGCCCGAAACCAATTCAAGCTTTCATCTCTGTAAATTTAATTTAGTTTTCTTGCGAGATTTGCAGTGCATTATTGCAATTAAAATCAAGCAATAGAATGCTCAATTGGAGAGTATTTCAATTTTTATTAATGGTATCAAGGAAGGTAATAAAATATACTTGAAACTTGGCAATAGTTGTAAGAATTCTTAGCTTTCCACTGTTATCAAATATATGTACATGTCCATCATAAAGTTTATATTTCATTAATTATTGTTAAATAAAGATAAAACCATAATTTAACAGCTATTTTTACAAGAAATCGCAAGAGCAAATATAGAAATTGTAAATGTAATTAATCTAGTAACAGTAAAATTAAGTATATTCATGCTTAATGAGAAAAGTGATAAAAAATAACATAACTTGACATCGTGGTAAGATTTATGTAGCTTTTATTTTAGAGTTCTATAAGGAATACTTAATTCAGTAGCACATAGAAATAGTAACGTTATATAACTTGCGCTCAAGATTTTCTATTAGATGGAGATAACCAGATTAGTAGAGTAAAAGTAAGATTTTAAATACGTAATTCATATTTGCTAGTTTATACTTTAGCTAGATTATTTGCTGATTCTATTTTAATATACGGATAAGCAGATGCAATAGAGTGATCAATAATAACTATCGACTTAGAGCACTAATCGTTTGCTATAAAAATTTCTATTAAGAACAGTCTAATTAATTATAAAATAAGGTTAGAATGCTATCATGGTTATTGTAGCTGCAAAGGTTACGAAAAATATATGTAAGCACGCAACGCACTTCAATAATTAAACTGTCTTGGTATAAATTATTTTAAAATTCTTTATTTTAATTTCTTCAACAGTTTTATTACAATTTTGTTTAGTTTGGGCCTAGTTTCTTATTAATGATAATCATTTTTAAATTTTGATCTTACTATATAGACCGAAATTAAAGAGCGTGTGGTATAATACTGTTCATCGGGGGGCATCTTAAATATATACGAGAAATATTTAGAAGTATACCTTTAAATTTACCTTAAATTCTTCTTAGACAGAGCATCACAACCTTGAGAAATTAGCTCGTAATGTTTATATATGACAGTATGTAAATTTTTCTTTAAATTTTAACAATATACTGTAAACTTCTCAACGTTTATTTTACGTGTTAAATCGAAATTAGAGACTCTAATCTTCGTTTTATGATGAAGAATCACGACTGATAGAAGTGTTCGTCAGATTAGATGTAGTAATTAATAGTAGTTGGTGTTATAGAGTTAGTTAAAGAACTCAATTTTATTATTTTTTTAGGTAGTTTTACAGCAATATAAAATTAAAAAAGACTGTATCCGCTGTCGAGTTGTTTGAACTACCCAACAGAAGTAAAGCATGTTCATTATAGATAAAAATAAATACACCGATTTATGATTTAATTGCTGAACTTGAGCAGATTTGAAATATTAAAGTCACACAGCAAGTATTTCATGAAAATTTTTATATAAATTATTATTATCAAGAGCTAAAATCTAAGTTTTTAGTTCATTTCTAAAAATGTACGAATCTCTAAACTTTTAAAGATCAATTTTATTATTAATAATAACTTCGTTTCCATCGCAACGTTTTGAATATTGCAAAGACAACGAAGTACAATTACTCTGGAAATATAAACGGACACTAGTCCATAAAATAAATACAAATAAATATTAATCCCAGCGATTTCAAGTCTTCTACAGTATACATATCGGTAGTTCAAAGAAAAATTTCGATTATTGGTATATGCTATATATATATATATACATATTACGCAAGTTATATACATATTACGCAAGTGATTACGCAAGTTTTATTACACGACCTCGTTGATCAAGCACTTATGGTAATATTGCGGCAGGTACTTACGTAACCGTAAGAAAATGAATATGTATTGTACGCTAAATGAACGATTAGACAAACTTTTCATCCGTGAATCGCTCAAAAATTTTACATACACTAAAGGAACGATTAGGTAAACTTTTCATCCGTGAATCATTTAAAAATTTTATATTGAATTGTAACATTACTTTGAAATGTCTCAGTGTAAGACTCGATCGAATTTATAGAAGACACTATTTTTCCACTCCGATGGCAGCTGGCACAAGGGATCATTCGAACGACATCAAATTGCTAGGTCCCTGGAAAGAGAAGGTTAGCTTAGCACTTTTATTGCCGTGAATCTTTAAATCAAAGTGATTTGAAAATTGTAAATATTTACTCTGGCAACCTGAAAATCTACTCTAATCAAATCATTTACCTTAACTAGAGTTAAGGTAAGAGTTAACGTAAGTGACTTGATTGCGTATAAACTAAATAACTCAATCTCAAATTTCGAAAAGGAGTTTGGCTATTACCAGAAAACTGGACATCAAATAAAACAGATTTCAGTAAAATAATAACCGTTTACATTACCATACTGCATATGAAAAAATGAAATTTTATGATGAGCTATAGCGCGCGAAAATACAATCATTTATAATTATTTACAGGTACACATTACGTAACGAAAACTTTCTTATTAGTCTAACAGTAATTCGTTCGATACTGAATTACTGTCAAAATAAAAAGGTAAACTAGGAAGGCAATATAGACCATTAACTATCGAAGTCTACGGTAACGTGACTATAAATACAACCCTTTTATCGATAGCACTAAAATAAGTAGGATAACTCTTATGATTATTATTTGGAATTATCTGTATAGTCCCTAGTAATAAATTTGACACACTAGCTATTTATAGGAAAGATTTTCAGTAAAATTGAAGCAGTTATCCGTGTTTTATTTTGTAACAAAATATCTTCTTAAATCTCCAAATTCAAAATTCCTAACGTATTTTTTTTAATCGTTTAGCTGTACCTGCACGTTCTTAAAATTTTGCTTAGTAGAAGCGTCAAGCAAAAATCTAAGCCATATAGAAGAATTTTCAGCCGTTTTCGCATCTAACTTATATTTATTACCTATTAATGGTAGAAGCATTCAATAGACTGTAAATCTGTAGGCCTATGTAGCTCTGAAGAGAAGAATACTATTTCACTCGTTAACAGTATTTCGTAATTTCGTAAGTACCTTCTTCAATATTACATAAATATATCATGTGTGGACTATGATAATCGCCTAGTACCATTAGCCACCCAGATATGTCATAACACTTGCAAAACTCACTTTTAAACTTCGTATAAATATCAAAAGATAAAAATTCTTTAAAACATGGAAGATTGTAAAAATTCTTTACACAAAATTTAACTTACAGCTGATCGCTCATTGCCTGAACGATTAAATTTGCGTTCATAAAAATAAAGTTTTGTCCACAGAAGAGCAACCCAATAAGTTTTCCAGCGGGTAACCTATTCATTATATTTATTACTTACGGTATCAACACACGAACAGAAATAAATTCAAGGTAATCTAATTATTAACAGAACGTACTCGCAGCTTTTGTCCACGCTTAAGATACGTCATTTTCCGTAAACAGCCTTGCATTGAAAAATTCATCCAAGGAGAAACAATTTGCGCATCACAAGCCGAATGGAGACTTTAAATAAGTAAATTTATATGCTATCAACAATTAAAATAAAAACCACTACCATCTAGTAGAGAATGCGATTAATAACAAATTTACCTAGTATAGGACAATTTATCAGCCAGTATAGAGTTAATACTCTTGTCGCTATCTGTATTTCCGAAACGAGAAAGTTTTAATTAAAACTATAGTATTTTGTGCCAGTATAGCTAGCTCTACAGTATATCATTATAGTTGATAAAGTCTTTAGGATATAAACTCATACCGATTATGGGTTTATGATCCGCAAGGATACTATCGTCAAGCGGATGTTTGAGATTTGCAGTTCTATTCAATTTGTTAATAGGATTGCATAAATTAGTATAGTGCACTGTTTACTGTATGCAGCTGTTCATTCTGAATAGTTTCTATGCATCTGTTTCCATACTATTCTTAGATACAGTACATGCCAGTGTTCACAGAAAAAGACATTCTAACATTGTCGTATCCTTTTCACGCATCTCTTCTGAGTCTAATTTATTTTCTTGGAGACCAGGGTGGGATGCTGTTGAGTTAAATTAAATTTTAAGGAAACTATAAGAAAGATCGCGCTTTTTCACGACCGTAAACCAGCTGATATAATTAACCAGAGACGAACCTTCACAATTGATGCCAGAGACTGATTCGATCTGTTCGGGTTCAAGATCTAAAGATTTCCTGGTAATAAATAAAACTGATATATCATACGGAAATGTAACCTATATACTGTGCAGACTTGATGTTCACAATATAAATTTCGTAAAAGATATGCATTAGCAGTTTTAATAAAGTAAAGTATACATCATAGAACGCATACGATAATTTTTGTTATTACCTAGTAAACGATTCTAATGATTATTAATATTCTACATACATACAAATTTACTAATCAGATCTTAAAATACGATCATTATATATGTACCTGCGTATACTATCATTGAACGTTTTTAATGTTGTGTTAACAGGGGGGGAGGGAGGGAGTGCAGATACAGTACAATAAACTTATGCTATCCGTGACATGCAATGATGAGAAACAAGAGTAAAGAGCAATCTATCGTGTATTTATAGAGATCACATCGCTGCAATATACCGCATCGATCGTATGATATACTAGAATGTGTACAGTACAGTACCTGTAGTATTCCGCTTCCAAGAAGTTCTGAAGTTCTTCTATGTATTTAAACGACTTCAAGTATTCTTGTATGTATGGTACGGTTTCTATGGTATCTAAATAAAAACCGCGAAAATCGTATACTTAAAATAGTCAATTTAAATAAGATCTGCATATACAAATCTTAACAGGCGTTACGCAGAAGTACTTATTTTGTAGTTTACATGTATATACGAACCATAATTAGAATCTTGGTATGAAGCGATGATCCTAATGATATTATTTATCTAGGTATAACATCGATTAAAACCGTTTGTGAAAGAATATACATAGCAATCTTGCAATTTCAGAGCTACTACTACACGAAGACTCAACCAATCCGACTATATGAAAACCAACCTTCGTGGATATCTTGTCCGATTCTCCCAGCTCGTTAGCAGGTTTGTTGTATGCAGCGTAAATAAACATCAGATCAGTTAAATACAACCCTATGGTTCAAATTGATAAGATTAAATTTCAGTTCATCAAGTGCACGTTATGGTTTGGCTATATACTATGAAGCGCTAGTAACAGCTTGATCTGCAGTATACTGAAGAGCAAATTGATTATATTGTATCAGTATCAAATCTAATAGTACTCATATTCATGCATAAATATATACTGTATTATTAATACAGTACAATTTATAAACTGAGCAGTAAGATACTCAATACAGTATATAAGAATATGTGTATCACCAAGATACGGAATCGCCGGGTTTCGAAGATTTTTCATGTATTCTCGCAATTTTTCACTATAAATACATATAAAGCTTTAATCAGTACTCATAAATTTTTATGTACAGTATAAACTATAGCATAATACGAGTAATAAAATGACTTTACTTATTCCGATGTTCAGCTAATAATTCCAGCAGTTTGTCTAGAGCACTTCTATCTTTCCTTGTTATAAACTAATATATATGTACATATATGTATTATAGTCAGATTTCTTTTATCGAACAATCACAATCAATCCACAATATGTGCTATATATTGTACCGTCCATGTCCTATGCAGTCGATAGATAGGAGCGCTTTGCAATCCGGAAACTACTGCTTTTAATGCGTGCAAATTATTTAATTCAAAGAGTTTCTGTGATAACGTATATAATTAATTAAATATTAAAATTACTGACAATGCCATTACTGTAAATAATAGTATTAAATTCTAGGAAAGTAACATCTTGTACTGCAGTATACACTATTTCAGAATATGGACACAGCACTACGGATCGTATTTATGTATATAAACCTTAGCAAGTTTGGTAAACCAGCAGATAACTTCAGCTCGAATCCTGGCTTTCTTCTTGCTAAGAATTTCGTTTTGAACCCAAAAGCATGTCTAGAATGAAATAAATCATCAGGTGAGCAATCTTCGAGATATCTTGCGATGAAGTCGCCAAGTATTTGTTTAAAAGATGGCAATCCAGAATGATCCGTGAGGAGTAAAAAGATTTAACATCCCATCAAATCTGAGAAAATTTTCTCAATGTTGAAATTACCGAATTAAATCGTTGCGCCATGGCAGTAACGTGAGGAGCATATAGTTTCTTATCTCTTTTCGTCCATGCACAACCTAGCAATTCCTGGTCACACACATTTTCATTAATTATTAATTAGTATCGGCATGAAGTTATATATCTGGGCTGAATCTGTTACGTATAATATAGAAATAAAACGATGTATAACGGCAAAATATTGCACCCGAGCATTTACTTACTTCTGGCAGAATTAGTTTAAATGTCCCAATATCGAGTAAAGTTATTTGTGCCTGTAAGTCATACGTATATACACCGTACGTATTTCATAAGTACAATGACAAATTCCAACAAACATTCATTTACTGAGAAAATCGGATTAGATAAGAGTGTGCACCAGATACTGTAACACGAATGTGCAACTTATTTGTACAGAATGTAAATCAAGAATATGCACATTTCGCAATAAAGTACAAGCGTGCACGCTTTATTTTTTTAAACATTTAATCTAGCCAACGATCGAATATACCGCAAGTCTTTCGGGCGATTCCATGAGGATATCGAAAACGACTGAATCGTATGCTATTCCATCATATTTGCTTTTCAAGAGCTAGAAATTAATAGACATTTATCGTTATATTTAATATAATGTTACGTGTGTACTCCTAAACACAGAATTTTTAAAATACTATGTGAAGATGTACTATAGCTGTAGAAGAAGTGAGAGAATATAAAAGATACAGCAGCGTATGTTAGACCATGACATGATAATATATGAAATCACTTGTCTATTGTAGTATCCTTCGTTAGTATTTTTGTGTTGTACTTGCAGATTTGTGAATAATCTAAATGAATGGATAACGTGCGGTACCCTTATATGGCTTTAGAGACCGTAAAATTTGCAATTTTGCTATACTGTACTGTCCTACGAAGTTTATATTTACATTTACTTAAAGTTTAGCATACTGTACATAAATTGATACTATATCTAAGGTAGGTCAGTATTCTAAAGATACTGTTTATTGCATTCTTGACCGAACGCAACCTTACTGACTTTTAGTCATTTATACTCTTAAGTATATACGAGTCATTATTTTGATGCTACATACATACGGTAGAGTCGAAATTACTTAAATGATTTAAGTAATTACGTACGCTGTTGTCAAGCTCCGAAGGATTGTCTTCTACCTTTCTATCTTGAAGAATAAATGGTAAAGATTGCTTGTATCGGAGTTTTCGTGCCATTTTAAGAGGAGTAAAGAAGTTTACAAAGACATTGCAAACTCGTTACATTACAAATTTCGATTGTCGGAAACACTAGCACTTAACTAAAGTATAACTAAAGTACAACAAGAATAATACTATCGGACATAGAACTGCAAGTATAGGTGTTCTTACGATATTGTAGAATATCAATTACTGTAATTTATTGAGCTAAACATCTATCAAGAGAGATACAGTATACCGCAGCAAGGAAAATACCAAGGCAATTTTGATAAATCGATCTAACATTAGTTCTGTAGTAATTATTATTATTCATTCATGTTTGAAAATGGCAGATATTGTACTGTACAGCACAGTAAATTTGTTTAATTAATTATACAGTACTGTATATTATTGCTGTACTATACTGTGCTGTAGTGGTGTACTGTACAGTACAGTTCAGTATTTAACCTTACAGTACTGTACTGTATTACCGTGGCCCGGCCTACAGTACATTGTACAGTACAGTATACTGTATACAATGTACAGTACAAAGACCGCTTTGATTTACTGTACTGTACTGTACATTCACAACCGTTTATTTTGTGCTTTTCCGACGTGACGCAATCACGATTTCAATTTTACTTACTGTGCAGTTAGTACTGTAGTTTTATTTCCTTAAAACTTGGCCAATTTGTCTGGACAAGTGTTATACTGTATATACAGTATATATAATGAAGGTATACTGTAGAGCTATTTCAGCTACATTGTTGGATATGTCACATAGGAAATGACTGGGTGTACTGTACAATGTACATATCCTTACGCTATACTGTACTGTACAGTATGTGTCCAGTTCACGGGTACTGTACTGTACTGTAACCGTGCATACAGTACGTCATTATTTACGGTCTTCACTAGTAGAGCCTAAATCTAATATATCATCAATTAATTAATTAATTATTGTATCCATCTATCAAGTCGGAGAATACGGAAACGCGTGGTCAGAAAAGAATACGATTACTTCGCGAACGCAAAGCTCACTGTCTGTCGTTCAGCCGAAACTCCAGGAGATAGGGGATTAAAACAACATCGTGAACGCTAAGCTGCCCGTTACTTAGCGGAAACGCCAACAGCTCGCTTACAGTCTCGCACTCTGCGAAACATTTTTACGCAACTAATAACGCTCAACACCCGGTCATTGACCGGGCCTCTTTTACTCTTGTAATATTTACCGTATTTTGTATTTTTATATCTTTGCTGTTTCGTGTGGACGTAAAGTAGAGGAGTTATACACTATACAACAGTGTTTTGCAACTTCCTTCTTATCCACTCCGAATCCGAAGTAAATTTAGTCCCCTAAATCCGACTCCAACTTACAGCTATGCAGCTTCAGTTATATACTGCACCATACAGTATAAATTTAAGAGAATTTCCCTTCAAGCTTCTGCTACTACTGTGTCGAAATACAGTCTTACTAGTCGATCCCATCGGTTATTATACAGTACTGTACAATACAGTATGATATACTGTATAATCTACTGTACTGTAATGAGTGTAATCTAATTAATTATTATTAATACTGCACGATCTGTCTGGATTACTCAGTTCTAAATACAGTACAGTATTTCTTAACCGAGTGTCTCTTAAGTATCGACAATACTCTTAAATCTTCTCTCTAACCTATTGAGCTATATCTTAACTCCACGAATCATAATACTGTGTATTACTACAGTTCTTCACTGATAGTAGACTGTATACAATACGTTACTAAGTATTGCTAATTAATAACATTGTGATGAACCACTATAAGTTTCGATGGCAGTAGTCTATCAGTTGCTGGGGAATCATTACGATGGCGGAAGTCCGATTTATAGATAGTAATAATAAATTTACGAGTATTTTATTTGAAAATTAAATTGCACTATCATACATACAAAACGGATCCGTGTATGCATGTACTATTTGTTGTGATATACTGTACTGTACAATGTACATGTGCGATTTTACAGTTTGAGAAAGTTCAAATCATAGCACCGTTAGGCGAAAACTCTGCTACAAAAAGTGCTAAATTCGTCTGAAGTCTTTACCAGCGGGTAGCTGAAGGAATAGCACTATGAATCTAACTTGCTCACGCGGTATTTGATACATATTATATTAGGAAATATCGCATTGACTAGCTAATTCACTGGTGTATTTAAGTAGAATAATTAAAGATGTAAATTACTTTACATCTATTAACTTAATGCATTTCTACAGTGCTGCCTGTACTAAAGGGCACGGGCGATTGGTGAAAAGAATAAACAGTAGACGTCTATTTCACACGTCTAGATTTACCGTCACAATGTGCACGTGACGTAATTACGTGTGCATGAACTCGTGAAGAATCGACCGCAAATTTAGAAGGAAACTGATCGCTACCTGGAGACGGAGATAGAGGAGTAAATAAGTTATCTTCCAGATCTCATTAAATTCTATTTAGGGTAGCCTTACTGATTGTGAGTCACTAACACCATTTTCGAATCAACTTGATACTCTTTTCCTACCGTTGCAATTCAAATTCATTTGTAGGCTAAGCTTAAAGCCGTTAGGCCTCAGAAGCTGATGATTTCATAATTTATTATAAGTTCAAAATGTTACAAACTGATATGATATCATACCGAGCAGCGTACTGTATACCTAAGTCTTGTGATTTACAGTACTAAAGAATAAGGTATCATACTGTATACGGTACATAGTATAAAGTTTTCGATCCATTCTTGAATTGATTCCACGCTTAACGATGGGTCTCTTAAGGTACGTTCTCACGAAGAATTTTTTTGAGGACTACCTCAGTAAGTTAAAATTTGAAACCCAGTATTATGTGCAGTAATTTATCTCGTTACAGCATATCGAACGGTGTTTGCTAGCTATGGAGACCTCATGCTTTTTAATCTTATTTAGAAAATTTCTGTCGATTCAAGCTCTCGTTACGGAAATTATTCAGTCCTACATGCGTGATAATTGAGAAGTAAAGATAAACCATTAAAAAATTTGTAGCCTCGCTGTGTGTTCCATATAATTAGAATTGCAACATCATAGGTGTAAAGTATTCTGAGATATGAAATACATTTACAATAAACTTGTTAATAGCCGCTTACTTAATATTCACAATTTGCTTATTTTAACGTGGTGATAAAAAATTAACGCACTGTGATAATTAAGTGAACTAAGTGCGATTTGTGCTATTGGTACAAGACAGGAGCTTCCAGGTAAAACTCACGTGAGAAAATAACGTGTACTAGTACTACCAACTAACATGATCAGCTCAATATTACCCTTAATTTTTGCTTTACAGATCGTCAAGCATGAAAATATGCAAAAGTTTATTTTAGTCGTTGCTGAGGGCATTGTTCAATTTGTATTATATGTAAATGTCTTCAATTATCGTGACATTTATCAATTTATGCGGAACGATTATAATATCCAGTATTTCTCATAACGCCAATAAATACTATGTATTATAGAAATGCGAAAGTGGTAGTGCATTTAAAATATAGCTATTTAAGTAACTCGAAATCTGCTCAAAAGTAGGATCAGCAGATTTACAGCAACATGCACTGAGTAACATTCTATCTACGTGCTATATACATAGTATATTATACAGTATGTATACAGAATAGGTATATCTATATATATGCACGTATTGCGTCATAAAGGCATCGTTTTTTCTACAAAATTTTATTCCTATCCGCTTAATTTCTAAAACTTTTGCTACGAACAATCACAGCTTATGAAAACTTTGTTAGTGTTACTTCTGGAATAAAGGTAAAAATTAGATGCATAAATTGGAATAATTACCGTATTCATTATAGCATTGATCATTGTTTACATTGTTGTGGGACCAGGTTATACAAAGTCGTTGTTAGCAAATAAATGATGGGTAACTATGCCTTTGGTTATAATAATTGCAATAATGATTTTAACAATGGTACCAATTAATAGCTTCAGATAGACCGATGCGAGTGAAATCGTGTTCATTTCATTTTCTACATGATCGCATCAAATTGCCTGTCGCGTTTTAACATGAGATTATTGGAACTGATCGTTTTAACTGAGATATTATGCTATTCTCTAACAATAGATTCCAAATCGATTAAGCTTGGAATTTCTTTCATACCTTGCAATTGCAATAAACATTCCAATAAATGTAATTTTGATAAAGACGTGTATAAATTGTCTGGCGGAAAAAGTGGCGGCGTCTGCCGAGACTGTAATCATAACACTGACGGTAGATATTGTAATTACTGTAAGGAAGGCTATTACCGAGATCAAACACAGCCGATTCATTCTCGTAAAGCGTGCAAGCGTAAGTTCAATCAAAAGAAGTATCTTAATGATTCTATAAATTACTCCAATAAAAAATGATTTAATGTAATGTTCTATAGAATTCATAAACTAAATTTTTAATTGTCACATAGCGTGCGCGTGTGACCAATATGGATCTAGAGGAAGGGTTTGTAATCAAACTACAGGCCAGTGCACTTGCAAGGAAGGTGTAACTGGGTTGACATGTAATAAATGTCTTTTTGATTATCAAAGAAGCTCGTCACCTGTAGCGCCTTGCATAAGTAACTTTTAAAAAAAATTTACTATATTCTATTGCCTGCTAATAATTTGAAAAGTAATGTGAAATATTACTTATTTTTTATTTAAAGAAATTATTGCCGGTTTAAATCAATTTGCTGATGTAAAAGGTAAGACTACTTATGGAAGCGCAATACCGCACATACATTTTGTTAAAAGTTAGCTGATAATATGAGTAAGATTGATTTAAAGGTTTATCACGTGCTAGAATGCCCAGAATGTCATAATGACAGAAAGAGTTTGACTGTAAAAAGATATTGTAAACGAGATTACGGTAAGTTTGTCATCACTCTAAATATTTATCTACGAGCGATAGTTCAGCCAGGAATACTAAAGATGCGCATTGATACAGTGACAGTTGAAGTTAAAATTCTTTTTTTATCATACCATCAAACCGAATATATTAGCTGTAAAAGGCAAAGTCTTATCGAGGAAAAATTTTAAGGACTGGGCAAAGTTCGAAGTGTCAATTAGCGAAATATATAAACAATCACGGGCAATCATTAAGATTGGTCGAACAATACAATCATTCTGGGTTACCTTAAATCATGTGAAATGTAGATGTCCAAAACTGAGGATTGGTCGCGAGTACTTAATATTAATGAGAGGTGAAGTAATGAAAGGAGACGGAAGCTTTATACTCGACCATAACTCTTACGTGACCTTGTGGAATACTAAAGTTGAAACAAAACTAATACAAACAATCGACAAAAGTGTTTCGCAAACGTGTGGTAGATTGTAGTAATTATCTTTTAATATTAGAGAAAAATGTGTCAAATCGTCGTCTATGCAAATGCTTTCCAATTTAGTTAGTTTTATATAATGCTTAATCTTAATGTAACCAATGTTATTACAGTAACGCAATGTCGGACAATTTTCTCGTAACAATATTTATTTGTTGCCTTGATAGAATTCAAGTAAATCTTTATTAATAAAGCATTTTGATTTGTTTTTGCATACCACAATCATATTATCGGATAACATTTTATCAACTAATTTATGGTATGCATCTGCACTTTCAATTTCATAAATATAAATCTTGTATAGAATAAATTTAACTGTTAGTTTATTCTGGACCATAAACAATATAAGATTTATAAATTCTAATGAGTAGCGATAAAATACTATGTAATGCTATACTTCAAGAATATAAAACAGGATCACCTGTTATTTCACCTAGTGTTAACTATATAGTTGTCAATTAAATTCTAGTTAATACAGAAAGCCGGCAACGTTTATAGCATCGAATATTGATAACTGTAAAAATTTACAATTCATGCGTCAAGAGTTAAGATCGCTGACCAAATCTATATAGCTATACAATAACTTGATCCTTCGACTCAGGCATCCATCACTAATTTTTAACGAGTATTCTAATTAATTAACATGACATTTAAATACAATGGTATGTAAAACATTATCTATGTAATTTAGTGTTGCCGCTTTGAAATATAGGATATCACATTATACTGTGTCATACAAACTGGATCCTAAGAAAAGCCAGTGCAATTTTAGTTATAGTTGCCTTACAGGCAAGTCAAAGTTCTACACCTTTAATTTCACTTGAGACACACTGCTTTTATCCCTGAACAGATTTAATTTATAATTACGAGTACTTATGATTAATGTAAAGTGCCTAAGAAATCATTTAGATATTCCACGATAAGTAGACAAAGGGTCCTGTAAAAGATTACAGCGCAAATCATTCAAAAATCCCTATGTGCTCCAGTCGTCACTAGCTGTAGTTGCGTTAACTTCGTAATATCCTTTTGAAGTATGACTCGATTTACAGTTCATCATCGGCACGCAAGTTATACATAGTGCACACCTTTCAATTCAGATAAAGTAATTTTGCAAATTTATTTACTGTTAGTAACTTACTGCAAGCTTTAACAACTTTACGAAAATTCTTATTGCGCCACCATTAATTTTTTGTACGAGTATATACAGACTAATACAATACCTGATCTAGCTTATTTACCAAACGGAACTGCAGCGATTATAATAATGGCAAGTAGTAGCAGAAATATGATTAGGTAGGTAACTAGTAAAAGGAGGATAGATATGCGTATAATTACTAGACATATGTGTAAAAAGGAGGAAATGGTAAGTTAGATTTGAAGATTCTTGTATAGATAGTAACGTAGTAACTGCTATCTTTTTCTCACTGTCCTTCACATTCTAGAACAACACTTTAGGCAATGATGTAAAATCTGACGAGCAAGCACATCGTAGTATCTTATTAGCATCAAATTACTATATATTTACTTACGACAGAAGGAAGCTTTAGTAGTAATTCTATCGACTCGTCTGGTTTCATACTGGATTTTAATATCTACATCAGTAGTATTTTCAGATATCTCCGTTATGATATCTAACAGGAGTATATGCACGAAAGAAATAGTCTTTAGAAGCGAAGACCGTAAGAACAATTAAGCATATTACTTTCACACAAATAGCTAAGAAAAAATACGAAAATCAACCATTTTGCGTTTCGATTTCATTTGATATGGCATGACTCATTTCTTTTTGGCGCTGAATTACAGCAGATAACGCTTCAATTCCTTCGTCTTGTTCTTAAGAAATGATATAGAATTGTGTTTAATTATTTTAATTTTGATCACAGAGAACGCAAACTACATGAAGCTTAGCGAAAGTTATAAGTCGAGCGGTTTCATTTTATACATAATATTTTACCTTATTAAGACAATATTACCTTTCATTATTTGCTGCTGTTGCTGTTTCATGTCAGCATTTTTCGAATATATTGCAACAGGTTCTTTCGGGTTTAGTGTATTATATCTGTATAAGTTGTCGCCAAGTAGAGCGTCTCTATGACGATAGGGATAAAGACCAAAATCTATCATACTTTACCACCATTAAATGAAGTCAGGTAAAGATACAGATATACAGAATGATTATGACTAATTTCAGATAAGACTAACGAAATGGGCTAGTGCACAGATAACTTATAATATTATACAAACAGATCACTCCATGCAGCAAAAGCTGAAGAAATTTTTAATAATTAATGCCTCAAATGAATTAGTAAGTTCTTGATATTAACCACAGATACCAATAAATACTTACCTCTCACTGACGATATGTTCTCGTTCCATACTGGGACCTAGGGTAAATCTCTAAAAAGCACATGAAAGTTTGCACTGATCAAACTTTAACTTCTCCCTCACAGGTTACAGTATTTACACTTAGATTAAAGGTTAATACTTGATCTGTTATTATACCCTATAAGCTTTTATTTTGCGCTGTATAATAGTTGGCTTTCAATGACTCCTTTGCAGGTAATACAAGGATATGTACGAGTATCTATAAATTAACGAATTGCATATTTCCGTTACAACAATTGAACGTACAAAGCGAAGAATCCGAAACGATTGCATGAAAATTGGTTGGTTGTAACAACTATTTATCTAAAGTTATACGAATTTGATTCCAATCTATTCTGTACTCATACTCTACATTTATGAACGCCTGTTAAGCAGTATCATGTACTCCACATAAACCACGAATAACGCTATGTTACGCTTACGCACATCGTACATAATTATGAAATAAATATAATATAATTAGCTTAACGTAAATAATGACTTGCAAAGCAAACGAACCTGTTATTATTTACGGGTTTACTTGTACTGTTGTACATCAGTGCTGTGCAAAACAATTTAGGCCGGGCTGTACTTGTACAGTTGAGTGAATTTTATTAAGGTCCAACTTCAATAAGGATCTACTGCAGTACTGTTTTACTATTGTATTAGTACGATCACTCGTCGCCTTGCTGACGATCTTTCTTATAAATTACAAATCTATAATAACCAGTTGATTCTTCACTCGTACAGGACTGTACAGTGTACACTGTACTTGACAGTACAGTACAGTACAGTATAGTGTACAAAATGATTACATCACTGGCATCAACCGATGACAGAAAAGTCAACCCTGTACCGTACTGTACAGTACAATACAGTAGAACATGTACTGTACAGTACTGTACTGTACTGTACAGTATACTGTACAGTAGTAAGGTACTGTAGGGAGCACGGTAGAACAGCATACAGTGCAGTGTACTGTACTCTGTAGGCATGCTATGCATGTACAGTACAGTACCGTGATGCAATGACCAGTACTGTAAAATAATAATTGGCCACTCTTATTGGCCTGCACATCGGTTACACTGTGCACGTATAACTAATTATAGTACTTACTTCGAAATAGATTTAATAAATTAATATTAAGCATTAGCGTTAACGGACAAGACAAAAGTCGTCGACGTCAAAATTTTTAGGATGGTATACTAATGCATATCGGGACTCATTTATTTTGTTTAATTATTTTAACTAATAACTAAACTTTACTTACAGAGTTCATTAATTGTTGCTGGCCTTGGATTAGCTGGTATTGCTCTCGGAGGTAAAAATTTCAAGGTTTTTTCAAATAATCAAACGTAATTGTGTAATATGATCCGAACTTAAAGATCAGTTTTTAACATTCGGTAAAGCTGGAGTGTATGCGTTGAAAATGCTGATCAATCTCCAACCTTATATTCAAAAACCTACTCGTCACAGTTTGGTTTAGAAAAGATTGACTGCTACAGCATCAGTTTTCTTTCTTGCATTACAAATTTTAATTGGAGACTGAACTTTATTAATATGATCAATTTAAAATTACGATACGATCTTAATAGTACTGTATTACTAGTAAGTGCTATTGCTGTATTCCACCCATATGCCTTTCTCTCTAGTAGTGCCTACAGGTATTCTCCATTTAAAATTTTGTAAATAAGGCCTACTACAGTGTACCAGGCAAAACAGCTCATTAGATCTCAAGACATTGCAACATTGATGCAGATACGTATTACAGTACTGTATTATGATAGTCTGACCCCGATCTGTAGCAGTCGACGCCAGAAGAAAATTGCAGTTATAAGTGAAATAATAGTACTGTGTACATTTCAAATTTATGAAGTAACTATAGCTATCGAATATCGCTCGCCTCTGTTACTGTATTCCCATACCGCTTTGCCGTTACAATTCGCAAATTAATGGTAATACAGTATATTAGTAATAAAAAATTGTCACAAAAATTTCAACTACAGTGCAATGTGCGGTTTACACAGATACAACGTAAATACAGTAATACCAAAATGACTACAATGGATATACTGTACATACGACATACGTACGTATTTATTACTAGTGTATTCGACCCTTTAAGTGCCAATTCATTTAATGCTAGTTAGTATCAAAGTATAATTGCAGAGTAATTTGTTTCGTTAAATTTTTAAGTTAAAGTTACATTTTTTGCAATACAACATTTTGTTCATGGCTTTAAATTCATTCCAGGAAGATGGGCAATGATTGCCATGCAAAGGATAAAATCTTCAAACATATCGATTACAGTGCCGAAGCTGGTGAGTCGTTAGTTGCAGTTCTAGGTTCATGCCACGATTTTGCTTTGTAATAGCAATTTTATAGCTTTCTAGCGACACTTTTAATAGTAACAATGCTCTAGGTCAATCAATATCAATAGCCTTGAGATCTCAAAACTTACGAGTGATAGCTGACGGCTAAAATTGGAACGAGATTCCCTATAAACGTTAGGCCTGGACTACGAGGGCACTGTACTATTTTTATAGTATAGTAGTCTACGATTGATAAAACAGTTATTGACTCTATTGCAAGGGATTGTCCATCTCACCCTCATTACTGCATTTTTATAGCACCATACACCCGAATAAATATTCATGAATACCACTTTTATCATAAATACAAGTACGATAAGTAAATACCAACTATAGTACTTAGTGATTGCGTGCCGTCCTTAAGTTAAATATTTTTTTTAAATTTGATACTTCTTTTTTGACAATGTAATGAGAATTGTCCGTTTGATGGATCTCACTGCATTAATATCAGTCTCTTAAATTCTTCTGTTTCGCGGGAAAATGTAAAGATATATCGTTTAATGATTACAATTTTCATTTTGTCATATGGGTGTACTGAGTAGTATGGTATTCTCTCTCATTCTTTAGCTAAGCAATAACGTATTCTTCAGAATGAGTGTATATATATATTTTATATTTTCTGTGCCTAGAATTTAAAAGGATATTATAAAGGCGGATTTGAGGAAAAAATGACAAGAAGAGAAGCTGGCTTAATCTTGGGAATAAGGTTGTATATATTGTATATCTAATGGTAAACTTTATATATTCAGGTAATTTGTAACCTTGATTAAGGATTGCAATTATAAACTGCAGTATCAGTATAGTAGCATCAGTTTGCGCTTACTACAACATAGCCGTTATCGAGACATTAACATTAAAGTTTACTATTAATAGCTCTACATCAGGTAAAGAACGAGTTAGAGAAGCCCATAGAAGAATTATGTTGCTGAATCATCCGGATAGAGGTGATACTGAGCACTATGATTGCTTCATACACTTATTGAATACATGTCTATTTTCTGTTAGTTTTAATTAGATATTATCTTGATATTTTCTAGGTGGTTCCCCATACCTGGCAGCGAAAATAAATGAAGCTAAGGACTACCTTGAAAAGGAAAAGAAATCAATTTAAATTGAAATAAATTTATTTACTGACTATATTGTTACAATTTGTGCTTGCGGTCACTTGATCTAAATGCATAGTATATGTAAATTATTAGGATAATTAATTTGTAAACTGACAAACATTAAAGATATTTTGATAGTATTATTTTTACTGTCTGCGTTTGTTATGTATCTTACTAGAAGTGTGTAGCTTTATCTGTTTAAATTACTTACTATATCAAGTCCAATTCGTGTGGACATGTGCAAACTAAACTTCATAATACTCTGGGAGTAATTTTCATTTATTATAGACATGGCCTTTTTCTTACTGTCATTCAGAATACTTCTAGACTTTTGGATATCTATTGTCTTCTTCATTAGAATGCAAAGAATTCTAATATCTAAAAATTATACAGTATACTGTATTTATTTTGGTCTCATATAATTTATTGAGCTTCCATAAAGATACAAAAGTTTGAAGGTTTACTTGTATCGCTACTGCAACAATAACATCGTTGGTCTTGAATTAGCTTAGAATCGTAAAAATTGGAAACAGTGGCATGATAACACTGCTATTCATCATCGATCGCAATCTCATCAGGATTGATAGGATTAGTCAAACAATAAGGCCTTTCACTTTGCCTAATATGTTGTTTGCAATCAGACTGATTGCTATCTAAATTAAGTTCATTCTGAACCTCCGCATACTTAACATTATTAAAATCAATATCTTCTGGATTTACAACGGGATCACGTAACATCGGCTTTGAAGCGACACCTATCATTATAATCATAAATTCATTAAGGAAAACAAAAGGCATTTTTATATAACGATCACATCGTTCAAATCAATCTCGATCTAAGAAATGACTTCCTCAAATAGTTAAATATATACTACGGTACAATACTAGATGATGCAAATAAATCTTAGCATGAAACAGGCAGTCTTTATTTAGTAATGCTATATTTAAGCAAATTTCCGTATTCTTTATATCGAAGAATATCTTTAGAGCGATAACACTTACTACTTGAATGGCAAGGATTTATGATTTTCAACTTGTTACAGAACCTCGCCGTCTGTGAATTCTCGTGGTAGCTTTTCGAAGCTTTGAAAATACATAAGTATCTTTAAAAGGCAAGCTGTTCAACACATTGCTAGCTTATTCATATCAAAATACGAATTATTTACCTTGTACAGCATTATCTAAATGCAGTGGAGCAGACCTCTCAAAGTTTTTCGGAATCTAACATTTTCGTTTGCACATGATTTTAGCCGTCTAACGCATCCGATCGAAAATGACAGTGCAACACTTACCGTTAAATCAGTTCCAAAAGCATCAAGAATCTCGTTTTCTGATAATTCCTCGCTAAATAAGTATTTATCATCACATCAGCGCGAAGATGAGTGGTATTACTTATAAAAGGAATATTGAATTTTACAGCAAGTAATTATTAGCTATAGTACCACAATTACATTTAATGCACATAAATTATCGACGCACCCAACTGGATGTGTAGAATTTAGAATCTTTAGCCATTCTAGGTCATAGGATAAATTCATTATTTCAGGATCCTTTTCAGCAAATTCAAGGATCTAAAATGATACCGAGTAGCAACATATTTAGTGATGTAATATTACATACTACGCAGACAGGCACATAGCATAAATGACACTGTCATACTAGAAAAGCGCGAAAAACAGCTGTGATTCTGAAGTACTATATATACTTGTAAGAAATCTCGATTGGGTAAACATTTATCTAACGCCAGAAATTTAGTATATTTTGGTTGCTTTTCTCGATTTTCATGAGGAACAATAGCTGCAAATTTTACATGTAAGTGTCCTGCAAACCAATAGGAAGGTTGTAATTGGCGAAGCAGTTCGAAACCGCAAGGGCTTCCTAGAGCATTTCTGTCGATCTAAACAAATTAGATTTTAACTTAATTCAAATACGACACAAATTTATTCAGAATGATCCTACCTCATCCTTGAAGAAGGGTTTGCGTCTGATTAGATCTCTCTTATCCCCATAGTTGTAAATACCAAGTGGCCAATCATGCGAAAAAAAGATATCTATAGGCTTTTTTATCTGAAAATGAGAGGAAGACCCTTACGGTTATATCGTCATGTTATCAGTAAAATAAAAAATATACCTTTTTAAGTTTATCAACATCGATTTTTCGAGTATGATATATGCTTCGGCAGCTCTCGTTGTGAAGCGGTGGAATTTCGAAATGCTCTATTGATCGTATGATAGTTGACTATGTTTCATGATGTTACGGTTCGAAAGACATACTACTCCATAAAGTACATTGCTACATAATTGCTAATGCTATAGGTTGTTTTACGTGTATAAATGCATCCTATCACTTAGAGATACAATAGTTAATTTTATAAAATCATTCATCATTGTTAAATATATCCGGCAAAAAATCTAATGACATGCTCTCATTGTACCACAAAATAGCTGTAAACTATAGCGATATGGAGTATACGATCAGTATGACATCAGTATACGTATACAGATTAGATAGGATGTAAAAATCCTTTAGTATGAACGTGCATCGCATTGTATTCCAAATTTCTAAAAAATGTGGCAAGTCTCGCCAATTCGAGTTTAAAAAGTCGAGGACAAGTTGTACTTGTAACATTGTACGATGCTAAAAGGCACAAATCGACAATCGACCTATTATGCTAAGCAGCAAAGTATTACTTGACCATATATACAATGTAGAGATAAGTCATGACACTAAAGACTAATATTTAAACACTTGTGAGAATTCCAATGTCAGTTCAAATAAAAAGTGCTAAACATCAAACGAAAACTGGAACTCGAATCAATCTCAGAAACTAATGACTGTTACTTCTGGTCAGTTAATACGGTAAGTTTCATAATGTAGATTGTTAAAACTTACCTAAATGATAATGATGCTTTTTATAAATCCCTGAAATTCCTCCGATCCGTAAACCCTTGTAAGAGACCATCCCAGCATATCCCAAGTAGTAGACATTTGGGCACACCCAGCCTCCGTAAGGTCTGAAAATAGCATAGCACAATGAACAATGATAGCCACCGTTAAGAACTACAAAAATCTTAAAATGTGATTGATTATTTATTATTATTATAGATCTAACAGCTCCCAAAGATACGATGAAGATTCATGATTACCACCAATGAATACCGTCAAAATGGGGGCAACTTTTTCACCAGAATAATACTGTAAATATAGTAAATGTTCACTTTAAGTTATATAATTTTGCATACACTGTCGAACAATAATACATCACTTGCAAGAATAAACTCCAAATAATTGCTCCAGGACTAGATTTATATTTAAGCAGTGTTTATTTTTCAAGATTTCACTTGGTAAAGTTTGTTTGTGTTATGGAGCGCAAATCTGTAGCTGCGCAGGATTTCGACTTTAAGTGTACAGTGCTTGCACGCAGAAAGAACTGGTTTATCTAAAAATTAACAAATTTATACATTCTACATCTAACATAGTGTCATTTGATCATAAATTCACGGAAATAGTAACAATCAAAATTTTGACACCAATTTAAAAGAGACGATTTCTCCTCTAAAATGTAGCTTCATATTGTACACATAGAAAACGTACGGATACTACAGTAAGCTGATGCAAACCTTCAGTACAATATAATCTTTCAGCAATTCGACAGTACAATATAATGTACTACAACTCTTATATACCTTATGAAACGACTGCATTTTTCGATATTTAGTCGGAACCGCCATGCTATGCAAATCCGCCTGATTTCGAACCGCCTTGCGTAGAATGCAAATAAAGGTAGAAAATTTCAAATTAAATATTATCCACAGCACATTTGTAATCTTATTTAGATTAAGTTCGTCCTGATACATAAATATCTATACATAATTCATACTATCCCTAAAACTGTTTAGTCGTATAGATAGTTGAATCAGATATTCTCTATGCCTGTACAGTACCATGGCATGCTCTCCTTACAAAGAAATCATCACACTGTATCTTAAGAATTTATTGACCAACTTTAGAAAGGGTTTACGAGCATAGCATCACTGTCGGATTGAAACAGCTAATAAAGCTAATTACGTGCATATGATATCTTCACTTAACTTAAATAGGTCAGTATAAGATTCTTACAGTACTTTTTACCTCAACATTTCTTCATGTAAAACGAATAGCTCTAAGGTAGTAATTTCTGCAGAGTACTGATTATAAAAATAGTATTCGCTATATCGCTAAGGGTAGCCACTGGGCCTTTAAATTTTGATTTCATGTAATACTCTGATGAAAATTGAATAAGCATAGAATCTTTATAGAGTTTTCTACACAGCCATTTTGATTGTTACATTTTCTTATAACGGTTACTATCGACAGAGCAAGCTTTGCTTGCATACCCAAGCGATCCTTAGACACATTATATGATTGGTATAGAATTGACCACAGTACGAAGGGCATTCTACCGCACTGTAGATATACAGTACCTGCTAATCTTAACTTGGTATGTCCATCACCGTACATTAGTTATCATAATGTGCTTTGGACCATTAACTAATCTTAATATAGCATTTCATCCGTGAAGTCATTATTGAAAAGTAGTATTCTACCAGCATAGCTGTGAATATAGTAGTGCCTGGCTATTACCAGGATATAAATAATGTCGAATGGTAATACTATCTGTTAATTATTAACAAATAAGTACATTATCGTAAACCGTCAGCAAAGCGACGTGAATTTGTACTAGTAGTATCTGAATTGCAACGTATGTGGCGGTAGATCATTAAATATAGAGATGTAAATTTAAGTTAACTTCAAGCCTATTTTAACGTTTTATGTCACATATGAAATATTGACATATAATAGCTACGTTAGAACCATAGGGAAGAACCTCTATGGTTAGGACTTGCAAGTGTTAGGCAGGTTTACTGTAAATTCTGCAGACACCCTACGGTATAATCCATCATCGAGGGTATTAAAGACGGGGTTTTTAACGGAGGAAGGGTTGCGGATAGTAACAATTCACTCATTAGTAAATTGTGCATAGCTTCTCCACTCCGTCATGGTCTGCTTGGAGTCAATGGGTTATAAACTCTAGTTATTACTGTTGATTAGTTGATATACTGACATACAGTGCATATGGTACAAGCATTGATTGATTCTCTTATATTGCTGATTGCTGTACAACCAATACTGCTCCCTTATACGAATACTAAATGCTGGGTATTGCATTATCCTTTATATGATACGTATACTGTAGTTACAAGATTGGTAACAACTGTTATAATTACTACATTTAATTAATGCACGGGATACAAACTAAAGATCACCAGATCTCTAAAATAAGCTAAGAAGGCGAAGCTAATTAATTTATGAGCTTAATAGAATTATTGAAATTGAACACGCGATTACAAGTCGAATTATAATTAATATAATTACAGTAATCGACCAAAAAACTACCTACAAGTACAGACAGCATCACAAGCACTGTAAATGTACAGTACTTAATTAAAGGCTAGCAAAGATGCAAAGACTGCTAAATCACTAAAAAATTAAATGACAAATCCATAAGCATCAATAAACCATAGAAGACCATTTAAACTTCAAATACCTGAAAATCTCCACAGCAGATTAATAAATCAATCTTTATTCCTTTCGTCGATTCCATGTGCCTTAATGTAGCATAAATGTTATCCAGCTCTCCATGACAGCAACCCTCAATTGCGATCTGTAGCACATGCAGCAGATATGATAGATCAATGTTTATATGATATGCAGTACCGAAATAATAAACATTAGCCATTTCGTTGTCACTTCCATGAGTCACTGGGGACAGTATTCTAATACAAATGGTTACCTTCATTTTCTTCAAAACGGTCTTCGAATATAAACTAGAATTTATTATTATAAGTTTGAATTAATTCGTATAAAAGCGAATTAGCAATTCGTGCATAAAGTACTTAAGTAGTGTGAAAAGCATAGGTTAAAAGACAGTCGGTCCATGTCCATACTAATAAACAGCTGATAACCCGCTAAATAGAGATTTAACACTCTATATCAGGTTCCGGGCGCGGCAAATAAATTATATTATAACTTAGGGCCAAAGCAGTCCATAAATATATTATGTATAATGTATTTATTTATATATAATGCAGAGGTTTCTAGTACAGTACTAATTATATACGGTAATTAATTATCAGTAGTAATTATCAGTAGTAATCAAGCAGAAGCATACGCACACCTCTTAAAAGCGGGAAGGCTTCGCATAGGTTAGATCGTATACACAGGAGATTTTGCAGTGTTACACAATTAATATCGTCAATGTAAGATCGGAAAGAGCGGATAAATTAGTAGTTTTTAATATTCCATCTTCTTTAACTTTAAAATTCTTAATCTGGATCTGTACTACACTGTGTCTACACATATCGTTCTACAGTATCTACTATACTATACATACATTGTACTGTACAGTTAGTCTGTGACGCAGTCAAAAATTTGTACAGTTTGTACGTGTACTGTACTGTAGTGTACTGTACAATACAGTACTGTATACGGGATTAGGAACAAATATTGTACAGTACTGTACTGTACTGTAATCTACTACACTGTTTAGTACAAACTGTATAGTGTACTGTACAGTAATATGCCCCTTCAGTATTAAATTAAATTAAATCTGATTTGGAATGATTTACGATACTTGATTTCACCAGGGTCGCAATTTAGTAGAGTACTGTACTGTATTTCACACTAATACTGTAGAACTTCTAGTCCCTACGAGTAAAAAAACCCACTTTGAATTCTACTCTACTCTACTGTACCGTCTGTACGTACCTAAAAGCTGCGTGACTGCAGGGTGAAAGTTAGCAGCTGTAGCATGGACGCCTCTAAAAATGATGCGTTAGAACGTCACGATAACCTATCCGATGGCATTTTTAATTTATTGCATCCAATCCTGGAACGTTTAAACGGCAAATTGGAAAACGTTAGGTAACAAAAATTGAAACTCAGCAAGCAATAAGTTAATTTAACTGATTATAACTTGCAATTGTAGCGATAACTATAATTACAGTAATAGATAAAAATCGTGTATACAGTACTGTACTTTACTGTAATCCGGTCACGAGCTATAGTATTAAGGGTACACAGTGACATATTTCACCTAAACCTGCTTATTGTAAAAAAAAGGGCTACGCAGTCACTATTGGATGAAAATATCTTAAGATTGATTGTTGGTAAGAACGCTTCATTTAATAATTACCAACGCCTAAAACGAAATCACTACAGAATGTATCTTTGATTAAATAAATAAATCATTATCTCTTAGATTTAAGAGAACTTCATAAGTTGCAGGACATCCCTATACCTCTAGACTCCTACATAAAAAGATTACAATTAGCGAAGCGCAAAGTCTCTAGTGTCAATACGATCCTCCAGAACTCTAAGGTGAGCATATTAACTAAGATATAGTTCTTATACAAGTATAGCTTTGATTAAGGTATGCCATACTAGTAGCAAACTTGATATTGCATTTCTAGTTTCCCTAAATTATCACTTGAATCATTCTAGGATAGACTTGAAAAATTGCATCAAAATATTGCTACTGAAACCCGCAAGAAGAAAAATCTGACTTAAATGATATAAATACCATTATGTGGTGTTAGCTAAGTGAATTAAGAATGCTATTCTCACGTTAATGGCAAAATTTTACATTGAATTCTGGTTTGCTCACGTTGTATTTATTTATGTGCCAACTTGTATAATTGTCCACTTCTGCTAAGGGATTACCTTATCCGCGTTCATCTACTTTTCATGCAACGTGGCGATCAAACTTATACAAACTACACTGTAATCCTGTTGAATATTTGAAATAGATTACAATCACTAGATATTTATTGTTAATTATACGAAAAATCGTGAATAATATCTAATGGTCAATTACTGCTTCATACTGTATACCAGTTAACAGTTTGTGGTAGGTAATGAATTGGCCTTGTAAGTTTACCTAACACATTGTTAAGATTAAATTTTAAGACAGTGCGTGTACCATAATATTCTAATTTTATTGTCATAATTTAAACTCCACGTTAGTTTGTATCTAACCCATATAACACGCTACAATGTTTACGCTAAAAGCCAGGCTACTTTGCGTATTCTAATTACGAATACAGTAATATACATCAGTTCTTTGTTACGCTCTCAAAAAAATTTATTAATTCATGTTAGTAACCATCATTTGAATAAGATATTTTAAGAGTAGGGAAAGCCTTTCTTAGCCTTTCCGCTGTTATTGTATGATCCGCTCTACCAAATCCCTACATGAATAAAAAATGCGTATCTTCCAGTACGGAATTTTAAAAAGATTTAAAACGGCGAGATGCGTGCAATTTCTAAATTAAATTATAGCGATACCGTAGAATATCCATATACAAGAATCTCATTCTCATTACGCCGGATTCTGCCTCCACCAACACATTCTACAGTTAAGCTAGCCGCTTCGAAGGAAGCTGTCAACCTATCCAAAATATCAGCTGGAATAATAGATAATATATTATACGCATATCAATTTATACTGGTATATAAATGCTGATACCTTTAAACGAAAAGAGTTTTAATGCTCTCTTACATAACATAAATAATAGTAATACTGTAGTATGTCACATGCGAAGTACTAGAAATTTTCGATAATTTATCACAAATTAAATATTTATAAAGTGTAAGATTAATTTTGCATTTTACTATAACATGAACTATTCAACTACATAGAATTCATGGGACCTTAGCTTCAATTTTTATGGTCGTTAATGTAGCCTTTCGCATTGTAGAGCAAACTAAGATCGAAACTGTGCTACTGCGAATCAAATACAAGGAAGAGTCAAATTTGGACGCACTGGTCAAGTATGGGAAAGTTGATCTAGTAGCTGAACATACTGTACGTGTACAGTATAGCATAAATTTTACCTAGAAGTACAGTAATATAAATCATATTTCGGTGCAGCACATTGCGAATACCCTGTAAAGTCTTGTGAATGAATGATTAAATGGAGAAATGAACCGAGCACCAATCAAGCTAAATATTCTGCATAGAAATGCCGTATCGCAAAATGATGATCACTACACCGTAGATTAACGTTGACAATCGGACATACTATGGCTGAAAATACAGCATAACAGCTGCAAGTACAGTCTCACATACCGTGATAGCTCGCCCAAGAATACCCGCGAACAATAAATTTGGATGAACTAGATCTTCTGTCCGTCAATTTTATTAGTATATACTTGAAGGTTCCACTTTCATCGATATCTACATCAGTAAAAGAATTTAATATATGATAATTTTTATCATCAACTTCAGCCGAGTTCGCCATATTGAGGGAAGCCTTAAAATTGCAACGGCAGTTACGTCCGATTCAGCATAATCAGCAGCATCGTACTGTACTGTACAATACGTACAGTACTTGTGATATTGAGCACAATACAGTACAGTACAGTACAGTACCGTACAGTATGTGCTTTAAATGCAGTAGCGGGTTAATTTAACTGTTCAGTACTGTACTGTACAGTACACCATAGTACAGTACTAAGGACTACAGTACTAAATTCACCGGTGAGCGGTGAATTTAGTATTCCATGAAATGGTACTAATGTCAGTCTCTGGTAAGTACAGCTACGCAACAAACTAAACTTTTATTCAAGTGTCTTCTCGGCGCTGACATAGTGTAGATACTGTATAAGAGCAAATTACTACTGGAAAGGAAATCATTTAGGAGAATGTTACATAGCCGTTTTCACCATCATGTCTTGCGGGACTGGAATTCATCCAATACTGATATTACACCGAGTAATCTAATTTATCCAATTTTTGTTAGGTCTGTTCATTCTGCTTAGTCTGCTTTACTGTTAGTACTTGTAAACGACTTTCACATAGCCATACTGTGTCATTCACGGATGCAATGTATACTGCGTAAAGACAAGGCAGTAGCAGGGACTACTCGAAAGAAGAGAAAGGGATAGGATACGGCCGAAAGCTACAAAATATATGTAGACCGACTTTTTTACTGGTCATTTCAGCTATACTGACCATCAGTAATCGTACGCTATACTGTACTGGACCTTGCTCCAAATTAGCTGCCAGGTTGGTTTTGCATAGTACGGTGTACGGTTACAGCTGTAGCTTATTGTAAAATGACTGCAAAAAAAAGTCGGCCTCCACATTTTTTGCAGCTTTCGGCCGTGTCCAGTCCCCTCTTCTTTCGAGTAGTCCCTGGTAGTGGCACCCTGTACATCGTTTCCAAAGCCCCAATATACTGTAATCTATCCGTATTAACATTGCGGGTAATACCCGAAATGCCCGGGCAGTTTCATACTAATTCCAGTAATATATATATTTCGATAACTTAACGTATGGCTTACTTATTTAATTAATCTCCTAAAATCTTGATTTTGTAGTGATGATCCAGAATGCAACGAAGAGATTACAAGCTTACCAGAGCAGAGAAGGTCTGTAAACTAGCTATAAATAATACTGTAATTATACATATTAATATCAAGTATAATACAGTCAGAGCTCCAATATTTTCGAATTTTAATATTCCATACTGCGTACAATCATGGACCTACAAATCAGCTATATTCTAGTAGTGTGATTGGTCCATGGTACAATGCATGGATTGGATATCGATGGGTACATTACGAAATATTATTTTATTATTTATTAATTATTACTAATATCTTTCTCATTAAATGAATGATTTCTTAAGTGACGAAGTATCCAAATTACTTTAAAACTCAATTTATTTTATTTATCCTTATAATGTATCCACTATAATAGTAATAATTTCCAGAACAGATCATTAGTACCTCTGATACTGATACAAAGGGGATAGAGATGTAATTTCACGTAGTACAGTACAGTACAGTACTATAAAAGCGGATCTTCCAAGATTAGATGAAAGACAATATACAGTAGAGGATAGTAACTAGTCTAGACATAGAAAATCATTCATTATTCATCCACTACAGCAGCCGTACACGCAAATATATAATTAGATATAAATTATAAATTTATACATTATGAAAGTTACAGTAGAGAAATAACGACGCGGTACACTGTACAGGTACTGAGATTTTAAATGCAAAATGAAATACCCTACTCCTCATTGTCGATTCGACTAATCATATTGTACTGTATATTAACGGGAGAATATCCTTCTACTTATAGTGCGGTAGGCATACTTGAATCTGGAGTATTTTAGCTACTATATACCTAGTACTATGTTGATAGTAGTGTACTGTATTCTGTATATCGTATGCACTGGATCGGCGCTATTTGCAATATTACGGTATTTAAAAATTCTTCAATACAATGCAAACTCGGTGCCAATACTGCACAGCGCTATATTTTCGGATACTCTGTGATACTATAAACGCAAACAGAAAACTAAATCTTACTTGAATGTGGCATGGATGATAACGTTGTAATCATTGTAATAAGTACCATGTATAAGGTACCTACTGTGCCTTATGTAATATGAAAAGTACTTATGAACTTAAAATAACGATTTAGGTATACTTATTGCAGTATAACATGTTCTCGTTTTACAGATTTGGCGTCAATAAAATAGACCATGTCTTAAATGACATAGTGGCACAAGGATTACAATCTGTAATAGTTTTCGGTATCTTGTCAAGGAACGAATCCAAGGTTATCGACTTTATATCAGTTGTAGGGTAGTATCGCGGTTGAAGATTCAGTATTGAAATGTACTGTAGAGTCAACATACAAATTATATTTCATAATACTTCCCATCTCGGATTACATTGGACTAGTAACTTGACTTTTGCCAGAATTAGTAACTACAGTATAAAGTCTGTAATACTTTGCCGTATTCGATACTGCTAGTTTTTAATAATGTTTAGCATAAGGAAATCATAGATCGTAATAGGAAGCCATGCAATAGTGTACTTAATTGCTCACATCAAATACTGTAGTGACAGTAATTAATCAGAATGATTTAGTATTCCTTAAAATCCCGGAAACATTTTTACTTCGAGAATGCTTATCACTTCACTTGTAGTTATTATAACGTAGTTTACATTTAGTGGTCATTGTCTTTATGAGCAAGTAGGTGAATAGATCAATAGCATGGTATCGGTAGATTTTTGATACCCTTTGATCTGATTGGAGCGTCCTTTATTTATATATACACTTATTATGTCTTGTAATAGCTAGATCTAATGAAGGCTTTTTGCAACTGCACCTAGTAAGCTTCAACCAATAATTCGTTGTCACTAGTCCGATACCATTTAAGGAATCAAATACACAAATAACACGTATTTGATCTAAGTGAATCTTTGCCACTTAAATTGGTATGTTCATGAAATTAACGAAAACAATTTTGTTTAAAAAAATCAGGATGCTCTTGGCACAAATGCTGATTCCTCACTATCTCCAACGATTCAGGCAATTAAGAAATTGCGGGAGTTGTATCCCAACCTGTTAATTATATGCGATGTGTGCTTGTGTCCATTCACTGATCATGGACACTGCGGTAATATTACCTTGTTTAGATTAATTTAGAGAAGATAACCTACAAACATTTGCAATAATCATTAGTACAGTACTTCGATTTTTACTAAATAGTAGTACTGCAACTTTATATACAGTGTATAATAAGCAAACTTTGTAGGAAAAATATACGACGTGATATTAAATAGCAATACAGAACTGTACCGCAACTTTATAATTCTAAAGGAATACTGGATAAAGATGGGTATATCAAAAACGAAGCAAGTATTCAACGATTAGCAAAAATTGCTTGCAGTTACGCCAAGGCCGGTAATCCTACACTCTACCATTTAATACTCCTACTGTAATCATAAAGAATGTACTTTGTAGTCCTAACAGTTGACGTTGGCGATATTAGCATTCATGCACGCGTGCGCGAAGTTTTTCTCTGCGAAGTTTGACTTTCACATTGACATCTTCGTTATACATGTGATCCTTAGGATGTCATGTAGTTGCTCCTTCAGATATGATGGATGGGAGGGTTAATGCTATCAAAGAATCATTAATAAAGCAAGGCTTTGGTAACAGAGTAAGTAAATAGTTAACTGTTTTATCTTATCAGATAGAAGATCGATATTAACTGTCGCTAGAAATCTAGAGTTGATAATTAAAATTATACTGGACTGCTGCATGAGATAATTTAGTTAACCATTAGCTACAGTATCAATTCTTCGGGCGCAAATTAGTAAATACAGTGCTTAATTTCTATGAATTATAACTGTCTACATAGTGTGTTGTTAATACCGTAAAATTTTTCGTTCAGGTGTCGGTCTTAAGTTACAGTGCAAAATTCGCATCTTGCTTCTATGGGCCATTTCGGTAAAATCTGATTATAAGTTATGTGCAATGGTATTCCAAATTATCTTTGATCTACAACGGAATAAAACACATATTATAATTAGGGATGCTGCAAATTCAGCACCTGCCTTCGGGGACAGACGTAGATATCAGCTCCCTATGGGTTCGAGAAGTCTAGCATTAAGGGCGATTGTAAGATAATAATTACCAATTACTATAATAATGATCTTTGCTGTTGTCACCCGGACCCAATCTCTAAATTGCTTCTATCACTCTGTACTACATGTAGAACCGTGATATTGATGAAGGAGCCGATATTGTGATGGTGAAACCTGGCATGCCGTACTTGGATATTGTAAGAGATACGAAAGATAAGGTATAGCTATTTATGCTACTGATACAAATGCATCAACACTTTGTAACTAAAGTTGTAAAATTATTGCTTTTGCAATCCTGTAACTTCAGCATCCAGATATCCCCGTAGCCGTTTATCAGGTACTCATTTTAAAACTGTCGCAAAGAGAGTTCTCTTTAAAGCTTAATCATCTTTATATAAGCTTTGTGTGTTGCTCATAATGACGAATCAGAATTTTATTTATCAGGTTTCCGGAGAATATGCCATGCTATATTACGCTAGTAAAGAAGGTGCTTTTACTTTACAATCAGTTGTTATGGAATCTTTAAGGAGCATGCGCCGAGCAGGTTTGACCGCTTTGACTTTCATCTCATCAGTTCCGATTTCTCGGAATTCAGATATGCCGGACATTACTTGATTATTCCATCTGATTTATATAGGTGCAGATATTATTATCACATATTTTGTACCAAAGGTTCTTGCCTGGCTTCGGGAACCTATAACGGGTGCAAGTCCTGCCGAACATGAACAATAATTTTCGTACGAAAATGACAATTACATACATAACGAAAGGCAGTCCGTTATTAAAACTAACCTTGTATTACAACTTGGTTTGGAAGGATAACGATTTAAGAAGAAATTAGATCATATTATTTTAAATAAATAATCGTACATTTTGGTTGTTAGGAGTTATTAATGAAATTAAGTTTTTGTACTGGAATAGACAGTAGCGGTACCAATTCATTTCGTATTTACAATGAACAAACCTATACTGTCGTTCGATATGAATTGATCTACACGAGAAATTTTTTCATTACAAATTATCAGAGTTACGGAGATATATGCTACTATTCTCTCAATTTATGATATGTAATGCTTTACGTTAAAAAATTGATCTTATATACCTAATGGTTATAATCCACTAAGACAAGTTAATTGTCTTAATTAATTTCACCCGGGTTACAGTTAGAAAGTCGCCACAATGATGACAGCAATCGTTACACGAAAGCTCTTTATAATGCGATAAACAATAAAACATTTAAGTAAGACTTACGAACAATGTACCTCTCAGATTTACAATTTGATAAAAAGAATTTTACAAATGAGCACAGTAAAATTAATGCGCAAAATGAATACATATATGCCGGCAAAGGCTCATACGAAGAGTAGCACTCTAAAAGACATAACTTCTTAGTGGGTATAGATTATGCTAATACCAATTCGTATGATTTAAGCACCATCTCTGAAGTTTGTCTGGAGGAAATTATTTTCGAAATCGAAATAATCAGAAGTATATGCTATCATATGATCGTTCGTAGATCATAGCAGTCTCGGTAACCAAAGCAAAAATTATTCGATTGCAGTTACAACTAACGGAAGAACTAAGAAATGGATAAAAAAAGTCATATGGCATTTTCACCTCTAGTCTAGGTGGCGATCTTAGTTGAGATCCTGGTTTCTCCGATACGTCAATAAAAGAAACGGTTGTTGTTATCTCAAAATGCTGAGTGATTCCTGAAGAAGATTGGCATGATACGCCAACACATTGATAAGCTAAACTTTGAGGATCATCATACGAAGTAGAGATTCCAATAATTTTAGCTTGCGGATTGGCAAGCGAACCGGTATATGCCCAAAGAATCTGGATATGTATCCCCATCACTACGTTTGGACAAATACCAGATGAACCTGTCAATGTATTTAGCGAAGTCTGAGGTACATTTTGCCTTAAGATTGCAACCCAATCGCTAATATTTTCTACTGCTGAATTTCCATATGTTGCTACATATGTTGGCGCTTCAGCTCCAATCAATGTATTTATTATCTGCTCTCGAATAAGTTGACAGTCACTAGTCAAATTATTCAATTCAACTCTCAGAGCACATCCACTTCTCATGTTAATTCCAAATCGAATTGGAGTTCTATTGATTTGCTTTCTAACGCAAGAACCAGAGGCAGTCGGTGATATTACTGTAAACAGGCCATTTGAGCTACTACCGAGTAGTATAACTTGATTATTAGCTGTATTAGTGCCTAGCTTTCCAGCGAGCAGAGGTTGGTTAACTACATAACCAGGATTACCAGATCGCCTAAATGTATTTGCGTTACCATTATTTGTATAACTAACAGAAAATTTTTGACGAAAATACGTTGAATTTATATTAGCAGCATTTAAACTTGTTAAAGTTAAAGTCACAGATAGGCTAACTATTCCACGCGTACCATTAGTTACAATATCATAACTCAGTTCTTTTAGCACATTTGAACATGTGTTATTGCTGCTGTGGTACGTCGGAGAAGGAGCAAATGTATACGGACATGGTGATGAAAATCCGGTTGATACATCAATACATAAAATAGATGTTGATACATTAATATTGATCAAATCATCAGGATTGCTAAAAACTACCCCACCGCTCGTATTTAAAGCTGATGGAAGTTTAGCAACACGGATATTTTGAAAGTACGACCCAGCGGATAGGAAACTAAACGATGAGCATTCCCGATTAAAATCTTTAATATGACGATTACACTCACTAACATCGTTTACATAAAATAACGCGGGATTGTTATCATCACAAATATCTGAAAATAATGGCTTAGGTAGACTAAGTATGCCAACGACGCTATCGTTATAGATAACTTTTAGTCTATCACCGACTCTATAATATGACGTTGTTGTGGCGACCGACGCAGCTTGTGGTGTAAATGTTCTACGATATTTAGATGCTAAAGCATTAAATGTCACGTTATCTTGCACCTGTCTTGGGATTTCGTAATAATTTCTTGCAGCATTATTATCAATGTAAACGCAGAATAGCCCATTATCAATAATTGTTCTGTAGGTTGGGGTATTAGATATGAAAATTACGCCAGTAGCAACACAGCTTCGACTTCCATCGTTTGTTGGTGTTGCAACAGTGCAAGTTGTAAAGGTTGCTCGATCAATAGCGCTGCAGTCAGGATCGCAACAACAATTGACATCACAATTATCTCTGGTTAAATCACAGTTGCACGCTCCGATAGCAGAATTAAGCAGTAAACTTGTTGAAGAGGTCCCGGTTGTCACTGCTGTTGAAGTAGGGGGTTCCGTTGTGCCATTCGTTTGAGCCAAGGACAGAATGAACCAAAAATTAATTGTTAGTAAAACGCTGAAAGTGAAGCTTAAACGCATTTGTTTTATCAATGTTATACGCTGTCTGAATTTTTTAATGGCTAAAAAAATATCTAGATCAATTTCTCATGCCGTAGTTTTGAACTCTCGCAGACTTACAGAACACAAAGTTAGGAGTAAAATCATAAATATACTGTACTGTACAGTATGTACATACTAGTACAGTACATGCGTGGCCTTACAATAAAATACAGTACAGTATGTACTGTGTGGGGTAGCTCGTATCCATGGATACACAACATCATTACGCAGCACTACGGTAGTAGTGATGTGGCTCGGTGTCCAGTGTTGTTACGACGCGATTTTGAACTTTCGACTAGATTAATAATGATATAATTATTGTTATTATCAACAGTGAATCACCGTAACATTATTATTTTTGGGCTGGTAATATCATTATTACACATACGAATACGATAAAGTTGATAGTTATTCAGTTATCAGTATTCACCATGAGCGTACAGACTTTAATATTTCTACAAAAATCATCTACAAGCCACCTTCTCAAACGAAGATGAAAAGCTAATGTTGTAAGCTAAGCCAGAGCATCCACTGTCCCGTCACTATCAAACGTATTTTCTCTACGCGATTGTATTAAATTACATTATAATAAATTGTACAGATCTAATTATCCGGTTGGTACGGTACTGCACGAGTTATTACCAACTGAAGTTAAAAAATTTTAAATTTAATCATGGAAGAGATAACCAATATTAAGGAAGGTATTATGCTAAACTATAATCATAAATTTTAGTACCACTCTATTATTATAAAGTTTTGATAAAATAATAACACAATTTATTGTCTAACGAGAAAAATTTAAAGCATAAAGTTTAAAATTTATGATTACATTGGTTTTACAAAAGTACTTAAGGTACCCAGTATTCCTGGATACCGACTCATGGCATACATATTTGCTCACAATAGAGTGTGTTCTTACAAAATTGATAAATTATAACGTGAATACTCCAAGTATAATAAAAAACGAAAAAGTAAACACATTTATTTTAAATGCCAATCTTGTAACTGTGTTATACTTACTACTTCGTTCCTAGAGCTTCATGAAGACAGATAAAATAACCGCTGTAATACTCTGTATGATTAGGAGACAATAATAACTGTAATACCTTCAGAAATTTTCTGTCGCTATTATATTATAGGTCTTCCAACACTTAAAATCGCAACAATTTTAGATGAAGACGATCAAGAATTTCACTCAATTATTGGTCGAAGTTATCGCCAGAGTTCTCTTCCAATAATAGGGCAAGCCATCATAATATCTTATTGATAAAGCCATTACTACAACTTAATTAATTGATTTGTGCAATCGTATTACGCCATTACTACAACTTTCTTTGACTTACTCTAATATTCATAGAATATGATTACCAATGAACATTACTATGTCGTGATTATCACGAATATAGCGTACTTGACATAGCGTCCGTTCCCCGTATTATTTCGTATCTAATATATTTATACGCAATACATTCTAGTAGCTTATATTAGATTAGGTCTATACTTTAGCAATGCGACTAAAATAAATTATGCAACCAGTGTATAAGATCTATTGCAAGAGCCATACATACGTTACATTGTACACTTTATAAATTACTTCACTCTTTGCTATAGAACTAATTTCCAAGTGTAAATGTATATATATAAATATATAAGGTTTGCTGATTTTGAAACCTAAGTTCAGGAATTTTACGAATAATTTTGTAATATTTTGCAATACTATATTCATAAAATGTCGTCTCATGCGGCCTCAATAATAATAGTTTTATAGACGTAACTGTTCCCTTTATGTTACCTTATCACCTATAACCGTTACAGCTATTGGTTCTTACATTTCTACAAATATGTGACCTAATCTGCATATCTTCAACCCTGCTGATATCATGATGTCGGTATATTATATGCTGGATGGAGGATTACAAATCGCTTCATTAGAATTAGGAGGCCGTTAAATTAGTAGATATATGGCGTGCAATAATATCAGAATATCAAATAGGAAGTCTTATACTACTAGTAATGTTAAGAGCTGATCTGCATAAAATCTGTGAATCAAACTTTTTACTGTTCTTAAATTACAAATACTGCCATTATGGATTATGTTATGTATAGGCACTACTTCCTTGAACTAGTTAAACGTTAGAATCCTACCCAACTCATTGCTGTTAGTATAAAGAATATGCACCTTATACACGTAATCTCGAAATATATATTTTAGTCTGCATTATACCATGCTAGGTTACTGTCCTATATCTTAATATATGGCGGTAGCATTACGTTTTAATTATGCATAAATATACGCGTATATACGAATATATCTCCAATTAGTTATACCTCTGATAGTACATAACTACAAATTAATTACATATATATAGATTTTAATAACGTTATTCACGATAGTTTAGATATCAAGAGTTTTCTAGAGAGGATTAATTAATTTTAAGAAATTTAATATGTAATACTACTCAGTTGTTTCTGCTATACTAACAGGATCATTTGACAATTTTAGAGGTAGTTATGAACTAGCACCAGCAGTTTCCCCTGCCAGCATACCGTATCATAGAAATAGAGCGGAAATAACAGATAGCCATGAAGGTAAGCAATCCAAAAGGTCAACCCTGAAAAGAATAGCAGCGATTCACCTCAATCATGTTGAAAGCAACTCTTACGACATTAATAAAGATTTAAACTATCCGTATTTTGTTTGGTGCCCTTCAAAGATTAAACAACCTGCAGTAAAGGTGTTGTTCGCTTCTATTTTCATGTCTGTAAAGTTTAAGTAACAGATTCTATCCGTTAACAATAACAAAAATTTAATAGAATAATCCGACACAACCTCTAATACTAAAACTAATATTTCTCATCTTCATTTTCTTATAGTTGTCCCTCAATAAGTAAGTTTATGTTGTTCTAAAATGTCGAATTATTATAAGATTTTTGTTTTGAAATGACATGAGCACAATATCTAAGTTCTGATATCATACAATCCTCTTGCTTGGCTAGTTGTAATGATAAGGTTATACCAAAAGACTTAACAAATGACATTCTACCACTAAATCTTCGTCCTTCGCAGAAATTTCTGGTAAGTAAGGAGACAACTAAATTTATGTCCATAAGTGAACTAAAACTATCACTATATAATTTCTTATATACTACGTATATTGTTATTGTGTAACGTTAGCGAGATTAACTAACCAAAATAACTATTGACGTTAGTATAGGAGAACCTATATTAGTAGAGATATCATACCTATCATAATGATTACATTAGTGTTGTCAACTAAAAGTATGTAAACGATGTAATCAGTTGTTATTTACGCTGCATTTGATAAGATAGACGGTAATAGATGGAATAACAGCATTAGTAAAAGCTTCTACTGTATTAATTAGAAACTATAGTAACTTGTAAGATGGTACATGATATTTTGCCAGTTGTATATAAAGCGAGATATTTCTGTAATTTGCTAGTTCTTATAGTCTGTTAACGTTGGCCTCCCAATGAATTGTAACAAAAGCTATTACTATTCGCTGGCGTTTTCTTTGGATTTGAAATTTATTACATATAGTGTTTAATATGTGTATTTCTGTTTTTAGCCTATTATAGGACCGAAAATCGATCACAAATTTAATCAATCCCAACAAATCGAACAAAAAAATAGTACACAAATGAACTATCTGAAATCGTGAGTTTATTTCTTAGCTAAGTTAGCACACATCGTCGTTGGTTTTACATATTTACCCTTGGATATTACTGTATTCGCTACCCAGCTATTGCTATTATATTAGTTGTTTCAGTATTTGGAAAGCCTAGTATACGGTCATAATGAGCTTATAATTAATGACTGGATTATCAGCTAGATGTACCTAAGGCTTCACTTTTCTACTGAAATTTTAGAGGTTTAACCGGAAATGATCACAGCAAAAAAATGCCACATAGTGTTTCTTTATCGGCGCTACAGGGCTGTCTCGTTCCTCCAGAGAACAGTTTACAATGGAAGAAATCACAGCTACATAAGCAGAACGGAAGGAAAATATACATTCGACTAAATGACACCACCAAAAATCCCAATAAAGAATGTAGTATCCAAAATAAAGCGAAAGTCAGAAGCCAAAAGTTTACATTAGGAAAATCTGAAACCCTAACTACTCATAGAAATCCTACCACCGTGATCGTTTCATTCGATAACGGTGTTAATTTTGCTAATCAGCATAAACGGTATGCAATACACTCTGTTAAAGATCCTACTGTACCACCGTCATCAATTCGATCGTCATCAATAGATGTATCGATAGACCATTTTAGCAGTTACTAAGGTTTCTTACAGCGTATATTTTAAAATCAGCTCTGTATTTTTATTTTTCTTAGTATATCTTTACCTTCAATGTACTGTATAAATAAGCTAATCTTAACTTCAATTAACTTACGCACTATATAATATAAAAACTGCCCAAAAAGATAGATGTGGATACATTGCGTGCTTGTTAGCGACAATAGAATGCAACAACGAAGATAAGGCTACCTTTATTCAACAGTTACGTAGTGATCGTTAATCTGTCAAAACGCGTGTAAAGTCGGATACATTGCCTAGTTGTATACTATTGGGCACTGCTCTATGAAATATTTGTATATTAATTCTTTTAGTACACCTTACTTAACAAGGTAGCCCGCTGATTACCTCATAAAGCGAGTAGTACAAATAAATCTGCTGTTATAGGCACGCTATAATGTGTTATGTAAGTTTCATATGTAACGATGATTCATACTTGTAATTAACTATAATCATTATTATATGATCGTACTTAGATTAAGGCAACGTTTAAAAATTGAAATTGGGACTACTTGCGTGTGCTCAACTGATCTAATGATCTCCACCTTCAGTTAGAATTGATTTATAAGACCTTAAAACAATGAAGCCCTGTAATGAGAGTATCAGTAATTCATTGCGATTTCTAAATAATTTTAGAGTGCAATTAAAAGTACAGTAAGGTTACAGGAATGTACAATGTCGCGCTGGAGAGAGTTTAAAATTTTTGATAAAGTTAAAGAAGACTTTACAAAAATCTTATACAGATCCCCTATGTCGGCTTCTTCGCAACAAAAGCCTACAAATTAAAAGTTCCCGTTATATTTGGCTTCTAACCTAATTGCCTTTTACACTATAACATACTCAATTATGTCATACTAGCTAATATTTCAACAATTAATTACCATGCAATCGTAACTAGAGAATTGTTGTAAATCATTCTATAGCTCTCTAATTAAAAGTTCATAAAACAATAATTTTCAATACATCGTTTACTCTGGATAGTTTCTATAAGAACTTTCACAAAATATTTAACCGAAAGTATTGAATATTCAAATCATAACTTTATTTATACCTCCCGAAAGCAATAAAATTCTTGGCACAATTTTCAAGCGCTGATATAGTATTATAATTCAATATATTCTTACACGTATGTAGTCTCATTCAATTCCAAAATAGTCAAGCCATAGGAAGCTGCGGACTACAGCTTTCATCGAAATTACTTATACTAGTCAGTTTAATTAACACTAATGCTTAGTCCTTCTTAGATGGTGCCATGGACTTATCCATGTTTCTCTTTATTACCTTTTCAATTTCATCTATTAAGACGAAGTCATTTTCGTCAATCCAATCTTCGACAGATCTAAGATTTTGTAAAAATTTTGGCCTTAGTGTAGTAACAAGACTTGAAAGATGTCTATACAGGCTATATTTACTTGATCAGCGAGCTTTCAATATTACAATTGTTTTTCCCATTATACAGTATTATTGTAAGTTTATAATTTTTGTCGTTTTTTTCCATGCTGGAACTGAACTGCCAGTAACTGTCAGGATCCTGTGAATACAAATAATATAAAATTGTTTATATCAGCTTTCTGACGTCAGAATAAGGTAAGAGATTCTAAGTTTCGATTAGCTTACAATGCCAGCAGCATCTTTACCAATGGCATTAAGGAAAACTTGTTTTTCTACATATGTCATAAACCACGTCAGGATAGATACACAGACGAAATAGCTTCGAGATGGCAATTAAAGAAAAAGTTCTAATACTCATCGTAATTAATTATCATCTTAAGTGTAGCACGTATATCTATGGGTTATTCTATCGCAACAGCTTTATCACTGCATATTATAAAATGCTTAACCAGATTTAAATTCGAATCATGACTGTCATCAGTAGCATTACAGTCTGCTAGATTTAGCAGCCGTGGCATCAAGAATCAAGATACAGTAAACAGCATACAATAAGAACCATTTTCGATTTAGGGAAAGGATTCAAGTAATCGTAAGAAGTAGCAATACCAGCGATAACACATGCCATTAAGCAAATATATAAACGTATATCCAAAAACTTGTAATTTTCTTGTAATCCCATACGGTCTATAACCACCTGAAATAATATGACGCAATAGTGTGGTCAGGTATGACCAGATAATTCCAAGAATCACACACCTAATGATGAAATACGGCTCGTATTATCAGAATATTTGTTACAGGCAGTAAATAACTAACTAGTTCAATAGTTACATTTATACGCAATGTTTACCGTACAAGCTTCATAGTGAATGATATAAATTATTGCCTTTTACTGTAGTTACATCAGACACAATCATCTTGTTAACTTATACTCATTTTCATATACGCGCATATACTGTGCTTGGCTGAAAGTGTCCTCCCGACGTCAGCAAAGTGTGCGGTAGTTAGAAAGAGAGACGGTCGTAACTCAGTTATGCCTAGTTGATACCATGCATGCATAATTGTATAATTATTGTATGCAAAGCGTGATAAGACTATTAATGTATTAACTATTTTGATTAAATTCTCCAATAGTACAGTATAGAGTACAGTAGTATAGTTACATTCGGGAATGGATGAAGAACACTACGATGCAGAAGGTGAACTGATACCACACAAGCGAGATCAGGAGTTAAAAACAAGTCACTCTGCACATTTACCGTTCGTATAGCATCGTCAATAGAAGTTTTAACTCTGGATTGATTCCACTTGTTAGTCTTTACGATCTTCGATGAATCCTCCTAGAAATGTATAGAAGATACAATATAGTCAAAAGAATAGAATTAGATCAGGGACTACTATAAGAAAGAAGTTTGACTCTGATTAGCTCTCAGCAGCGTTGACAAAGAATAATTCAGAAATTGCATCGTTTGACTAAATACAACACTTTACAACAGCAGATCGCAAATTGCATAGAACCTGTGCGGGAGCCATGGTGAATACAACAGAGTTGAGAGAACTGCAAGATTTTATTGACTGTGAAAAATTAAAGATAGTACGCGAAGTACTGTACAGCATACAGTAAGTTGAGCGAGGAAATTGGTCGATTACTGTATAGTATTTTTTATTTATTTATTAGTGTACAGTACTGTAAGTACAGTACTGTACAAAGCAGTGCTCCATACAGTACAGTACTGTACTGTACTGTACTGTACAATCCTATCGTTGATTATGTACAGTACTGTACCATAAAGTTGGTACTGTACTGTGTTCTATTGTACAGTAAATCGAATCAAATTCTATATACAGTACTGTACTGTACATACAGTACCTGAAGCCATCTTCTAAGGATAAAATTATCAAGTCCTAAAATAAAAATCGGTAAATTAAAATTAAAAATTTTAATTTTACTTTACATATTACAACCATTGCCATGTAGTTAACATACGAGTCGTATAGTAAGTCGCAACAGTGAAGTGTTATTAGTAGTACACTTAAGATTAAGATGATCACTTGCCCCATAATTGTTTTTGTTTTTGAATACACATACTTCAGGTTAACAAACCCAGTTAAGAGCATATGTATCAGCCAAGAAATTCCATCAATAGCGATTGTGAAAATGGACGGAAGTCCGAGACAAAGCTCGATCTATTACTATCGGAAGAAGCAGGGTATAATTAAATACGTATTCGTAAACCATAGAATAACGTACTCTTCCAAAGTTACAGAATGTAGTCGACTTAAATGGGCGTACGTAAATAGTTACAAACGTTGCAGTAAATTGCATGGTAGAATCCTTAGAACAAGGAATTTTATTGTACGGTAATTATTCGCTTGCTGTAATCCTTTACACATACGTGAAAGTACGTATAATTTTTATTACCAGTTATTTAGAAGCTAAAGGTCCTAGGGAGACCTGCAAATTTAAGCAATCCAGAATCGTTCGGGAAATTGATGTGGCTAATCGAGCAAAGGTAGAGATTCTGCTGAGCTCAATAACTTGTATTTCTACTTCATGACCGTAAATACTAATTTCGTAGTTTACTGTATTCTTTCCTACTTTTAACTCTAGAGTTTTTCTCTTCAATTAAGCCATGGCCCATATCGTTTGGAATACGATAGGAATGGAAGGTAAGGTGTGAAATTATTATGATATTAAATTTACAGTTACGTTGTATGGTTGCATATGCACGCTTATAACGCCCCATAGACACCAGGATGATTAACTGTAGATTAAATGAAAAGTGTCACTGGAGGTCCTATAACAATAATACGGTTCTTTCTCTTTTAATAATGTATAAATCTATCTGCTATGGTCAGATTTTTATTACTAGGAGGTAGAAAAGGTCATCAAGCGATATTAGACTGGTATACGAAAAATATAGTTACCGAATTTCATACGCAAGAAGAAACACGAGATATTAAGTATGTATCGTAAATAATATTAGTGAAAAAGATTAGGGGTATCAAAAAGCTAGGCTTATTTTTTTTATCTATTAATTTTATCTTGCTTATCTTTATCTTTTGAAATCAATTTCGCTATCAAAAGATGGCTACATAACGAGACGATGTTCGCTGTTGCACAGAAGAAATACATACATATTTACGATAATAATGGGCTCGAAATTCATCGCTTAAAAAGTCTTCTCTACATACACAAACTCGAATTTTTGCCATATCATTTCTTGCTAGTATCAATTGTAAGTTTAAAACGTCAGAAATTTTTAAAAAATTATTCCGGATTATACAATACAGTATGTTTATTATAATTCGTTCGCTAACGCGCGCTTTGATGATTATAACTTATTATAGAGCAGAAATGGTACTTTATCCTATCAAGATACGAGCACTGGGAAACTGGTTGCTTCTCATCGTACTAAACTAGGGAGCTGTAGCTGTATGTGCCAAAATCCTCATAGCGGTATAATCAACTTAGGACACCAAAACGGTATTAAATTTATGGTTTTTATTAAAATTTGCAAGTTTCATTTAACCGGTCTATGAAATTTATACTATATTTAAAGTAACTAACGCTGAACTTTTGCTAAAATCATGTAAGAAATACCTTAGTATACGTACGTTGACTGTCACCTTCAAGATCGATCATGCTAACCTGTAATACAAGCTATGAATAGTATTCTATTGATTACACGTAGGAACAGTAACACTCTGGAAGCCATCTATGTCTGATCCAGTCGCAAAATTATTATGTCACAAAAGCCCTATTTGCGCCGTAGCTGTTAATAGTAACGGAAGGTAGAATAAATAATCCCTAGAACTCGTTAACGACATTTGAGCTATGATTCGTACAATATAGTTACTAATGACCGTTATCATTAAATACACCTGAAATTCATACATAGATATATGGCTACGTCTGGTTTGGATGGGCAAATAAAAATTTGGGACCTTCGTGTCTACAAAGCTTTACATGTGTTTTATAATCCTAAACCTATTTCTGCTTTGGCTATTAGCGATAGAGACTTACTTGCTACTGGCTTTGGTTCGAATATTCAAGTATTTAATATGCACTTGAAAATTTTAATGGGTTTTATTCAACATGGATTATAAGCAAAATACTTTCATCACCAGATCAGGAAAGACGCCTTTATCGGACAACAAGAATCACTGTTCATGTCGGAATCAATACCGTCAACCGAAATTGAATGTCTTAAATTTTGTCCTTATGAAGATATATTGGGTATAGGACATAATCAAGGCATCAATAGCTTTATTATCCCGGGTTTGTAAATGCTTACACTTGATCTCTTGAGCAGTGTTCCTTATCTATAATTATACGTACTCGTATAATGCATCTTAGCTACACTTACTTAAATAGTAATTGTGCTGCAGGATCTGGTGAGCCCAATTTTGACGCCCTTGCCGCAAACCCTTTTCAAACCAGAAAGCAAAGACAAGAAACAGAAGTAAAGCTCTTGCTTGAAAAGGTTGTACTTACAGTTATTTTGTAATTGGTTTACAGTATAAAATTTCTCCTTAGAGTATGTACTGTATGTCTAGTAATAAATATATAGTTAATGAGAATCTTTAAGTTGCCAACTTTTACCACCTTTACAGATTCAACCGGAGCTAATAACCCTTAATCCAAAATCTATTCTTAGGCCGAAAAAAGAAATCTCGGTTGATAAACCGGTAACATCATTTTGTACCTCTATCATTGAATGAAGTTTAGAGTGTATATATATAAAAATTTATTGTTCAACGACCAGCACTTTACCCCACCAATTTAAATAATACTCGTATTTATGTTCTCTCAAATACGATAGGCGAGGGAAAAATTCGATGTAAAATTCAAGCTACGGAAACACAGATCAAAAACGAAGCGTCCTCTTAAGAAAGGTGCAGCTGCTATGAAATAAGACGGACGAAACTCAGCGGTTGAAAATGTTTTTGCATCAAATAAAATTTTACAAATGATAAATATGCACTCTTGCCAAATTCCTCTGTATTGTAGTTAAAGACCATATATAGTAGCAGTAAAGTTTTGTTCGTGTAACAAGTAGCCATTGCTGCTAAAAAGCATGTACGGGATAAAGGAGTAGTTACTAGTTTAGCCCAACAGTACAGTATTTAAATCTGATATTTTAGCTTAATATGCGTCATATCGAGTTTAGCGTAATCTTTCAAAGTTCATAAAACTGCTGTCCTGTTAAGGCTACCCATGATTATACAATGTACCCATCCTAGAGTTCTCACGGCAACCCGAGATCTCGTGTATCAGTGATTCATTCAGATAATATACATCCAAACAAGGACTAAATTTATTAAGATAACACCTTCGCATTGCCTATAAGCAGTTTTTATTGATTAAAATTTACAGACTCAGACATCCTCTACATTACTTCTTCTTTGCTACCCCGACAGTGCGTCCTTTGCGTCCTGTAGTCTTCGTATGTTGGCCGCGTACCCTTAAGCTAATTAAATTGTAAAATCCAATCATTAAAATCTATTTTACAGATCTTGAATTACTCTACGTACTATTTTCCACATCACGAAGCTTACCCCCAATAATGGCGAATACCACGATGCGCTCTTACTTTTTTCAGGCGTTCCAGATCTTCACGGAGTTTAGTTTCCAGATTGTTCGACAAGACCTGACCGTTATCATGTCATTAGACAAAAAAACTTTATGGATAGGAGAATTACAGAATTTATATATCTTACCTGAGAAAATTTACCATCCTTTATATCTTTCTGTCTATTCAAAAACCAATCTGGAATCTTGTATTGGCGTGGATTTTGCATAATAGTTATAACTTTGTCGATCTGTAGTTAAAAAGAATCTAGATTACAAGAACTAAGAGTGACAGATTTTAAGATTTATCTTTATTTTTTGTTGGTAGCCGTGCTAGTAATAATACGTTGTGAGATTATCTGCATGTTCCTACTAAAATTACACGTTTATGCTACCATAGCCTTAATAAACAGTACCAGCATCAGACCGAAACAAAATAATGACTAACGTGCAGATTTTATTTCTTAACTGCGAAATTAAGTAAAACGTTAATCTTTATAGATCTTACTTCGTCTTCAGTTAGTTCACCAGCGCGCTTATCGATATCAACACCAGCCTTCTTACAAACAATATTGGCAAATCTACGACCGCAGCCCTAGTGTATAGCGAAGATTACCGTAAAATTTACGATAGCATTCGAAATGAATTAATATTAGACCCATTTCAAATTTTATCCGTATTAACCACAATCAAAGTTGTTACTTTGAATTATGGTAATCAACGTATAGTAACAATATTTAGATAGTTTACAACGAATGAATAACTTGATGAATACAGCAGAAATAGTTTAGCCTCATATTCCAACAAGTCATAAAGTGCAAACCTTAATTGCGGTTAGGGCAAACATTATTTTCACCCTTCCATCGATGTTCGTGCCCATGACACGTAAAATATGTTGAAATTTCTCAGGAAGCACTAGCGAACCCTATTCAACAATACAGAGCTTTAGTTCCACAGTTGTACAACATGACCTAATATCGCATTCGCAATGGAAGGCTGTACTATAAGTGAGCATACAGAATATATTCTACTTCATACAGTATCGAATATTTTATCAAGGGGTGGATAATCGTTTACTTAGTTAAATGAAACAGCAATAATAAAAAAAATCTAGCAAAAAGCCATCACATTTCGCCTCATGAACACATCTTTTAATTAAACGGATTTAAAAAACCTTTAGTACATGCATTGACGTGCAATACGTATAATTCAATATTTAGTAAGCCTGGATCCAAGCATACTTTGCTGGATCGAGAAGGGCAAAGAATAGTTAAATTTAATGAAAATTAATCTCCAGCATAACACAAAATCCATGAAGAAATGCTCTCATTGACTTTATCGCTGAATTAAGTATCTTGACGGAGTATATAAAAAATAGCTATTTCAAGTAGAAACCGTCCTAATTACATCTTTTACGGTGATTAATCGAAATTCTTTCTTACGATGGCAAAGATATTTGACTAATTGCTATGTTAATATGTGTTCACCACTACGCACCATTTTTCTTCCCAGTCAAACCGAGATGCACGAGCCAGAGCCAAAGGACCGGTTCATCTCCTACCCAACGCTAATAACTGTATCGTACAATACAATATAACGATGCTACATACTGTACACTGTACTGTGTACAGACATTGTACTGTAGTACTGTACAGTACTGTACTGTACTGTACTGTATAACTCGTGCGTAAAAATGTTTGACTCACATTGTACTGTACAGTACTGTACAGTACAGTACTGTAACCGCAGCAGTTGTACTGTACAGTACTGTATTGTACAGTACAGTACTGTGTACTGTAGTTCAGATTGTCAATGGTACTGTACTGTACAGTCACTACAGTGCACGCGTACTGTAGATCGCATCGAAACGGCCAATCCTGGAAATCGGCGGTCACAAAATGAAAAAGCACCCTAAAAAAAAATAGAAATAATAAATTTAACATTTAAGACCTTAATATGGCCAAATCCTCCCCCCCCCCCAAAAAAAAAAAAGCAATTAGTTTGGCTGTCTTAAAACTCACCTAGAGCGATTTAATCATGGCATATAAATCTATAATTAGGCGGAAGCCATAATAATTTCACTGGTGCACGGACAGTGGACACTAGTGTACACTGCACACTACAGTAGTGCTGTAAGACCTTACACAAGAGTGTACTGTACACTTTACTGCACTTTACCTTGGTAAAAAATAAGAAGAAGTCCCTGAACTGTACAGTACTGTACAGTACAGTACATTCACATGTGAAAGCTTTAGCTGAGAGCCAGAGACCCTAGGGAAGACCTGGTGTATTCGTATCATTTCTACATATCATGAGCACACAGTTAAAAATTGCAGTCATAGCGGTGGTATTGTTTTGGTGGATGAACAAGCACTTTCAACTTTGCCTCCTTAATGGATACGGTGAATAACGTTCTGCTGATTTCGTTGTCTGACTCATATACCCGAGAAAATATATTTAAAGGTGAAACACGTTTCATATTACAGTAATTATTAATTTACGATAGTAATAAATGACAAACACTACCGTATTGCAAGGACAACCTTAGCTCTTTTGCATCTTGCTGATCACTTTGATCTGCAGTAAAACCAGGAACTTCTTAGAGGCCCTTGGCACAGTACAGTGAAATAAAATTTATTTATAGCCGCACAGTAGACCCTTACTTATGCACTACATGAAGTGATGTGGCCATAGAGTTAAGACTCTATAGATGTGACTCATTTAATTTAAAAGTAATCACATCTCACCTCCGCAAACTGCACAGTACTCTGTAACAGTGTGATCAGATATTGCACTGTAAGTGCCGTTGAAATGCAACGAATATTATTATTAATATTAACTGTAAATATATAAACGATTAGATTTCTTTGAGCACCGGTGGAGCTTCGAGGCTATTGGTAATGCTCATCCTACGGAGCAATATCTGTGGCAGTTAAAGACGAAGTACTATTCAGCGTCTGTTGGTGTGCAATGGACAACTCAGTCAGACCCTACGATATTTCAAGAATCAAATCTTACAAAAGTTTTTCAAGCATTAATCCTTTTCGTTGATAATAAAAGTGTACGGTATAACTTAAGCGGTATCATATTGCTGTAATAATTAATGATGCTACCTTACCATGTTTGATTTCAAATTCATAGTATAGCAATAATATAATGTGAGCGTTTACTCTTGCTACTTTTTAGTCAGATTGCATGAAAAGTGCCTCTAAGTGGGCGTCCTTTTGCAGGGATCTTGATCTATCTGTAAAAATAGTGGCTTGCCCTACCTCCGAAGGTTACTATTGATACTCAGAAATATGATCACTAAATGCTGTAATTTAATTCTGTGTTATGCTCTACGATATATATAAATTCGTTATTTTACACTTACAGTCTTACGTGATTCATGTAAATACTATAATTACTGTATACGGCATGTAAAAATGGTCAAAGTTGTCGATATACATACAATAATTTTAATTGTTATTTAAACGAAATTTAACGATACCATCGTAATTCAAAGTTTCTTGAAGGTATTAACAAACACAAATATTCATTTTTATCATAATTTAAGAAAGAAACATCGAGTGTTGGAGTATTGAGAATGAATTCGAATTGGTATGCATTCCGGCAAATCCATTTCCTGAAGATCAACACATCAATACTGACGAGGGTAGGGCTGAATTTTAAATTTATTGTCTGCGATACTGTCACTCTTGATCTTTACGTTAGTGCCAACTATATCAAATTATGATATTATGCAGAATTCCGTGAAGTAAATTTTTATCACTGAGATAAATTGTGAAGATCGTTATACGCGTAGAGATTATTTTTAACCTAATGCAAAGATGTACTGTAAACCCGAGCAATCGAGATTTGCGAATTCAATGAACAACTTGATGGATCAAAGATGATCTATGTTTTAAGTTAAAATTCTTTACATTGCAATTAGCTCTTTACCAGTATTGCATACCTTCAACGTAAATTCATACTTTAAAAAAGCGAAGTTAAAAGTTATATTTATCGTTCAGATACAATTTAGGACACCGTCAGGGCTAAAAGAATTAATCGAACCTAATGAAGCATTTGAGAATTACCATACTTTCCAGTAAAAGTAGTGAAGAGAATTCTGCACGGTATTACTACACTGTAATCTAATCATGATTGTATATTACATCGTACTAAAGCGCAAAACGCCAGATGAAATACGTTACTATTTATATACGCATGTATTGGTAATGCAATTTTACGCTTAAAAATATTAACTTATTTGTCACTAATAGTTAAATTTTTATCAATAAGAGAAACCCTTGCAATTTGCAGTACAGTACATGAAAATTATCTTACAATCAGTCAGAAGCAGACATTGCAGAGTATTATAGTAATGAAACACATTTCTCACCCTAGTAGTTCGTAATCAACGAAAAATGTGCGCTTTGTTTCTTCATAAGCTATGAGGTCAACACGTTATGATGATTAAGTGCTCGTAGTGTTACTTGTTACAACACACTTACAATTGCCATATTCCTTATTCAATAGAAAATGAAAGTTTCGGCATTAGTCGAATACTAGAAGCGCTCGAATGTTGCCAGTGGACTTGTATAAACTCTAATGACCTACAGCAAACGACAGATTCTTTCTGTCGTAGAAATGATCCTATTGATAATGATAATGAACTCACTTCAACCAAAAGCGTTAACGATAGTAACTCTAACTTTGCACGAAGCAGTAAGTGCTATGAACGTATGATACTGTATGACAGCAATAAATACTTAACGTAAGATACTTTACTAGAAGTTCATTGTATAGGTTAGCTTAAGTCAATTTTAGTTCAAGAACTTTCTGTTCTTAAATTGTGATATCTTAGCGATGCTAACGAGCTGCTTTCTCTATAGATATCGTGCTACCGAGTAGGTCTCATGAAGCTGAAGAATGTAGCGACACGGGAGTTGAAACAGAAAGTTTTGAAACTTTGTTCAATAGGATGAAAGATATGAAAGGTTATTTTATAGCTGTAGCATTATTTTTACCCGAAATCTAATTATATTACGTGCTAAGGAATACTCAATGATTAATTAATTCGTGTATTATGTTTTACGTTTATCCGTATGGCTAGATTACGCGGGTTCGCTGCCATCTGAATTAAGAAAAGAATACGCAGCAAAAGTACCGTAGTATATAATTAATTATTATACTGTATGCTTAGCTGGCAAACAACAATTGCCTAATGTGTATAAATTACATACTCGCTATTTAATTGTAAACAATGCGTTGATGTCTGCATTTTAGGTAGCAATAGCGTTTTGGAACGCTATTGGCGGTAGTGATGAGGAAATCAATGATACCTAACCAACTACGAAACTGATCTTCCTTGAAATCCCATTTAGACTGCCCGATACCAGGAGCTATATTAACTGTTGTAAATATATTCGTATGCAGTATTTCTTTCTTAGATAAATGCGTTTAACGATTACAGTTATGATATTTGTTCTTCGCCTGCTAAAATAGTTATGAATTTATGAATTTTATTTTAAATTATGTAACAATTTTATGAATGTGACCATTATAAATTCGTCATCCTATTTACCTAATTTGCTATTTCTATCTACCTTGGCTCATATTACCGACATCTTATAACAATTTTAATATTTTAGCAAATGATGGCAGTATTTTACCCATAACTACTTACTAATCTAGTATTCGCATGGGTACGAATCCAGTTGTATAATTCACGAGCAAACGTCGCACAACATAGTAGAACCTTGGTATTTTATATGTGATTCTGGGTGTAGGTTATGTATTTTGGTATCTGTTTGGTGACCTACAGAATGACGAATCGTTGATAGCTATCAGTTTAAAATGTAGTACTGTATTAGCTCGGAATTAATTGTAGTGTAGAGTATTATGCTAAATATCAAATACGTATATTGAAATTGGAATAAGATATAAATGCTGAGTGAAGCTTTGCTTTTTATTGAAGGAAACTATTAACGAATTGACAATGTGACTAACAATTGCAATTGATGCAGATTCGTGATATACAAATACGCGAATATATTTTGTGCACGTATATTAAAAGTGCAATAAGATATAAATCCTGAATGAAGCTTTGCTTTTTGTCGAAGGAAACTATTAAGGAATTGACATTGTGACTAACAATTACAATTGATGCAGATTCGTGATATACAAATACGCTTATATGTTTTGTGCATAAACGACTTTGCTAAGCTATTTGCGATATTTTTACTCGCAAAAAAGAGTATTTCACAGTATTTTAGACGATGTAACAAGGTTACGAGTACAGTAATTATTATATAACTTGCTGAAACCCGTAGAAATCTCACTGCTTTCCGTTAAGTAATAATTATTTATTTTTACAGAAGAAAGGGAAGAGTATAACTGTACATATATTTATTACAGCTGAGCGTAGCAGATGCCTGTCTCGTTATACTTCGCGTACTATACTTGTGCTTGTTACTTTACTCTACAGTTTAATTAATCATAATTGTTATCCCCATGTACGCGTACTGTATTTATATAATAGAATATTCTGATCAGTAGTAGTACAAGTAAATTAAATTTTCAATATTGTTTTCGTATAGTTTAAGTTAACAGACACAGTACAGTATAGTAAAATTCTCAGTTTACAATTTTCGTACCATAGTGTACTGTACTGTACAGTACAGTACAGTATTAAACTGTATGACCATTTGCTGTACTGTACGGTACTGTAGAGTAAGAGGCGCCAATTCCGTACAGAGGGTCTCTAAGGTACGTCATACTGTACTGTACTATACTTTTCTCTTTCTTTCACTATCAGTAACAAACTGATTGCTGTACTGTACACTGTACAGTACAGTGTTGCAGCCACAAAACCACTGAGTATCAGATACTGTACAGTACAGTACAGTACACTGTGTACAGTATCCCGCCTAGTGAGTACAGTACTTTTCACAATCAGTAACAAAAAGTATCGGAGTCGTACAGTATCGTACAGCACTGTACTGTACAATACTGTACATTATTACGGCTTCAAAGCCGACTCCGAGCTACAGTACTGTACTGCACTGTGTGTAACCGAGCTGCTGTACAGTACAGTGTCCAATACAGTACTGTACAGTACAGTGTCCAATACAGTACTGTACAGTACTTTAAATAACTCTTTAATTTGACTGCATCATCGTTTTAAATTCTGGCTCAAAAAAGGAACAAGACGAGAACAGCATTGTACAGTACTGTACTATACCTACTGTATCGTACGTCGTACAGTACAATGCTGCATTTTTATGATTTTGGCGGTTCACGGTGAGTAGCACGTGATAAGATGTCACGTAGAGCCTTTCCATATAAAAACCCCCCCCCCCAGCCATAAACATGCATGGAGAATTTTTCGTTAGTACAATACGGTAACCGCCATTGTTGGATGGCAACGGCTGAAGTGAACTGAACTCGGGGCAATTGTATCGTTTGCCATCGTAAATTTATTATATGGAAGAGACAAATCTCTCGCAATCCTCAGTAACTGATAATGCAATTTCTCAGCAATCCACTAGGTATTAAAAGGCTAGATGACATATGCAGTTAGTCAGATTGGTTTTTTGCGAACGTTTTTTGGCACAGTAATCGATGAGTCGACATGTTTTTTACACGAACTATTCAATGACCTATTTGATCTCCTCTATTTTATATTATGTTATTTATTTTTATTGGTGATACATTACTGACATTAACTTTACTTTCCTAAGAGCTACTGTACTGTATGTGTCCCTATATATTATTTCAATTGCTATTCCTTCGTTGCTGATCGTTCTTTTAGAGCCGAAATAAAGAAACAGATGAATGCTACCAATATATCTACTGTTTCTCTTCACCAGTCCTCTGTTAATGGTCTGAAAGATGATAGCTCATCTAATTTGGGCAAGCGAATTCGCCGATCATCTAGCAAATATGAGGATTTTGAAAAACCGTTAGAAACGGTAAGAAACCAGTAACAAGGATTCGTATCACAGTGCTTGACGTCCATGCTATAGGAATAGGGCTTCTTTCATATTTTATATAACGAGATTGCCTCTAAAATTATTTTAAGTTTGGGTACTATTAATGTTAACTCAGCTACGCGGCTGAAAGCAAAGTATAAGTATTTACAGTCAATTGAAATGTAAAAATTGCTAGTTAAATAGTTCTTACTTGTTCTGATCGTGCTGGCTAAAACGAACTCAATTGGACCTCAATCGTAATATAAAAAAGTATTAGGGATATGGAGCGTTGATTTACGATAACTTTACATAATCATATCTCGATTATGATATCCCGTGTAAACTTCTCTTTAAATATGTTAATACTTTGCTTTGCTTTAACGTTTTAACACAGAAATATTCCTGCAGGGTTTAGTGTATGCTATCATACTACGTTATTCTGCAGTACAGAATGTGTTACTGGCTGGCAGCGTAAAATATGCGTATGGTGCAGCAGATTCTGTTTTAAATACTGTACTGTAGTTCACGAAATGGCTACGATGTCTCTACAGCTATTAGTAACGCCAATGAATATGTGATTTTTTACGTCCTAACATACCAATATCCTGAAACAGCTTTAGAAAATTGAATACAGTATGATCGATTTTAATTAATTAGGTTTGTACCAGGATTGACTTAAACTGGTTGTGTGTCAGCGAATCGGTGCCGTGTTTTTAATTGTAATATTTTATTTTCACTGATGTCGGAATGCAATACGATTGTCAACGTGGTCTGAAACGTACTGTTTAATTTACTATACTGTAGTAATCGACTGTATGTACAGTATGTATGCAAAATATACAGTACAGTGCGGTAGGACTGTGGAGTATACAATAAATCAATGACACTGTAAAAGATGTAATACAAAATTTTTTGTTACTACGTAGTCATCTGGCCGCATCCGCGGCAGTAGGCCTCAACAAACCGCAGACTACACGCACGCCAAAACGTACTGTATTTTGTGATTGCATTGCTACAGTCTCAGTCAAAACACTATTTTAGTGGGGTGAATTCGCGCATCGGAGACATTTCTGATACTGTTTGTAGTACTAAAAAAGTACCGTAATCGACTATCGGGATGATTAGAAAAATTTTTCGTCATAACAGCGATTGAAACATCTTTCGCACGGATTAGTCTGAGATTAAATTGTCTGTTGCAGACGTAAGACTTTAATTATAGATAGCAATGCTTATAAATGTCAAGTTTCTGTTTATCTATGCCCTCTCTTATGAACGTTGTAGACAGTGTTACAGCACAGTATACCTACAAGAAACGCAAGTACAGTACGCTAATGCGTAGTAATGCTTACCACTCACTTACAGCATTATCATTGTCAATAAGGGATTAGAGAAGGATGCGGTTTTTCATGGCACCTGCGATACTGCATAATGTAAAAGTCATCTATTATTACATACCACTGTAAAGTAGTATTTATAGAGAAGAATACTGATTCGCATTTTGAAAGTTGTAATTGAATTCCGTAAGATAGAGCAGGCACATATGCGGCTTCTTAACCTTATTGTCGCATTTGTAACGCGTTTATGACATAACACAATTTGATTAAACAACAGTGCTGTAAGAAAATTATACTGCAATATTCGTTAGATTCTTCTTTTCGTTAACGAGTATTAGACTGTTACAGTGTGCATATCATGTCTTCGAATACATCTGTCTAACCGTAAAGTTGTTGTCAATCCTATAATGGCTAAACTGAAGTAATTATTGTCGTATTACAGAAAGTTCAGGGTAAAGGTCGTGATACAAATCAGCTTCGTTTCCTGAAGACAGTTATAGATGGCCTATGGAAGCACAGATACGCCTGGCCATTTCGGCAGCCTGTTGATCCTGTCAAGCTTCAATTACCGGTTTGTGATATAATTTTTATTGGGATTGTATAACACGTTATGTAAATCATAAAATATAATTTCTAGCTGTAAATATCAGTAGTCCTGTTAATAACAACTTTGACCTTACATGCAATGTGATCTATAGGACTACTTCAAGATCATCAAGAAGCCGATGGATTTAGGCACAATAAAGCGAAAGTTGGAAGGGAAAATGTATCATTCTGCAAAAGAATGTATGGATGATATTCTCCGAACATTCACTAATTGCTATACTTATAACAAAACCAGCGACGATATTGTTCTAATGTGCGAAGAATTAGAAAAAGTATATAAAAAGAAATTAGCTCAAATGCCTGCACAGGTAAAGTACATAAAAAATACCTATAATGTTACTTTCTGCCACAGATTTCTAATTAATATCTATTAAATGCAAGGAGTTTGAAATTACCTCAAAGATTAAAACTCCACCAAGCTTACAAGGCAAAGAAAAGTCGAAAAAGGAGAGAGCAGGTCTTTAAAAGTTCAGATCTATTAGCATCTGGTTGCGATTTTTTGACCACATATTCTGATTGTTTCAGTCACCGCGCCAGTTCCAGCCTCCGGTTCACCAGTTACATCGTCTTCAGCTCCGGTACCTACTGTTTCCGTAGCGCCGCAGCCCCAAGCTTCTGCTACGAAATCATTAGCAAAAGTATGTTTAGTGGTAGTGACTAAATATAAGATTATACACTAACGTTGGCAGCGATTACTATATGAAATAGGTAAAGAAAGGCGTTAAAAGAAAAGCTGACACAACAACACCGACACCGATTCATACAATTCCCGCCAAATCAGAATCCAATAGAAATCAGTCGAAACGACGGATTAAGAAGCCAGTTAAAGATTTACCTACCGAGGTGAAGGTACTGAAACTTAATGTTCTTATATATTAAAAAGGTTGTAAACCATTGTTGTTTATTACAGAAGGGGAAAAAAAAGAAAATGAATCCTCAGATGAAATTTTGCAAGGAGGTTCTTAAGGAGTTAATGCTGAAGAAGCATCGAGTATGTTAAGCTGTAGAAGCAGTTCACTTAAAACTTGATTATTTATACATGTGTATCTCTTATCTAGGCTTACGCGTGGCCATTTTATGAGCCAGTCAACGCAGAAAAGCTTGGACTTACCGATTATTATGAAATTATAAAGCATCCTATGGATCTTGGAACTGTTAAGGTAAAGTTATCCACATAATTCCAGCGTTATAACATTTTGAAATTGATGATATTGTTTTTCTTTAGGATAAATTTGAAAAATTAGAGTATAAAGCTATTAATGAATTCGCTGCTGACGTACGATTGATCTTTACCAATTGTTACAAATACAATCCTTCTGATCATGATATTGTAAACATGGCGAGGAGATTGCAGGATGTATTTGAATTTAAGTATGCTCAAATACCTGATGAATCTAGTAGCTCTGAGGTTGAACTAGAGCCGGAACCGGAACCGGAACCGGAAATAGAGCAGGAATCCAGTGATTCAGATTCGTCACACGATAGTGAAGAAGATAGAGCTAACAAATTAGCGCAACTGCATAAGAAGGTGCACAATCACTAATCCGAAATTATTTTATAACCAAGTACTATAGTATTAACGTTATGCTTTGCTGATAGCTTGCTACAGTGACCAAAGAATTGACAGCTTTATCTAAGGAAAAACCAAAACCGAAAAAACGCGAAAAAAAGAAACATGTAAAATCAACGAATACTAAATTAGCCAATACCAAGGGTAAAGCTTCAAAAAAATCATCTCAAGGTACGTCTAAACCTAAACCTAAGCAGCCTGTCAAAAAGAAACAACGAAAGAAAACGCCTCCACCAAAGTAAGACATCTTTTAATTTCTTGTAATTTTACTATCAAAGATATATTATTTCATACAACGATTTACATCTTTAACTGAACAGATCTAGAAAAAGAAAAAAGTCTTACAATTCTGAGGTACTGGATGTCGAGCCTATGACATACGATGAAAAGAGGCAGCTTAGTCTCGATATAAACAAATTGCCAGGTAACCATTAATTACTTATTTATCTTCATAATACAAGCTAAATGCATTCTTTCTAGGAGACAAACTAGGCCGTGTCGTGCATATTATTCAATCAAGAGAACCAGCATTGCGTGAATCAAATCCTGAAGAAATTGAAATAGACTTTGAAACTTTGAAACCTTCTACATTACGCGAATTGGAACGCTATGTACAGTCAACTTTAAAGAGACAAAAACGACCTAGTAATACAGCGTATAGATCGATCTATTACCTTTATAAAAGACAGGATAATTGATGAGATTCTGATAAAAAATTTAGGCGTCAAGAAGGCTGATCCGGTTGTTTTAGGAAAAGAACATGCAAAGAAGAAGGAAGAATTAGAAAGAAGGTTGCAAGATGTAAGTGATAGGTTAGGCTCCGCACCTCCAATCAAGAGAAAGAAAGGTAATCATGGCACTTTTAATCCGGAATTTGCTACTCAGATTAATTATAGTGTATATACTCTCTTTAGTAGAAGCAAAAGAGGACTCAGTAATTGATGTAGTTGGCAGTCGTGCTGCACGGTTAAGCGAAACCAGCGACTCAGAGTCGTCTGGATCTTCTTCTGACTCTGAATCCAGTTCAGGATCATCATCAGCAAGTTCTAGTGAATCAGAATCAGGTAGTAATTAGAGCCTCTTGTCGCCAATTCAACATGTAATATTCGTGAAAAGTTACGGTGCTATTACTCGAGGGATTATCGTCCGTCTTGATGTGGGTACCTGTATGATAATGCTTAATTCATACGCTGCCTTAGCGGTAAATTTTAATCGATAGCTAGTTGGCAGCGGGCTTGAAGCTAATAAATGTTGTAAATGCATGACAAACTTTCTATTTGTAATAGTGCAAGATTGAGTCACTATATAGTTATTGGAGAATGTACACAAATCTCCAGTTTTATATTGCAAAATTTGATACACACACCGTTTGTTGTCAAGTCGTTTCTTTCGGTTATATTAACTGCATATGCTACAACAAATAGTAAGATTGAAACAAGGACGGTAAAATAAAGTTAGTTGTAATTGTAGCGACATTTCCAAATCGTTCCCTGTTACGGGAATTGGGAAGCGTTCGTAATTGAATTGCGGTAGAAAAACTGAATATAAATTACATTGACTTTTATTTAGACATAGCTTATATTTAAGTGTGTATATTGATGTTAGATATGATTCTAGTAACGCACAAGTTCTAGTAATAAGAGCTTGAAACGGAATTATAGTGTATTACTAAAGAAATTGCCATCTAATTTAGTTACTTTTTCATTAACTATAATCATAACCCCTCGCGAGTTTGCGATTCTGATGTAACCTATTTATATTGAACCAAAAGATCAATAGTAAAACTTATACTGTTGTAAAATCAACCGCACTGATGTGCTACCAATATACGTTTGTTTAAATAAACGCGATTTTTACGAAGATATTTGATTTCTTACTGTCTGCAACTGCATCTACGTATGTGTAAATTATCCTGTAAAATGCATGGTTGATTATTGTCTGAAATATTAGTGAAAATATTTCTATAACGAAACTTATGATTTCTACTACTGTATACCTTAAATCAGAAAACGGTCGAGCAATTACAACTGAAGATGGAAGCGACAGCACAGAAAAGGTGAATGACGCTAAAAGTTCTAGTAGATAAGCCAAATTACAAGACTTACTCCTTAATTGCTTTGTCAGGTATTTACAAAAAACAGTTCTAAGGATCTCAACAGTACGGAAACGACTGCTATCGATGCTGCAGAGAAGTTCACTGAAGGTTTGTATTACTTCGTATAATTATTGGGAATTGGTAAGTCCGAGTATAAGGAACATTAACGCACACTTTTGCCAACGTTAAGGACGTGATGACATTGCTAAGGATAAGCCTGTAAAGGAGGCAGAATGCTACCCTTTCAATGAAGCTGATACAGTAAATGACAAACCTTTCCGAAATGATGCTCCTACAGTACTTGCTACTAATAAGCTAACGTCATCACCTGATATTGGTTAGTAAATGATTATCGAGTTAAAATATACTTAGATCACCAAAGGATAAGCTTTATCTTGCCAATGGATGTATTGACAATATTGCCGTCTGCAGTACATTATTGAGGTCACCTTCATTAGAATTTAAGCTGCTGTTTTATTCGACAAGTTTCTTTGTAATCAATCGAATTCGATTTGTCGTCATTTAGGAAATAGCTCTGTAAATGCCAACCCTATTGCATCATCAGAAAAGGTAACATTTACATTACTAGACGATAAGGTTCTCTCCTTGAGCCCAGAGAAAGCAGGTATTATATTGATTATAGATACTTCTGTATTCACTAGCAATATATTGAGCGCCCTTTCGCTAGTTTCAATGTACTTACCATATTGCTACCACGGATAATTAAATATGCAATATGAATTTAAACTGTTTTCTCTGAGTAGTTTGATAGTTTAAAATTTACTTAATTCGGTAATATAGGAAAGGAATACATGACACAGTCACCATCTATGCCAAGCCCAAATTCTGATACTAAGGTTGCGCCAATACTTGTGTAATACATATCAGCAATGAAGAATCTAAAGATTCGGTTGCTCCAATTTGTTATTGTATTCCTTGTGATTTAGACGGCAGTAAAGCTGAAGAATGTAAATTCGTGGTGCAATATTGCCACCGCCGATGTATCAGCCCTATCTGTTCCGAGCGATAAAATGACTAACAGCTTTCAAGACTTTAAGAGGCAAGCCAAAGAAAAGGAAGAACGGGTTTGCTAAACTTATCGATATGTATTTGTGCATTAACTGCCTACATACTAATTCCTACCCTAATATTATATAGGAAAGAAAAAGGCGATTACAGGTAGAGTACATCAAGAAGGAGAAACAACAAAAGGAAGCTGACCGCATACGCATCGCGGAAGAGAAAAAGAGGTTTACATGAATATTTGTGCTCGCTGTGATACAATATATTGCAATCATCTGTACTAATATATATTTCAGAGATCAAGAAGAAGACGAAGCGTTGGAAAATGCTAGGAAGGAGCAGTTAGAGCTTGAGAGATTAGAAGAGATGAAGAAACACGAAGAAAAAAATCTTGCAATGCAACGACTGAAAGAAGAGGAACGCAGAAAACGACAAGCTGTATGTAGCATGTAAAAAATAAGTAGATATCAATAACGTTGCTGTTCCTGCAACTTACAATTATTATACTATTTGCTTATAATTACAATAGGCTGCTGGTCACATTGATTTGTGTGGACAAAGTGATCTGATTGCCTCCTTCGAAGATCATTTCTTATCTCAAGACTGACGTAATTTATCATAATTTATCATAATTTACGACATGCCTTCTCGAGCAAACTTAGATAACTTATTAAGACGTGATTAATTAAGAACTGCATTTGAAAATAATTGATTTTTTTAGCCCATTGCACTGGGTACATTGGTAGGTAATGGGATAGATTATTAAAATCTGCTTGCAATCGAGTTCATTATATTAATATATTCCGAAATTAATTTCCGGCTCTTGCTTTTGTGACGTAAGGTTTGTAACCTATGTTAACCACTTAGGTTTTGACATGCAGTTAGTGAGTTGTACCTAGTTACTTAACTACCGCTATTATGCTAGAATATAAGCAATCCGAAAATGAACTACAAATTTATATATACAGTAACGGAATTTTCTTTTAAAGTAATCTCAAATTGTAAAAACATGTACGAATTATCAATGAAATAAATATCTTGAGTACCCATGTTGCTCTAAGACTGAAAGTAAACTTTAATAGTGAGTACGCAAGCGTAACATAAAACATACGATCGCATATCAACCCGCCTCCCTCAAAAGAATTGCCTTCGTGATGTAATTATATTTATTAATTATTGGCAACTAGTACCTTGTCCTTGAAAGAAACGCTAGGTTGGAGCTAGAAAAGCCTTTAACTTTCTCCCTTTAATTAGCAAATACCAACGTATAATTTTATTGATCATCGTATGCTATCGCTCTAAATGGTACTAAATTTAACTGCTGTGGGCTATGAGCGTAAATAATGTCACAACTTAGTAGAAAAATTAAAAATGAAGTTACTCGCAGCAACACAACGTGCTGAGGTACATCTGCATTGTAGGTCCTGGTAGTGCAAATATTTGAATATCAACTTTAAACATTCCTCTAAAGTAGATATCTTTCAGCGAAAATAAATGTCGCCGAGACCCGGTTGCGCTTCATCAGTAATTAATAATTAAAATTACTTTCTATTTAACCCCTAATTATAACACATCTTTGTGTCCTTAGATAGATAGATTTTATTTACAGTATATTTTGTAGGTTCCGGTGGGTAATTTACAACTAGAACATAATGTACTGTACTTCGCGCGTCTTAAACTTCGCTATTTACGCATATTAATTATAAATAATTAAATCTGCTTGACCACTGAGCCAGATCGGTTTGCTGAACTGCAAATAATCCAGTACTTACAATCACACGTATTCTATAACGTTCTCATTTTGATAGCGGTAATGAAGGGAAAACGGTTATCTACTATATAGCTAGTTTATTAGCTTTTGTCATACTCAAAGGTGTTCTACGCGCTAATGATACAGTTAGTTCTTGATAGAATTTCATACACATATGTACTCTATAAACAACTGGAACCATTATTTCTACAATTAATGCGATCAGTTACTCCTTAATCTTATATATTTGTTAAATTAAATTCACTTAGGATAATGATCCACATAGCGAGATATCTGAGTTTATGTTTGAAGTCCTTTTCGATAACATCAAATTTATAAAATTTAATATTTCGTGGTAAATTTATCGGCTAGTAAATATAAATTATTTAAAATTATATAGTATTATGGCTATCTTAGGAAGCAATGTAAGATATAAACATGCAAGGATAGAAAATTTACAAATTAGGCAGTGATCATTGAAAAATTCAACAATAGAGTGTACGCAGAGCCAGCACTATATACAAAATATAGTTGATTGTAAGTCATTGTATCAATTTCTTCATACAGTGATTTTTAAGAAAGTTATCACATTTGGACTTGGTAAACACTTACGTATTAGCGGTTTATTATAAAATACTATAATTTCAATGCCTCATTAATAGCTATGAGATAGTTATTGCACCTCAAACATCTCTAGGATAAAACAAAAGCATATCTTCTTACAGTAACAAGTATTATGTTTTCTGTTGGAATTTGAAGTGAATAACAACTAAATTATCGACCTTATCATAATTTATATTCTCTATTTAATAGCGTCTTTAAATCTTGATAATCACTTTCCAATTTGTTGCTAACTACAGCGAATCTTATTTCTGTTGAAAATTTACCAACCGTGAACAACTGTACTGTAGTAGTATACGAATACAGCAGTGAGATCTATATTACTGTATATTGAGCAAACAGTACTCGTACTACAAGACAAAATGATACTTTCGTATACCTTTGCCTTTCTAATACTCTCGGCTAACATCAATATTTTAGCTTTAGCTACGAATAGAGCTGTTCATAGTGAATCACTGGATCTTGGCATTTCAACATCTTCGAATCAAATTTTCAAGAACTACGATAAAGGATCGACATTGACTAGCAATAAACAGGCAACTCCTGGAGGTTTAACCGCATTTCATAATACGCGTGCATTCGACGAAATACCGTTTTATGAAACCCAAGTCAGAGATTTCCTTGCTCCGCTATATCATGACTTCGAGAATGATGATAAAGAACTTCCTAAAGCTTATCAGTCTTGTCCGAATTACATATCGTTGCTGAGGTTACTTTCTGCATCTAAGAAGAGATTGACAGTTCAGGAACAATATGTGAAAACTTTAGAATCCCAATTGAGCAATCTCCTCCGTCAGAAACAGCAATTACAATTTAAGCAAAGGAAATGCCACAGTCTAAGATTGTTTGTAAATCAAAGATTCTGTCAAGCACTTAGAAATAAGAAACAACGCAACACGAAGGCTATCCGCATTTGTAATAAAGTAATGAAAAGTGAAAAGCAACGAATGCGTAATTTTCGTAAACAATTCGAAAGAACTAGATCAAGACTTTGGCGATGCACTAACCCATGGTAGTACTCGAAAAGTGGTATCTTACAGTATCTGCGAATATTTTGGTACTGTACAGTCCGTGTAATCGTAGCGATTTACATTGCAATCAACTTATTTTTATGAAAGTGATGGTGATATTTGAACATTAAAGAACTTGAAGTAATAAATAACTGTTTACTTGAACTAATGGCGGTAAAATTTTATTATGGATTTGACCGATTTGTAAATGTACTGTACTGTACTGTACTAGTACAGTACAGTACTATACAGTACAGTACAGTAGTATTTTTAGTACAGTCCATAGTACGAAACCCTTGCTTTTTTATACTGTACTGCATGGCTGGAAGGAGATCTCAGACAGACGGATTTTTCTCATCAAATGAGGCCTTACAGTTAGGTCTACTTAAAGCAAATATCGAAAAATGGCTACTGCACTTAGTATGGATCTTCTATGTCTGTTTTCTAAAATCACTTGTACTAAATTAAATAGCATCTATAAAGCAGTAGACAATGTGACTTGACGATCCAGCTCTTTACTGTTACTGATGTCTCCTCTATAACTACAGTACAGTAGGTAGAAAAGTGACCACTAAATAAGCTTTGGACAATCAATTTTCATTGACTTTCCATTATGATTGAATGGCGACGAATTTATACTTTCATAGTATCAGCAGTACGAAAATACTATAAAATTCTATAAAAATTGTAGGAGTAGGATAATACTGTTGATCTGAACTTTGTAACAGATAATAAGATTCAATGTAACATTAGTTAACTGAGAAATTATCAGTTAATTCAAAATCGACCGTCTGTATACTGAAGTAGTGCCAAAACGAAGTGTTTGTTTGGTAAGATATTTTGACGAGATGAGACCGAAAATGTCTATCCGTCCAAGAGTGACCAGTACGTACATTGTTGTATTGTTACAGTAAAGTTAATTAAACAGTAATGAAATGTCATGACAGGTCGCGGCCACAGTTTCTCGGTGGACTTACAGAGTTACAGTACTGTACGTGCAGACGGTAATCAGAGCTTTGTAAGTGTAAAAGTCAAGTCAAGGTCAAAAAAGTCAACAAGCGAGAAGTCATGATCGCCTTGACCTGCCCGTGACCCGTGTGTAATCATGTGACGTCATGACTAGATCAGTGGTGTTAGATTTGACTTTTTTTTATTACAAAGTCGCGGTTTTAGTTTCGGGTCACTGACCTTAACGATTTTGCGACCGAACAAAGTCAAGGTCAAGGTTTGCTGAATAGACTACCGTAGGCGTCTTTTTAGTGCTAAAAGGTTATATTCATAATAATACTGTAGTCCATAATAAGAAAAGAATAAGAAACCACTGTCACTATGGCATTCTAATGGCTAGATCGTTTACTGTCTGTACAAAAACTGTTTTAATTTTATAGTTAAATACGCGTTTTATCATATAGAAAACACATAATAGACAATATGAAACTACTGTTTAGGTTTATCCAAAGCAAATTGCTAGAGATTGATCTTTAGTAAAACAACAATGATAACCCTAAGGAACTCTATAACTACAGACTGTATAATCTGTGCTGCACTATCGTCACATCCTGTGTTTACGCGTATTATTGCGGCACTGAGTGTGATTATTTTGATAAAATTGCTAAATTAAGTTAAGTTTCGATCCTAATTGACTTTGAATTTGCAAATTGCATTTCTGGTAGAAATTGTACAATATAAGAACTGTTTACTTCTAATCGTACTCACTTTATCGATTAAAAAATGGTGGTCTCTAAATACACTTCGCCTACAATTACAATCCATAGCATATCATTATATATATCTCTTAATTAATTAATTAATTATAGGATCATAAGGTAAAGTAGTAAACGAACAATTACGCGCAAGAATGTCCATAGTTATAACCTACGTACGGTAGAGTTATAAATTCTAAATGAATCCGTAAATTTAGTTATACAACGTTAATTACTAAGCAACATAAATAATGTACCGTACTCTACAGTACTGTACAGTGTACAGTACCGTACATCGGTCATTTTACAAAATGGTATAAACCCTTAACCCTTAGTTATAATTATCTACAGTACTGTACTGTACAGTACTGTACAGTCGTACTGTACAGTACAGTACAGTACAGTACAGTACAGTACAGTACAATGGAGTACTGTACTGTACTGTATTTGTACAGTTACAGTTACGCTTGAAGTCACGGTCACTTATGTGAAGCATGTCGGTGTCTCAGACCCCAGCCTGACCTTCACACTGAAGCTTGTAGAATTAAGTAAAAAAGGCCGCTATATGTAAACAATACTTAATGACTGAGCATATCCGTGGGTACGCAAGGTCATCTTGTTTACTATCTTTCCCAAGCCAAAAACAACAGACTGATGAATCACATGCACCGTACTTGACCTTAATGACCTTGATATGACGATATACAAAACAAAAAGGGGCAAGCATTTTACCATAAAAGTGTCTCGTACCACAGATAGAAGCGACATTCAAAAATATTCCATCAAGCAGAAGATATCACTAGCTCCTGTTCGGCGACAGCGCTTTACGTATTTGCTTATTTTGTTCAGCATTACCATCGTACAGCATCCTAATTTATCATCTTATCTAGGCTTACTGTGAACTTTAGATCCCTTAAATCGAGAAGCTGAAGGTACTTTGTAGTGATCTCGTAGAATTTGTATATACAGTACTCTACACTGTACTCGTATATCAGTAACAATTTAGTTTGCAGTTAATTCAAAGTACGAGTGATTTTTACGATAGTGCCGGCCGCCTCTGCCAACTTACTGCATACCGTAAGTTCTAAAATCGTAACTGCAGTATCCAGTAAAAAGGGCTTCCGTAATTACAAAAACTGTAGATTTACAGTATAGTGCAAGTTAATCACATACATTAAACCATCCCGTGCTGCACTATACCGCACAATATTCGGTAGTAGATAGCTTTCTTTTCTAGTTCAGCTCGTTAATATTCTGTAATGTCAACAAGATCAAGTGAATACATCGATTCTCCAACCGCGGCTGCGAAAGATGAAACTAAATCTTTAAGCAAGGAACTTTGTTGTCTAATTTGCGGGGATAGAAGCAATGGTCGACATTACGGTGTTATCAGTTGTGAGGGCTGCAAAGGATTTTTTAAACGTAGTGTGAGACGTAACATGAAGTATGCGTGTACATGTTCAGCGAATGCCTGCAAAATCACAAAGGCAAACCGAAATCAGGTATGAGATAGCATAGTAAAAATGCAAGGTATCCATCCGGAAATAGGACGAGTTTATCAATTAGCTACACTTCGCGGATCTACATTAATAATTATAATTTTTACAGTGTTCTTAATTTACCGAGACCGGATTCGTGTTTTCTAGTTTTTAGAATCGATCTAAAATGTTTTCATAAATTACTATATTGTACTGTACTAGTGTACTGTACTGTACAGTACAGTAAGATTTTTAGCTTCACGCATTTTTCTGCCCGGCCGGTATACAGTACTGTATACTGTAGACTGATATACTGTATACTAAGTACAGTACAGTACAGTAGCACTGAAACGTAGAGTTAAAAGCCCAGTTTGGCTACGCCGGGTTTCGTGGCCAGTGTAATATCACTAATATCTAATGTTAATGTTATTAATTAATTTCAGTACAGTAGTTTAACATACTGTACTGTACTTCGTACAGCTACCGGTACAGCATATTATTTAGTAGTGTCTGTACATAATAACGATTTTTAAAAAATTATTTTTCATATGATAGCTAGCCTGTGTAAATAAATAGTGTTACTCACTTCCTGCCAAATTGTAATAATTAATCAATTTCCTTATTTTGAAGTGCCAGTTTTGTCGACTGCAGAAATGCTTCAAGGTGGGAATGAGAAAAGAAGGTAAGAAACGTCTCTCTCTAGTACATAACTAATTTCTATAAAAGTATACTATAAACCAGTTTAGTGCCGGAGGGTGTACCAGGGTACATGTATACTGCAGTACTGTACAGTTGAGTAGACAATTATATATTTCAATAGTGTGGATACTGTAAATGGTAGAGATAAAAAAGCTAATAATAATCATATACTACTGTATACTGACTAATATCCGTTGCTTGCTTGTTGCACTATGCAATATTAATGACATTCTGTAATCGTTAGTTGCTGACTGCTGCTGTGTACTCAGTATGTAAATACATAGCAGATTACGCTGTAAACTTATCTCGCATTAAGTTAACTGATTATTCAATTATGCGGTATGAAAGTCGAAAAATTTACAAAGTGTGTTTTACTATTGTAGCCGTTCAAAAAGAAAGGCACACGTCTACCATTCGCGCCGATCGTAATTCTGGCAAAACCGAGAAAGAAATGACACCAGATTCAGAAACAGCAATAAATAGCCTTATTAAGAACCTCGTCGCAGCTGAGACATTAGTACTTTCTAGTAGAAGTCTGCAACTGCAATCAGGTTTTATCGGATTTGAGGCTATCTGCCAATCTTCAATGCGAATTCTCTATTCTGTTGTGGAATGGACGGTTAAACTACCCTACTTTTCAGAGATGACTAGTTGTACCGATCAAATGACACTGCTTAGATCTTGCTGGTCTGAATTATTCATTTTGAATGCTGCCCAATGGTCTCCACCATTGAACATGTTTCCATACTCCACAACCAGTAACTTTTACCTAACTCACCCTCAAGAAGTCATGCATCATATATGCCTTTTTCAAGAAGCTATTGTGAAACTTAAGAAAAGATTTATTGACACAACGGAATTTTCTTGCTTAAAGGCATTGATATTATTTAACCCAGGTAAACTGAAATAAAATAGCTTTCCTATATTTTTGTTGTAAATTTATGATAGTTACTGGATAACCTTTTTTTGGGAATCACTTTTTACTAGATGTTCGAGGATTAGTCAATCCAAATTATGTCGAATATATTCAAGAAAATATACAATGTGCTCTTAAACAGCATGTTAAAAGCCAATATCCAGATCAACCATCCCGCTTTGGTTATCTACTTTTAAGATTATTAATGTTACGCTCTATTAGCTCTAAAGTTATCGAAGAAATATTTTTTACGTCGGTGCTTTGTCGCCGTTCTATAGATATTTTCCTCTGCGAAGCTATGGAATCAGTGAAGAGAGCTTAGCGTAGAACTGATGAATTAATCTTATTAATTATCAGTGTTCATAAATGGTAACTATAGCAAATAGACAAAAATCATATTTAAACTTCATTCAGATACGCTGAAATCATAAAATTTTGGATTGTAAAAACAATTGCTTTACTCAAAGGCATCACTTGTTTCGGACAGAGAATTTATCAAGCATTGAAGATGACAATGCTAACCCTGTACCGGTCTATTTTATAGAGCTAATTCTAGCTTAATATAAATAGTATACATGTTTAAATTAGCCTCTTCCCGATACTGATTTTAGATTTCAACTTCACTTCCTAGAATGAAGTGTAAATAATGCATTAATTTCTTTTAATTCTTTCAATTGATAATTTAATTATAATAATACATTTACGAGTTTTTATTAGCCAATCTATTCTCTTTCGTATTCATTACTTCTGCTAATATAGCAATTACTGTACTGTACTAATAAAATCAAACTAATCAATGTTATTAGAAGACATGGTTTATTACATCCAAAAAAGCGTGTATTGGCCAACTATTAAATTTGTTTACTACGTAATGAAAACTAAAATAAATGGATTAAGCGTACAATTGGGCATCTTGATTCCTCTTAACTGTTGAAGCAATTTACGAAAAGTCCATAAAGTCTATCGCCTTGATTGACAATAATCGGTTTAGTCATTAGCTTTCAATAATAAATTCGCGTATCTTTTGTCATTAGTCAATGACAGTAAAATATACAAAACAGTTTATATTAGAATATAGGTGCAATATAATATGATTACACAAAATTTATTATCCGCGTATGTATAAACCAAAACTTAATTTTTAAATATCAAAGTTAACTATATTCGACTTGCAAATGCTGCCTTTAACTATAGTGTTTTACCTAACTACGGTGGTAGAATGTATCGCAATTCAACATGTATTGATTAGAACAAGCACATAACTGTACGTACTTATTTCACTCTATTCCTAGGTAATGGACTTGCAGTTCAGGCTACTTAAGTATTTAACTTAAGCTTTTTAATGTAAGAAATAAAATAGATTATATTGAAATGACTCTTACTTCTATAAGCTGTAGCACTGTATACAATTTAACCTGTAGTGTCTCATACTGATGATACCAGCAACAGAAGACATTTACCTTAGTCTCACTCAAATGTACAGTCAATGTACTGTGAAATGAGTATGGAATTTAATCCGAACGTTAATTAATATAAACAATATCATACATTATTCGTTGCTATATCAATTTAAAAAGCCAAGACAAATCGTCCTTTATTTCGTCAGTTTACCGTACGTACAGAATTTAGATTATTGTGCTTGTCGAAGTAAATAATAATAAACACATAAAGTAAAAAGCACAATAAAACAATTTATTAGCTAGCCGAATAGTGCAGTTGTAACTGTACATCAGCTAAAGTAGTCAAAAACCACAGAAACAAAACTAACTAACCTAAAGGGTAGAAGAGCTTGGTTATATAAAATTTAAAATTTCCATCAAGTGTAGGTGAGACGATCAAGATAGTGATTCTGGCACTTAGCCACAATTACATAACTGCGGTACTGACTCATCAAACATTAATGCAGTATTAACGAAATTAATATCTGAGATGTTTGGACTTATGCCTTTCTATGCAAAAAAATCCGATCGTGACTGATTTATACATACTGTTACATTCTGTACATAAAAAGCTGTAGACAATAACAATATCTTCTGTAATTGTAAATTCAGCATGTTTGTAGGTCTGCCGAAAACGAAAGTTAACTAAAACTTCTTTTGTAGTACTAAATTGTACTATTTTCATACAAAACTTTACGATACAAAATCAAATTAACCAAAATTTTCCAAAACCTAGAAGAGTACGTAAACTACTTAAAGAGAATTCTCAATTACCACTTACAGTATAATAAGCAGAACCGGACTTAATACAATACATACATAAATCTACCATTATAGCAATCTTAGCAAAACACTTCATACTGTATCTTGTATTTAGGCTAGGCCGTGGATACATTTCTACCGTACGAATACTCATCTCGCATACAAACGAACTATATCAATACACCTTAGGAAACAATTTCATACCCACTTTAGCCATTTTAAGCAGTTTTTCCTGCTGATTAGGTTTAATATCATGTTCAGCAAACCTGGAACTAATTTCGTACACTGTAAACATATGATTAGGATTGGGTGGGTTAAACCAATGAAACCCTTTATGATGTGTCGGTTTTACTCCAATTTTCCTTGCCAATAAAGAAATATAAATATCGTCGATGGTTTCTAACTTCTTAAAGTATTTAACCACTAATAACATATCTCTCAAAACATCGTAAGAAAATATATAAGAGAATCCAGAACAAAATGCAGGAAATAACGTTTCATTAAAATCTTGGTACGATACAAAGTATTTATGCTTCTTGTCACGAATAGGAATGCGCTCACCAGGTTTGAAGTTAGCCCGACCAAGCCATAACTTTGTCGTATTTTCATTCGCCAATTTGACTAAGTACTGGAACAAACGTGGGGCATTAACAAAGACGTCGTCATCACCTTTATACAGGAACATAGGCTTGCAAAAACTATTTGCCCACCGCATACCAAGTAAAGTCTTAAAAGTAAGATTTTTCATATGATCAATGAAATCACCTAATACTAAATCCCCATATTTTACGGATTCTTCTTCAATCTTCTGGTTAACATCTTCCGAGGCCTTTCGGCCTATTATGAAAACTGTCCTCCATGCGTAAGTGGTATTTAATAAATTATTATAATCAGAGCCGTTGCCCCAAGTCTTTCTTATAGCATTACGTTTTTCAAAATTTTGAGGATTTGAATTGATCACCATTAATAGAAACGCGCGTGTTTTGCAACCTTTCGCACTTGGACGACGACTAAAAAATTCGAAGTTAGGGCTCATTTGAATTACCTTTTCTCTTGTCGCTCTTAAAATCTTTTGATAACGAACAGGCAAAGATATTTTTATGGAAGTTTCATTTGTCTTGTTCCACCGGCTGGTATATAATTTAAATAGTAAAATCACATTCAAGATAATGAGAATGATCATGAATGTTCTGGAAACTTTAAATCTCATCTTTAAACGATCATATACGTACGACCTTAACCACGATTCATTAAGATAATATAGAACAGTCAATCAAATTATGAAAGAAACGTCTAGAAAACGCCTGTACAGTATTTGATCCATAAAACGATAGCACTGTATGTCTTACAAAACAAGGAATCAAAATTTGTCCACCATAACATCGAACGGAAATTGATTTATGGTAAGAAATAATGAACGTGGTAAATTATGCAGCAAAAGCTTACAGTACTTCGATCAGTGCGGTTTAGCGATTAATCGCAAGCTTTTTTAAAAAGTTAAAAAGTATTGTACAGTACTGTAATTGCTAGTATTGTACAGTACTGTATGAACAAGAGTAAGAGACCTACAGTACTGTATAGTAAAGTGCAATACAGTACAGTATATGAATTTGAGTACTGTACTGTACAGTACTGTACAGTAGAGTACAGTAATGGGTAACGTGCAGGTAGGACTGAATCGGTAGGATTATGAGCCACTGCACGTTATACCCTTACTTCGCGTACTACCATGACACACCATTTGACGGATATGATGGTGACTGATATTTTGCATTAGAAACTTTAAAGAAATAAAATTACTCAATACATACTGCAATAAAAGTAATAAAAGCATCAAGAGCCAATTGCTCAAGGTTGTACTGATCTGTCTGCATGGAATTTGAGCCAAATTTAATGTGCATTTCTTTAAAATTTAAAGACATAATATACGGTACTGTACTTGTGCTTTTTACTTTAATGTACTCGCTCGGTTGGAATCAATACCCATACAATCACATTGTTGATTGTGCTATGTTGTTCCATCTCAATAGCGACAGCATATTAGACAACAAGAAAACTATTTATTACAGCCATATCTTAACATTAACACTGTTTTATAAACCGAAATATTCTACTCTACTGTGTAAACAAGTTTCTACTCAATGAAGAAGGCAGTTTATCTTCTACACTACTATACAAGTATACAGTACCGTACTTCTGACTTCCAGTGCTTTACTCACTGCTCTTTATTATCTTCATATTGATGCCTGGTATATTACATACAATACTGTACAGTACAGTTCGTCATGTACCAGTGTTGTGCAATGGAGTGAAATGGTAACCCGAACCCGATAAAACTCGATCAAATTGTTGATTTTCTAACCCGAAATGAGTGCAATCGCTATACAGACACTGTATCACCGTAGAAATTCTTATCTCGAATCGCGCCTTCGAGTCGGGTTTAAAGGGTTAGACAGGTTTCGGGTTGACTTTGCACATCCCTATCATGTACCCCTTCGTAATAACTTGACTGTTTACTGTAGAATTCGCGGGTACCTGTACTGTACTGTACTATACTGTATACAGTATAAGAGCTCTAGTGTACTGTACACTGAGTGTACAGTACAGTTTCGCCGGGCATGAGCAAAAGAAGAAAACTTCTCTTCGATGACCGCGATTCGACGCCCTAGGGTCACTACGTTGCATAGTGTACCGTAATAAATTTTGGGGACCTGCCAGTATCTGTTTGATTTTCTTGTAAGATTATACACGTATCTTTTGTAGTGGTACAGTTTTGTAGACTGTATCACTGTATTAGATTTCAACACCACATTATTAAAAGGATTAATCATGGATCTGACATGGAGTTCCCAATTATTGGTATGTACATTGTACAGTACAAGGAAATCATTAATGCGAGTATTAAGACTGTGTTGTACTTGAAGTACGCCAATAGATTAATTATATTATTGAGCATTTAGATGTTTAAAAATTTAATGAAAGTCAAAAAGTTTGTCGAAGCATCAAGATTCATATTAACATCAGTTGGTATGGACGTCATTTGGATAATACAGTACATGTATGATTAATTATAAATGTTATAACCTTACAGGGTGATACCGATGCATTAGGAAAACATACTGCTGCAGCAGTGGATTTTGTAGACAGAATAGCTAACTTTGTTAAAAAGAAAAGTAACCTGGAAAGTATGTATGCGAAGGATCTAAGGTACAGTATATATACAGCATCAATATAGCAAATTTAGTATTTGATTAATATGTAATCTGCTTTAAAACTTTCTATTGGATACAACAGAAAATTGATCAAATCAGCTAAGGGCCGTCAAATGAAAGATGATTTCTTAGAAGGAAGGTCGGTATTAGAAATACTATATGACATTAAAAAACTTGCTTTCTCATACTGTACTTCACCCTGATTTCGTTGACTGTACTGTACAGTACTGCATTATTAATACTGTACACATACTGTACAGTAAACGTACAGTAATACTACTTGATGTAATCAATAACTTCTATATATAGTAAAGCGTTGATATGGCAGAAGGAATCACAAGTGCAATTCTGATATAACTTATTAAGTTATGACGAAATACTGTGTGCACCAAATGCCCTGTGATTATATACTGCAGGACTGTATGACTATTGGTTTGTAAGATACTACTACTACTGATACTGTTTCAAGTACAGCCTTAAACACTAAAACTTAGTAGTCTATGGTAAAATTCTGAAAAGATAGAATTCACGTGAGTAAATGCTATTCATGTCTGCATAAATATAGAGATCCTACTGCATTAGCTGTAAATTAATTAATTCAAATTGCGTGTATCGTCAGTTGAATCTAGAGATGTCCTCAAAGTTATACAATTATATTTATAATTGACCTGAACCATATTAAAATTGAAGACGAGATCGAAATATGGGTATTTCACAACCCTTGGACGGATGGGATGATTGATGCGTTAATGAGTAAAAATGTGACGACAGAAAGACCGATAAATTAAGTTATCGTTCTATTGCTCCATATTGAGTTATCATTAAGACTGTCAGCTATGATTGCAGACGCCAAAACTTGATAATTTAAATAGTAAAGAAATCAAGTACGGAGAAATTGAACAATGAGCGATTGAAGTTCTGGGTTATAAATTAAGGGATGCGTAAGTAATTCACTTTCCGTACTATTTTCTAGGCTATTTGATTTAGGATGTATAGTATTCGAGATCATGCCTTACTCAAGTCCTTAGTCCGTAATTCGTAATCATGAGTCATGCCCCTTCATCTCAGCGGGATCTCGCAGGCCTATTGGGTAAAAAATCGGGAAGTTCCTGATCTATTATGAGATTTGATTATGCTCTATACTGGTAATGTACTTTGTCCCTTATTATTGCTGCTATATACACAATTTAATTGAAATGTAAATGAAATCAATCGATAGAACTGTGATCATGTATTCAACCTTGATCAATTTTTTCAGAAACAATCGTGGTAATTATCATTACCATTTCAGAATCACTATTCAGATTTATGCGAAGCTTTGATACAAACTAAACATGCCGCAGATAAATGGCGACACAGCTCGATAGAGCAATTAATACTTATAACACACGCTTGCGTATGTATGCCAAATACTTATAAATTCTGATAGTCCAGAACTTGCTTTAAAGACATGGTGAATCTTTTAGCGCAGTAATGCGCGCATAGTTAATAGAACAGATACCAAGCAGAAAATAGAAAACATTCCGCTAAAATAAATCCGCCGAATCAACATGTGATAAAAACAAATCTCAATTAGCCTATTAGGCTTGCTTAGTAAGATTACAGTTATCTTATTTTTGACCGTAGTAATGAGAAAGAACAATATCATATGATAACGAAATAAAACGTAAGCATTTTTGGTTACGAACACAGAATTTGAGGTCACTTATAGGTTATCTAGAAATTGGTTTTTAAGTATCAATGCATTGTTATGTCGGTGGTGATACACGAATTTCTGTAAAAAACGATTCTGCTATGCATCGTAGAAGTGCTATTTGAAACCAATATCCCGTAATATTAAACTATTAATGAAGCAGTCGCTTACACACTCGTGCATTCTGCCTTCTAAAAAAGTGGTCAGTACTAACGATATAAACTGCCTAGGCTCATTAGAAGCGCGAACAGGTTTGACTACTGTTAAAAGAATATGAAGAAGAAATTTTTATTAGTTACTTCCACAGCAACAAACTGATTTGATCGAATTTATTGACAATATAGTGAATTGATATGTAATCTCCATTACATTTACGAATTATCACCTAGATGTTAAATATTGTGCACAGAATTATACTGTACTGTATTTCCGGTATGAGCTCTCTGAATGGGTCATAAACTTTACGATGTATTACTGTACAGTGTATACGTCCTCTTCGAGCCATTGTCTCAAACGACTTCAGGCATGTGTTAGTATGAAATTTGCTTAATTATCAGGAAATCGATTTCATCACACGAACTAATGAAAAGATAGTAATTATATTTGGCTACATTCGTGCTATGCAAATTTATTATATATTGTTAAATCTCAGGCAATTAATCGTTCACACATTACTCGGTCATTAATTGTACAAATTCTGGAGAATAAGCGATAACTTCTACATTTCATTTGGTGATCAAATGATTATTTAATATGATATTATTTATTATTCGTCAACCGAGAACTTCTTTAACTACAAAATGAGAAACTTGCATGGAGTTATTTAATAAAACTAGATGCTTTGATATATTAGAATCACATAACCAAGCAACCACAGAAAAGCATCGTCTACCCTTCTCCCTGCCGTACTACTCATTTGCTAGTATGATCGATGTACCGTAGAATCATGATTTGATGATGCCAAATTCTCACAAAGCAACCATGTTTCAGAATACTCACTTCGATTCATGGACGCATATGACTTGCTTATCTATTCTTTAACTGCCTAAATGGCTAAGAAAGAATTACGTTTAGCATTGCAAATAAATCGGCAGTGTAATCATATCTTGATATGAACTAAACTTTCTCAATTCTAAATTTTAGAGGCACAGCTATCATGGCATTTAACAATTTAATCAATGAAACCGAAAATATCGCATCCGAGCATGAACTCATGGTAGATCAGCTGGTAGAAAGAGTCTTAAAACCTTTAAATTCACTGCTAATAGAACTGAAGAACGTTAGAAGATTGGTAGTTTCTATTATTCCTACTATAAAATATATAAAGTTGTATATAATTTCAGCCTAGCACACTTACTTAATTTAACTTTATTGATACAGCATACGACTGACATTGGAGCTATAAAATCTCAACTGGAATCCCACTACAAGGCAGCAGAGACGGTACGGTGAATAATCCTGTCCTATAACATCTAAATTCCAGTCGTATTCCACACTGTAATATATTTGTTCACTAAGTTAAAATTTAAACGAGCATTGTTAAATTATGGTATGTTTATGAAAATTGAGTAAATGAATACTTGATGTTTTAATGATCAACTTGAATAGCTAAAAAATTGAAGTCAAATGTCGCTGTATAGTAGGTAACGTATCATCGTGCTGTCGTAGTAAGATATACCGCTCTATATGGTACGATCAGAATCCTGATTAACCACTTTTAACTAATCATAATTAGAATATTTCCTTAATAGCTTACCTTCATATCAAATAGCGATACAGTCAATAGTCCTACTATTAAAATCGATTACGGTCAAGCTGAAATAATTCGATATATTTAATACATCGGACATGTAATTAATGAAATTGAAGATTTATAATTCGTTATTGTAACTACTTGTTCTACGTTTAAATGTTTATAGTACCGGTATTAATTATACATAACTTATTATTCTTGAGTTAATCTATTTTTATCGTAAATATCTTGTCGAATTGTATAGAGTAAAAAGAATTATGAGCGTGCTTGTAGGGAGGCTGAAATAGCAACCAAAACTTTTCACAACGCGGAAGCGGATACGAAATCAACGAAAGCGCAACTGGATAAAGTAATTTTGCGAACGTTCATGCTATTAAATGTTACTGAATTTGTTTAATTTAGAATTTTGCTTTACTTACCATACTTTATGAAGATGAGAAACACTGCCGCCTCCAAAGCAAAAGCTGCCGAAGATAGCAAAATCGAGACTAAAGAAAAACTATGTCAAGCTAATGAAAGGAAAGCATTGCATTATGGAACTTATCTGCCTGACATCTTAAAAGTATTTTCTATAAATCGATACTAGATTTCTATCTATAATAGCTTTAGACTCTATTGGTATTGTAAGAATATATTCATTAAGATGCTCTTCTACACGATGGGAAGTAAATTTTATACATACTAGGACATGCAACGTTGCGATATTAACAGAACAAACGAAATCAGTAAATATCTAAGTGAATATATTGAAGTGTATAAGAATAATTTACCGTCATTAAGTAATATTTATGACAAAATGACAACAATCCAACAATCGATTGACGCTGAAAAGGTAACAGATGAACATTGACCTGAAAGTAAGTATCAGAAAATTAATATGAATTTGAATAACAGGATGCCGAAATGGTAGCGAGTGAAAATGGATCGGATTTTGTCTTACCAGAAGACCTAGTATTTGAAGAATATAAAGAAAACTCTAATCGTGAAATAAACAAGCTCAGTATCGCGGCTGGATTTTCGGTCGTAACTGGACTTTTTTCTAAAAAAAAGAAGGTTTGTTTTTCGTGAAGTACACGAAACTTCGAAAATGTACTCACATGCTTCATTCATATGCAATATTACAAAAGGAAGATGACAAGGATTATGAAGCCTATCCACCTGAGAAGAAAAAGAAAAAAGCTTTAACCAAAATCACGGAACTTGAAACTGCTCTAGAACAATTAAATAGAAATAGGTTAGCTACTTTACTATCGCTAGTAAATGATGTTTCCTCTTTATATATACGCCAGCGCTTAGCTAAACCTGTCATGTTATGCATAGAAACGGAGCCCTAAAACTTTACAACGCTTATTCCGAAAATCCGAACTATGGTGATGTTAACAAGGTTAAGAAAGAGTTAATTTACCTCGCTCGAGAAATCAACCAGAAGAATACGGAACGCTATAATTTGCAAGTAAGGAGTCATTGCTGATATTCTGATTTTTCTTCGTAAATTTGCATATATTACCTATTGTGTGTGCCAATTACGAAAGATGCTTTTCTGTACTATGCATATCTAGGTAATGATAGCTGACATCGACAAATTACTTCCTCCTGATTTTCCTAAAATGATCCCCGAAGATAGCGTTGAATGCGATACGCGTTCTGATACGTCGGATATGGGTTCAACGATGGCGAATGACATTTCTTCAAGTAACAATGAATTGATTGTGAAGAAAGATAATACTGATATTGCAAATTTTACCTCTGATTATCGAATATGTAAAGCCCTCTACGACTTTGATGGTAATATTGCTATGCTTCTACGTTATACAAAGACCATTAGCATCTATAATTCGTTTCGAATACCTTCTAATAGGTACCAGCTCTGGAGAATTGACTGTATTCGAAGGAACTCAAATGTTTGTTTTAGAAGAAGACACAGGACAAACAGGGTGGACCAAAGTGCAAATAAATGAGGATATCGGTTACGTTCCGACGGCATACATTGAATACATATGAATAAGCTACTGATATACTGTATTACTAAATTGTAACTAAAGGGATCTACTAAGCACAAGATTTTAAGATTAAATTAAGATTGAAATGTCTTGCTTAATTGTTACCTACTCAACATTATCGAACTGTAAAATTTCTGAATACAATACATCTTGCTATATCAGCAATTTTTGATATTCTATAAATTCATACGTTTCTCATGTTAAATAAACCAAGCAGAATCTCTAGATTAATGCCTATTGCTTTACAATAAGTTTCATTTTAAGCCTTTAATGCAAGATACTTTAAAGCGTTCAGAAGTCGACCTACGGCACCTACCTAGCTACTAGTGATGTATACTATACGCTATACTATATAGTGTACACGACTGTCCTCCAAATTTTAGCCGCCAGGTTGGTTTTGCACAGTATGGTGTACAGATACGGTTGTAGTGTATAGTAATATCGCCGCGAAAATAGTCGGACACGACATTTTTAATATTTTAATCTGGATAATCCATTACAAAGATAGCGTTAGTTGTATATATAGTTATTTACCAGATTAATACTGTAATATAATATTGTACTATACTGTATAGCAATAAATCTGTGACTTTTTACTGACTAAACGCTAGTCATTTCCCTGTGATATTTCCAAAAATACTGTTGAAACAGCTATATATCTTTATTATATTTGTCCATACAAATTTGCCAAGTTTTAACGAAACTAAGATAAGTGTACGGCGAAATCTGATTAATTTTGTTAAGAACTGGCAGATACGTTTGAACAAGTGTATTATTTTGAAGGTATAGAGCTGCTTTAGCAGCATTTCTGGATATGTTATAGGGAAATGATTGGGCCTACTGTAAGCTCTAAGTTATTCTGTTCGTGATACTTCGCGTGTGTGTTTAATAGAGACCGTAAACTTTGATATAATACTTTAAATACTTTAAATATCTGTATGATATTTATAAAAAATTGTATTTAAGTATTACCGAAGCAAAGTACAATACTGTGGTGGCAAGGTAAGGTGGTATATAGGTCTGCTTAAGGCATGCACGTATGTTTATTATAGTCTCAGGCTCAACTCGTTTAAAGTATATATATTAGCAACATGTAGTAAAGTACTGAAGCGAGCAAAGAAGTAGTTAAATAGTTTTGTCATCATAGCTTTAATATTCGTTACAACGTATCAGTAACAACAACTTTAGAGGGCCGGAATTTGCCATCTCTAATAATAACTTACAAAATTTGTTAACAGCACCTTTATATCTTGGTAAAATTAACATTTATAACAAGCAAATTCTTCGTAGAAATAACTTCATTGCAACAGCCGTAATTGTATGTAGTAATAGTATTATGTCTTGAACATTGCTACGCACGCTGGTTGGTCATTGTTAGATTTATAGCGCACAAATGGTTTTAAACTCTCAGATAACCGGAGCGAGACTAAAAGTTTGGCGAAAAACCATAGCAAAATCGTAACACATTCAATTAATTTAAACTACAATACACGTATTACGGCTGCCACAATTCGAGAACCTAGTAATATGCTATTAATAAAAGACTTGTACATGACTCTTAAATAAAGGCAGATTTAATAAGCTTACTAGATAGAGTGTATCTATATCTATTCCTCCTCGTTAACAACTAATTAGAGAATACAACGATGTACATGCTATATCTTATTCAGTCATCACGGTTTCTTCATTGAGTGTTATTATCACATGCTATAATATACTTAACTCGGGTCTATGAATAAAAGGGAAATTCAAAAAGCTTAATAGAACGGACTGGTAGTTTCATCATACGAACTACAAATACTTGTGGATCAAAATAGCTCTAGTTTTTGACCCAGGTTCTTACAAAAATGATCCGTAAAAGGGATACAATTTAAATATCTGCAAACTTTGCATTCAAAAGGTCGTCCACGATAAAATATAAACAATATCGCGCAAAACAATCCACCCACTATAAAAATTGAGATTATAATTTGCAGCCGTTTCCTTCTGCGATCCCATTTACCAAAACTCACATAGGGTAAAATTGCAAAAGCTAGAAACAAGCCGAAAATAAAACCTCCAAAATGTGAAAAATTATCAACGTATGGTAATAATCCGAAAATAAATAGAACGAGGACGATTACTGCCAGTTTACCAATAGCTCTAACAGGCCGTTTAAGAATCTGCCAGCTTTGGAATACCTCCACGAATAAACAAGCGACTATTCCAAAATTTGATCCAGACGGACCAATCTATAATAACATAAAGAAGCACCTTCATATAGTGATACATCTGGCATACTAAGGCAGATCGTGACTGAAAGTAGAAAAACTATTAAAATAGTAAAATATAAATATTCTTAAACTCGTCGAACTCATCCACATACAGAAAGTAGAAGATTGAACTGAAAAATTGGGGATTGACTGCAAAATCTACGTGATCAGTTTTGTGAAGTCCCAAGCTTTAAGTATGGAATTTAAAGTTGTAACGGGACGGTAATATTATAAACATAGAATTAAGCAATGTTTAATAAACCCTAGCGTAACGCGTTAATTAAGAGTTTTAGTGTTACAGTAACAGTGCTCGCCTTGTACTGCACTGTATCGTAAGTACGTGAGCAAATGGACAGCGTGCAAGAAACTGAATAGGATTAAAGAGCGTGTTGAAACTGCAGCCTGAGAATGAGTGTAAAAACTGAGTAAATCGATGATTGGATACAAAAAACCTATAACTTCTTAAATTAAAGAAAGACCGCTCTATGCTATAGAAACTCTGAATATAATTCCTGCTTTGTTACAATCTGTTAAGGTTAATTTTAAAGCACCTCATTCTTTTACTTAGCATATTTGATACGCCTTCAAATCTACATAAGGCCTGACTGCTCAACTAGCGAGAGCTAACCGAATTATGACTTATATTTGGTTTGGTATGCTATAATTTTATGCATATTAGGCGCAAAACGTAACTTCAAAATCGTATGATAATCGTGAGCGAGGGTCTACCAGTTATTACATTAAAATTGTGATATCTCTATAAGCGAAGCGATAGGACGTTAAACTAGTGTTTACACGAAAACAAAAGAAATGTATCATTTTATGGCCTTCACAACTATCACAAGTAATTCGTAAATGAGGGTCCTACCTCAGGATGATATGGCAATAAAATCCCACTAATTATGTTACCGCCAATTCCGCTCAGAACATAAATTATGCTTATCCTCAGCCATCCAGCCATCTTTTCAAAGTCTTTGAGTATTATTAGATTAAACAACAAAGTCACGCCTAGATGAAGTAATCTTTTAAATTATCAGATTAATTAGACTTCAGTTACTGTATATATAGAGACAAAAGAGACCCTATAGGTGCAAGATACGCAGTAATGATTTTAGTATTATTTTCATGTTAACATGTACAATTCTCAATGTTATAAAGGTGTTAGTATAGATAATGACTCCATAGGATACAAAAAAACATTAGAATAATTTAGGAATATTAGCTAACCTACCCAGCATGAAGAAATAAAGATATCCAAAATCTGTAAAACTGATCTGGTACGGTAGGATTTAGAAATTTAACCAAACCGCAAGAACTTTCTAAACAATTAACCTGAGAGCAGAGAAAGGCATTCCTATGATATGTTCCTCTTCTGTAATTGCAGTACTCCGCGGATACAATTTCACATTTGCCAAATCTCCCAATACAACATGGCCGGCCTAATACACGACAAGTCATATGTGGCATACGCTCTCGAGAATAGTTTACTGATAGCATTCTACTACACGACTAAAGAAATTGTAGATAACAAAGTTTTAGTTAATAAAGCCTTAATAGACATTTAATGGTGTAAACAACTAGGCAATTATACTTATATGTATAATTATTAAAATAAATTTTTAGCAAAAATTTCAGCCCAGCAATATATAATAAATAATTTTAATTTTAGACACACTTACTGGCCATTTTGTGATATCGTCTGGCCATTGGAAAGGTTTTACTGATGCTGGAACCTTACAGGTTCTGTATTGGAAGGATGAAATAATAATATCGTATTTGTTATTGCATCTCATTTCGACAATAAAAATTCTTCTAAATATTCAAGGCTCTGTACTTCTACAGTTGCCTAGGACGTCAAAACGAAGAGTAATATTACGTAGATCTATCGTGTTATCAACGTTGCTCCAATTGCTAGTACCTAGGATCTTCTCCACAAACTGGTCCGGATGTTCTACTTGTAGAACTGGGTTTAGTCGCTGACCACTTGTGAAATAATGAGAATGTTTCCTATAATTGAAATGAAAGTTACATAAATTTAAGTCACAGTCACGGTGCAAATATACCATGAATAGTGGTATAAGTTAAGTATTTGTGTCCTAGTAGATTTCTGCCTATATAGGTTAGGTCGACTAAACTTTTGTTTTTGACTTATAATTACGAGAATTGCTCGTTAGTAACTGATTTTGTAATTTTCACGTGAGTAAATAGCGTTGGTCGTATTAGTTGGAATAAAGTAAAAGTAGCTCGACGCTGTGAAGTTTGTCTGTGTGACTGTAGTCTATAAGGGTAGTTCTGGCCGAAACTAGAATAGTAGTTGATAGTAGCAACTTAGAAGAACACAATACTTTGCTTTATACTCTGTTAGGAGAGTAGTCTGCGACAGTCACAAGCTAGCATAATTACATGAAAATATATTAAAATATAGCATTTAAAATCTAACCGAGCACTGCAATCTAGATCTTTGAACACAGCCAGATTTATCCAAAGATATGCAACAACCAGTACGATTTTCTTCCTGTCTATCCAAAGAGATTGTCTGCGTAATCTTAACATCCGATCTCATACAAGGTGAAAACATTGCTCCAAGATGGATTAAATCATTCTGCCGATTAGTTAGCGCAATACTCAAAAATGTTTAATTAGCGGTAAGAAATAAATCTATCTTTAGTAAATATGTGTTAAAACGTTACCAATAATCGCGAAATTTATTTTGTCTTATATTACATTGTGTAGCTGTACTATCATCGTTTATTCTCATACTTCTTACTTTTATAGATACGTAAAAGATTATTCGTTTCGGCATGCACTACGTTATAATAGGATTACCACTATCATAAACGTAAGAATAAGTTTCAGTGAAATTTGTCACCGATATCACATACTAACTTGTCTAGGGCCAATCCAAAAATTATCATTTTCATAAAAGGAAACTTCCTCTTTCGTACCATCAGCTCTCTGAATCTATTGATATGATAGTGTACGCACATTATAGAGAAATTTTATTCATTATGATTTTACAAATTGTGAAATGAGCCGAAGTCTGTATTTTAATATGAGATGTTACAATAGTAACTTACAAATGCAGTAAATTTAGTCCTGTTAAAACCCACCGGAGCAAATCCATGCAACGCAAGTGAAACGATCAATACAATTACTTGAACGGTTGATACCCAATATGTAAAGTATGGCCTTATGTTTTGTAAGCAAATCAGTAATATAGGCAATTGCGCATTACATAAAGTTAATTAAATCATTGATCTTACGGCTATTAGTAGATGTAGATACGTATCCGCGTTTTATCCAGTAACATAATTACGTAATCAGTTCACTGATAAACTAGTATATAATAAGGATGCTACTGTATAAAGGTGAATCAAAGACTTAGTAGAAAGTAAAATGATAAATTTCAACGAGATGCAATGTACAGCGTACACTATTCAGCATATCGGTGATATTGCTAATTATTAGTACTGAATATCTTCAAATCTAACGTTAAGGATGCAGCTACCTGTGATTATCAAGCTTGTCGAATTTCTTGTATAAAGAAGAGCTCAATCTTTCCCGTCGCAGAGTTCGATTTAATGCCTTACCAACTATACCCTTACCATATTCTCTCTGAAGCTGTCGGTCTCGAGGCAAAGTAAAGCTTTTGGATGGACGAATAGCAAAGGCCTTTCTCCTGATACTCTTTTTATTTGAAGAATGTGTTGCAGCCCTTGTTATATATTGATTTGGATCATTAATAACAATTAATTCATATACCCATAGCTGTACTTCTTCAATTAATGTCGGCATTACTCGATATTGCCATAACGGAAAACTACATATTATGAACGTAATAGTATTTTCTCTATTTGGAATTAGTGTTTTATTCATAAAATCGATAGAATAAGTAAATTAATTTTGAATCTATTGTTTACTATTTCAACGCGAAGAAATTCGTCAATAAGACTATGTTATTGTTCTTAAAAGCAATAAATGTGATTTTTTTGCCCTCAAATCACTAATTATAATTATGATTATCGTGGTATCTTAAGGTGTGAAAAATCACGTTCTCTAGCTTGAAGGTTCAGATCCACAAAGAGTACAACCAGGGATTTGCACATAAGACACTTGGAAGTAAGCACAACAAAGAGACGTGCAAATCTGAAAAAATATCTCACTTTTTGAGAAACCTAACTTAAGATGCAAATTTAGTATAGTACAGTATAAACTTTGTCATACTAAGTATTATGACTGTATCACCCGATTAGATAGGCCTTACAAGAAAAGGTATTATAAGTAAACGTAACCACCTTGATACCCAGTTGTATTTGCACACACATACTTGAAATAAGCATTCAATAAAGAAAGGCCTGTGCAATAACTTACTAGTACGGTCGTACTATTACAAATTTGGCTAAAGATTTAGGACATGGTACTGTACACGTACGTTAGACGTTATTGCGATGGGAGATAGCTGTATAACGTACGCTAGATCATATTCTCGTATGGTCTAATGTACTGTACTGTACTGTACGCTGCTCATACGGTATTAGTTGAGATGTTAATGTAATAGTTAAAGGCAAGGATCGCGTGTAATAAGAGAACAGGTATATTTAGCTGTTCATCCTTGTTATGTATGATAGACCGGTAATGTCTAGGAATTAGAATAAAGAAGTCGACTCCACGCTTCAGGCTACTTTGCAGTGTCTAACCCAGTATTGCGTGATTAACCTAGTGTCGCACTAGAGAACATAACGATCCTCACTGTGAGGGCTACGAGCCATGAGTAGCCGTAAATAAAAACATATTACAAAGATCATTCATAGAATGTGTTGCTTTGTCATATATTTTCTTATTAGGGATTGATTAGTTAACATTCATACTAATTAATTTAAATTATTTTAATACGTCTAGATGAAATTAATTTTATTTTAAGATCTACCTTTCCGAACTTTGATTTGTTGTATAAGTGGCTATACTGAAGGTATCCATTTGATCTTCAGAAGCAGCAGTCCGCGGAGATGAATAATGCTGTGAATCTACAGCAATAACATCTAAACTTCGTTGAAGATTTTCTTCTTGGCTAGCTATCATGGAAGCTGGTTCTTTTATATTTAATTCTTTTAGCTAAATTTTAAAAAAATTTTAGATGTGTATTACAATGTTAAAATTTTGGATGATGGGTAAAAAATTACGTTTATTACTATTTAATTTTTCTTTCGTTAATGGATAATACTAACCAATACAAATGGTTTTACATATTTAGTATCAATAGCTTAAAACTAATCCTCTTAAGCTACGATGTTACTACTGATACTCGATGGCAATTCTGATAATACCTCAATATCATCATTTAATCGTAGGTTTTGTTCCTCTTCTACTTTGTATTCTCGATCGTGTGACGATTTCTAAGAATAATTATTCCATCTGTTACTCCCAGTAAAAGACGATAGTTGTTCGGAAATGTTTCGTTTCTAGTCAGCTGTAATTATTCCATAAAGTTGCTTATACAGTATATCAGAGTTGACAAGACTTACGTTTTTTACCAACTTTTTCACTTTTGAATATGTGACTTGTATTGCTGATGATCGTCTAACTTTACGTTGCAAGACATTGTCAATTTCGCTATCAGTATGAAACGATCGTGGCAGTGGACCCATATTTCCTACCCTACGAAAACTTCGGTAAGATTTCATAGTATGACGCCGTCCAATTTGAGATGTTCGGATACGGTAATCGAAGGGTTGAGTTGATGGTTCCATGTTGAGTTGGCTTTGATTGGTTATTTCTTTTAAGTCTGATTCCAGTAACTTATCAACATCGATATCTCCGCAAAATTTTAAACAGTGTTGCATGCGACGACTGGTCCATTTTATTTCATCATCATCGCTGAGATCACCGTAGAAAAAGTTTCTTATACCATAGCTAACTCTTCTGTAAAGTCATAAAAATAGATAAACATAAGTTAATGAAGATCGTTTCTATCAGAGATATTCAAGGGCTAGTAAAAAAGAACTTTCGCACTAGTATGATAATTCTGATTTTGATCAGTGTATTTTACTAATCAGGCATAAGTTTATCTACACAGATATGGGTGTTCAAGTGATTTTATCGACTGTGTATGGCATTTTACCTAAAATAGTATTGAGATCTTGATTTATCGGGATATTGGTAACTGTCCATTACTTTGATCAAAATTTGATATCGAGAAATTTTATCTCAAATTTTATCCTCGAATATATGCACGAATAGAGGATAATAGTTGTTGTTATTTGTATTCATTAGTTTATTACTCATTGATTTTCTTTTCATAATTAGGTAGTAAATGGATCATACGGTATATTTCTTGATCAATGTTATTATAATTAACGAAACCAATAGTATTGTAATAATGAAACAATAGAATTTTGAGTAGTTTAATTACAATTTTAAGTTATTAGAATTTCCATTATGCAGTAAATAGAGAGAATATCGCTATAATTATAATCACTATAGTGCAAGGAGAAACGGTTATATCAGTAACTGGTATTAGCGTAGCAAAGCCCTAATGATGAAAATTATTAATGATGGTTTATATGTGAATTCTGACTGGAAACAATAGGTTTATAACAACATTATTGTTCAGAGTTAACATTTAGAGAATGAACTTGACTGTACCGTATTCATAACATTTACTTTCTATAGCACGTCCGAATACAAACAAGGCACCGTTCATTTCCATCTCAGTAGGTATACAAAATGATTTAAACGAACATATTTTCGTATTTTTTCCAGTAGAGTTCTCTGTGTTAGCAAAATATCGAATGCTTAAATCAATTATATAGACTAAGCTGGAGATATTCAATCTTAACATCTACAAGTAGTATACGATAATACGATTATTAATTAAAGGGATATTTTATTAATTGTTTAAATAAGAATTAATAATAATAAGAAAGGCCCATTATCAACACGTATCGTCGCATCGATACGCTTATCGTGAGATGTTCGTATATTGCTTATATGAAGCATATTAAAATATATTATCAGTTCACTTCGGTATTTAAATCGTAGGAGCTAACATGAGACTTTGTTGTTATAGAGCGGTTATTGAGATTTCATTACGTTTATATCTGGCTGGCACAGTTTGATACTCTTTTGTGAATACTGAAGGCTATGACAATCGATTAACTATTCTGTTTAATTTATTTCTATGATCTCGGTAGACTTACTCTATCAATAATCTAGTGGATATGCATACGAATTCTATTGAAGCTGATCCTTGTGCTTCTTGATGGAGGTTGTAAATCTCGCATGAGCAGTGCGCACGCATTGAATACCTGCTACTTACAGTACGTATATTTTTAAGGACTCGTATAAAGTTTTATAATTATTTGGGCGACTGCACCGATAAAGGCTTTATGTGAGTGGCAGAAGTAATGCAAAGTAAAAGAATTTAGAGATTCCGGAGTAAATTAGATACCTTCTAGTTTATAGCGTAGTAGTTTAATTGATGAATTAATCACGACAAAACTGTACCGTTTTATACGTAGCAGTACAATTTCGTGCTGTTTTTAAGGTTTTATGTAGTATTTTATAGTCCATTATATTCCAGTTAGATTGATCCGCTAGATTTACTATTAAAGCTTAGATAGTGATGGAAGTTCTGCCTTGTTTGATATGAATGTTAGGGTTCATGGTTAGTGTTACACATCGAATACTTTCTCTGCTTCGGAGTACAGTACTTGAAAAATAAATATCTTTGCGCTTAATGTCGAGAAACAGAGTCTTGTATCGGTTCAAATCGGAATAAGGTAGTGAACATTAGTAATAGCCGTCAACGTTAATTTTAATATTAGTTAATACATAATTACATTAGATATTTTTAAATTCATAGGAAGGTATATACTGTATGTATCCCGGAATTACTGAAAAGCGATATTCCACTGTAGCCTATGATTTCGAATGTGACTGTTTCCTTATAAGTCATAATTTAAGAGAAAATTTATTACGTCAGTATGTGGCTACTGAACTTAAATCTTGATTATACGCGTATATTTTAGCAGGAATAAATATCTAGAGCGTAAACTATTATCGAACGCATCAATATCATAATCAATAAATCAAACTCCAGTTGCACTAGCATTTCAGCTACTTAAAAAGAATAAAAGCAAGTGTATTAATTATATACTATATCTTTATTATCAGCAATGAGAAACCAAGCAGGGTAATAATTTCCAATGCGAACGATATTTTCTATCTACAATAATATATTACACATTGCAAATTTCCATATTTATGATTTACATACATTATAAAATAATGGCATTGGATGGTGAATAGTGGTACTAAATGTAAGAGCTTTATTCTACTGTAAATTTCATATAATCAAAGCATCGACAGGTGTAAGCACAACGGGGTTAAGGTTCATTTCGGCACAAAGTACAGTATATACGTACTTAAAGACTCAAGGTGAGAAAGTACTAGAATTGGTATCCCTATTATCATCGATCATCTGCCACAGTGACTGCAAAATTTTATCTTCTCCGTCTACGGAAGATATATTACTATTCAAAAAACTTATGACGTCATTATCTGAGGGCTCATAACTCATAGGAAAATCCTCAAAGCGTGCCTTCTCTTCCTGATTGAAGTCAGAATTCGTAGCTTGTAGAACTTCTTTAATTCCATGAGAGATTGAGCTCAGGTTTATATTATCATTTGATTGTTGATTAATCAATTTACCCTTGATCTTTCTGTTTTCGTTACGCAATTCTTCTGAAGCTATATTGTAGTGCAGCTCTTCCAAACACTGTAATTTTGTCTTTGGTTCAGTCTTTGGTTCAGTCTTTGAGTCTTTTATCTGATCAGATGCCCAATAGTTATCACCGTGCCGGGATGAAACGTCCGATAATTGGACAATTTCTTGATCTTGTTGAATTGCTCGATAACGTAACTTATTTCCAACATCCAAAAGTTTTTCCCTTTCCTTTACTAATTGGGAAATATACTTCAGCGCTTTTCCTAACCTTTTTTTTAGTTTCTTATTTTCGCATTGCAACAAACTCAAATTTTTTTCAATTTTTTCATTGATGTTATTATGAGTGTACATGCTTTGATTAACATCACGTTCGTCAGTTGACTAAGACGAAGTCAAGTCTGGTGTTTAGTAACGTTACCTTTACCCCGGAATACTTCAATTCTTATATTTATAATTAGATGAATTTGAAAAGTGTTATCTTACCGACATTAAGCTGCATTTATTTTTGTATTCTTGGTGCCGTATTCCAATTGATTGTGATTGCAATTCAGATATATGATGGCTTAGCATTTTTTCTCTCTCTGCGAATCGATAACGCTGTAGAGTCTTATCACGTCGCATTTGCCAAATTGAGAGGTTCCGTTGATCTGCCTGTAATAAACAGGAAATTAATCCTCAGGACTATCACAAAGTACGAGCTGACTGTAGCTACGTACATCATGCTGAATTTTCTGTTGAGTACTTGGTAACAAAATTGCCTTAGTATTCGCGGTTTCAACTTCAATTTCCCTTGCTAATATCCGATTCTCCAACGTTTCTAAATGATCAATGAATAACTGATGAATAATAAGTAGGATGTACTGACAACTGTGATCAAAGCAAATATTGAGATTAATTTCATTAGGCAGAGATTTGGTTTTAAATACTGCAAGCATCTTTCGTACCAACTGTATCACGTAGAAGCTCAGTCAGATTTCTCCACGTCGGATGCTTAACTGACCCTGAGCCAATTGAATATTCTTCTTCGTTATTTATATTAGCTACCAGTTCGCGAATAGTTTTAATTAAGGTATCATTAAGGGATTCCAGCTGATGTACTTGTTTCTTCAAAGCCAGCATACATTCTTGTTTAAGTCATGGTTAATAAGAATAACAATGTGTTAATTTACTGACATATGTTATCGTGTAAAAATGTTCTAAGAATACTTGCCTGGAGTCGTCTGAATCGTCTCATGATATCTTAGTTCGTTGATTTTTGAGTTCTGTAAATGCTCTGTAGTAGAGGTATCACCTGATTCTGCTAAACGTTTAGTAAGTGCTTCCATTTCATATCGCATTTCTTTAATAACTAATTTTAATATTTCATTTTGTTGCAAGATTGGCGTGTTGTTGTATATTCTAAGAGAATCATTCAGTGTAATACTTGTTAATTCGCGTACAAATTCGACTACTGCTACAGTTGATATATAATAAATTTTGAAAGTGATAGCACCAAGTAATGGATAATTTACGTTCTAAATATTATAAAAATATCTTAAGTGTAGTCAGCCAATGTTTACTTTCGAAATTATTTTAGGAAATCCAATTTTAAACATCTTATTGAGTTTTATTCTGAGCATACCCGTCCTGATTTCGTGTAATGGCTTGTAAGTGACTATCTGTTGGTTGCAGTTTACTATGACTTTTTTCAGCTATTGCTAAAGTCTGCAAATTACAAATTACAATTATCAAATGTGGAAATGTTAACTGTTGAAGTTACAGTGGTTATTCCAATATTACAGTATAGCTACTCTAAGCTTATGATATAGCTTGAAGATAAAGCTTAATTGCACCTCGTCTTTAGCTTTTATTAAGGCAGAAAATATTTCCTCCTGGCGATTGTAGCAAGTGGTACTAATTTCCTCTAGCTTTAATTTCCAATCAATTTCTGCTTGTTCTTTCAAACTAGCGAGAGTTATAAAACATTTAAGAGTATTACCTAAACTGTATTGATAAGATTCCAGATCTTTACGACACATATCTCGTTCTGATTCTAGCCGTTTTTGGTTCTTTGTTAAGGAATAGATTCGTTGTTTTAATATAGAAACTGTATCGTCATATTCTTTCTCTGCTTCAGCCATTTTGCATTGATATCCAGCAATCTGTTTTTGAAAACTGTTGATACGCGTACAAGTGATAACCAAAAAGCAACCGATATTAATTATCATCTACAGTTTTGCAATAGTTCGTTAACTCGTGAATAAAATTATCGAAATACTTAGGAAAGGAGTTTACTTACGAAACTTTGTCATTTTGGGCTTGTTCTGTATGACTGTTACATTCCCGTTGTAAGCGAAGTTTCTCGAATTTTGCGTCGTCTAAGCTTAATTCTAGGTTAAGGTTTTTCTCGTTTAACTTCATTTCCATCCCATGCTTAGCTTTCGTCAATTCTGCTATCACCTGTTCTCTTTCTTGAAGCGTTTGATCCATTAAAGAATTCTTTTCTAAGAAATCTTCTTGAACTCTACGAATGTGACTTTTCAATGTCTTAATCTCAGATTCAAGTTCGAAGATGCTTACAAAGAAGTAAATCAAAGTGGAAACGATATAAATTTACCTTTATCATTTTAGTAAGTTTGAGTACCTCTTATTTACGTGAGCATTGATAACTTGGATATACGGTATTAGCGTTGTAGTTAAATAATTACAATGTAAATGAAATTACCGATTGTCCTTCGCCCTTACGGTATTGTCTAATTCACAATTTTTATTTTGAATGAGATCTTTCAATCGTACAATATCTTCCTCATTTTGTTCGACAACATGGCAGTGGTTTTTATCTAATATTTAAAGTAGCTGTTAGTAAAATTATAAAATTGATGTAGAATTTATGTTTTCTGGATTACTAATAGTTACACTATATATATGTTTAATACTTCAACTAATGTTATATTCTCTCAGTTACTGTATTTTTGATAATTCTAAGAAATTTTAATAATAAAGTTCTATAAGGCATTTTCAGAGTTGCATTCTGGAATTTAGGCTGTGCAGAATTGAAAACTTGAAGGTTTCTGGCACTATCGCAGTCAGTCAATTACAACGAAATTTGTTTTGATTGGATTATCTAGTCAAGTAAACGCTGACTAGTGAATCTGCACGAGTGCACTTACAGTACTGCAGCATTCTGTCAAATGCTACAAATATTGTGAATTAATATTTATAATTTTAGTTTCTGCTACCTAAAGCGAGAATTTGCGTCATTAGCGGACACTTCTTGAAATGTAAATGTGGCTTTAATAATATGAGTAAAAAAATATTTTGAATTCATCCTTGTTTATTATGTGCAGTTGTACTGCACAAGTGAAGCAAATATACTCGTTTTCGATATTCCAAGCCCGGTTAGTATAATATTGAGATTACCTTCCCATGTGTCAAACGCTGTGTGCTTCATTTTATCTAAATCTCTTTTGATTTCGCTGTTAAAGTAACGAAAGGCTTGACTATTATTTGGTTTCATTGATTTTCTTGAGTTCATCATTTGACGCTGTAACTCTTCATAACGTAAGCGATGATGCCTGCGCTCCTCCTGCAGTTGTTTTCCAGCTTCTTCGCGATGTTCGTTAATTTTTACTTGTTGCTCTTCCATCCTTTGATGATGTAATAGTTGCAGTCTTTCGCGTTCATATTCTTGTTGTGCTAGCTCCTTTTTCAGTCTGTCATTATCAATCCTCAATTGACGGGCTTCTGCAGAGACTGATGAATTGGAAGAATTTGATTTAGATATCAACGCATCATACTTTTGAAGTTCTCGATCTCTGTCTTCAAGGAGTCGTAGGTTATACAAGAAGTCCTTTTTCAGTCTTTGAAAACGATTTTTTTCATTATCTAGCTGCTTATTGCGCTGATGTAACGTATTTTGTAATTTGACAATTCGCAAGTCCTGTGAATTTCTTGGTTGCATGTCCAGCACTTGTACAACGTAGACTGTCCACTATTCATTGATGTATAACATCAATAACATACTTACTATTTACTAAACGCCTACCACATACCAAATCATTTAAATTGTACACTGTACAGTACAGTACAGTGTGTGATTGAGATTTTAGAATATTCTGGTAGTCTATGGAGCAACATCACCGTACTGTACTGTACAGTACTGTATGTACTGTATACTGTGTACTGTACTGTACTGTACTGTACAGTACAGTGCAGTAGATCTCCCGTGGTACTGTACATACAGTGTACAGTACTTTGCTGTATTGTACAGTACAATACAGTACTGTACTTGCGTATACAGTATACTGTACTGTACACTGAGTGTACTGTACTGTACAGTGTTTTAACATTTTTAGGGTGCAGTCAAAGCTACTGTACAGTACAGTAGAAAAATGGCTTCTGAGTCAGAGAGCAATACGTCGAGCTTAAGATCTTCAAAGATTAGCCAAGACAATTCGGCTAAGAAATTAAACAGACGAAGCTGGAACTATTTTAGCGTTAAATGCAAAAATGGGTAAACTTTTATCTGTTGAAATACGGTGACTTACGTATATTAATGAAGCTGTACAGTATTTTGATTTAGCAAGTCTTCATTTGTTCGTACAGCATTTTAAATACTATACTAATATGAAAGGTAGCATTATATAATTCAGAAATATATCAGTGATTAGAATCGAGGCACCGAGGTAGTCCAATAATTTTACTGCTAGTAGGACAAATATCTTAGTTGTAAGAAAATTAAAGCCATTACAGTATGCAGAAAAATAGTTTTACGTACTGTAGATGTTAATTTTGATGTTGTGTTGGCTGATCTCGCACAGCTAGCGTTAAAGCTATCTGTTAAGCTACTGTTATAGATTGGAAGAAATTGATAGTTCTAATGATAATATGTAACCTTCTCAACGTGGATACAGTGCGTATTTGTATCATAACTCTAAGCATTCGATATTTAACAGTAAACTAAGTTAGCGTAAATGTAACGCTCGTTTTAAATTCAATTGTAAGAAAATATAGTACTAATACCCGATTTTCGTTACCATATTTCTGAACTAATACTTGAACTCGATAAACGCAGATGGCAGAATATTTCTCAGATACGGATTAAAATATTGCGCAGTTTTTGGCATCTGCTTAATTGCTATTTCTTATGCTGCACATATATCTATCTTATTTGTGTAAACTCAATGCCTATAATATCTTGATATTGATGGGAAGCTGTTACGTGCACATGCCACTAGATGTAGCTACTATGGTAATCCTTCTTGGGATGGTTATTGTTCACAATGTTACAAGATCCAAAAAGCTAAATCTTTACCCGATACCAAATATCCGATAACTAATAAGAAAGATGAATCGAATCATATAAATAACAGTATTAAAGGTAATGGGTATGCGTGTACTTAGGCGTAAACTTTGCCATGTTATATCTGTTCTTTAGTTCGGGATAGTTTTCGTATGACATTTGCGAGGGTAATTTACAGCAGTTTACAATACATTACATTCAGTGAGATATGAATAGTGGTATTTTTAGGGCAAGATGTTTAATTGCTATTGCCTATACAATGTAATATAAAAGTGACCGTAAAATTATAGTGTAGTTTGTTTGCAAGCTTTTAATTAACTGTAAATCATGATAAATTGTAGGTTATTTCAGACTAAAAAATCAGAAACATATTCCGATAATTCTGAGTCTAACTTTGACAATATTTGTTGCATGACAAATTAAGCCGAAACGATACCTAATAAGAACAGGAGCTTTAGCCTAATTAATAAGTTAGAAAAGGCATCTGGATTATCTTTGGATGGAAAGCGAAGGTTATTAAACTAGCTCATTATATGATCTTTCAGCATTTATTATCATTATTAAGCTCGTACTGTACTAGACCTAAAATATTAATGTAATTTTGGAAATTTAAATTAAGTATAGTATCAACAGAGTTGAAGAATGAATTGGATCAATTCGTTCGTTTATTATAGCGCACTTTGCAATAATACCTTGTATATAGTATAAATGTAATCAATATCAAATATCTGTGGAGATTGATATGACGGATTTTATAGCATGACGACCTCGAAAGCTGTGAAGAAGAACACTCCGGAACATAATAATTCTGTTGCTAGTAAGTTCTAATATTAAAATATTTATAAATTAATGTTTAGTAGGTTACGCTACGGAGGTATCTAGTATGCGAATGGTTGAAACAAGTTTCGCAGAAATTTAGATCATGTAATAGAGTAATTGCGTGTTCTTTTGATGCTACTCATTTAGAAAGTATTAGTCCGTATTAGTAGGTAAAATCGAATTCATTATTATTACAAAAGTATTTTGATATTTTATCATCAGTGGCATGAAAAATTATCCCATGTTTTAATCTTAGCTATATTGAGTTGTTATACTACCCTGTGCATTTATTTAATCTGTCGTAGTATTCCGTGAACAAAATTTTTTAATGTGCTGCTAATATTTTTCCAGCGGAAGCTATTGCTGCAAGTCGCCGTTTGCAAGAATTCTTGCGAAGTAACATTTGTGATTCTTCTGTATTCACCGAGGTTTTCCAGCAATATACAGTGTAAATATTATGTTTATCATCGAAATATTAAATTAAAATTCGAATGAAAGCATACCTTAAAACTTTAAAATCATTCTTCAAGTACAAGTACCAAGATAAAGGAAGACAGCTTAGGAATAGAACAAAAAAGTGAATTAATACAATCATTTTATCAGGTTACTAATTTTCTTAGCCCTATACAGTATTGTAATAATTTCGTATTCTTCCTTAGCGTTAGCGGAGGTGGATACAGTTAAAATAATCTTAGAAAGTAAGTTATGTCTAACTCTGAAGAATGTTTATAGAAACTTTTGGAACGATTCGAAGGACTACGTGATACATCTCTAATGATGGACAAGATCGAGAAATTTTTGACAGTTTCTCTTTATAAATAGTAAGAGTTCCCTAAGCATTTGTTGAAAATCTTTTGCCGTATGCCGTCACGAGAATTTATTGTGACTCCTATTTTCTTAGTTTGTATAACCAGAAAGACTCCGAAGATCAAATAAAAAATGATTTAATCAAAGAACGAATAGAAAGTTTCCAATGGATAACTTTGAGGCACCTCGAGTTAGAGGTCACTCTTGATAACGTGGAAGTAGCGACTCTACTAAGCAAAGCAATACAAGGTTCAATGATTTTCGTTTAATAAATCGTGTTAATTCAATTAATCAAATATAAATAAATAAATATAAATTTTTTCTACAGAAATATCTAGAATGCATTCAAGTTTGGCGCCTGAGGATAAGCTATCATGCAACACTAAATGTTGTCGTACGGTGATTTGTATCCTACGATTTGTGTTTCTTGCTGCATTTTACGAAATTTCGATAATTCGGTTGATGTGATATTTTTCCTTAACTAATTCAAAGCTATGCTTCAAGTATGCTCTGCAACGTCTGTTAATGCTGATGTATTTCTACCTGCGTTAATTTACGTTTTAATCAAAGCAAACCCGATAAATCTTCAATCTGATATTCAGTACGCATCTTAGCTGGCCTAATTGCTAATTTTTATGATAGCTGAATTAAACTCCATGTCTTTACGATTTAGATATATCATGCGATTTACGAACGCACTTAGACTTAATTCAGGCGAAGCGGGTTATTACTTTACAAACTTAGTAAGTTAACTTTCCCATATTGAAATTAAGGTCCTTATTTACGATTGTTTTCATTATTAGTGTTGTGCTGTAGCTTTTATTGATAACCTGCAAGCTGATCAATTATCAATGACAACAGAAGAGTTTGAAAGGTATTTCTCGGTTTTGTTATTACTATTACATGAAGTTAAAAACTGCCCGAATATCTTTTACTGCTTATTTTATGGCTCTGTCATTATTTTAATCGTCGTAGATATATGATTGGTATAGGAAGTGACGACGAAGATGTAACTTCTCCTGAAGTAGAAAGAATAAAAGTATGTCCTGTAAAAGCAGTTTTTAATTTGTAATGACTAGCATAGATACAGTTAGTAAATAAAAATATATATCTTGCATTTGCTTTCTGGTCAATTTAGGTAATAATGAATTAAGTTTATATTACCATATGATTTATACCTATAGAATGATGTTGGTATCATGACAGATTTGATTGAAAGACAGAAAAGTTTGAGGAAAGAATATTTAAAATTAGAAAAGCAATTACTGCTTTTTCAATCGAATACTTTAAAAAAGGTAAAGAAGCTGCCTAGGGATTATAAGACTTAATCTTTAAATTTAATGACTTACGTAGTTCATTTGCACTTTCCTTTATTGTTGATTAACATTATAACCTACTCCTATATTGGTTATATTAACGAAAGCGCTGTATAAAGTTAACGATATTGCATTCGTATTATAACATGAACTACAACATAAACATAAATAGAAATTCATTACATACAAAAGTGTAATACTTCGAACAAGATACAAACATGATGACACAGGACATTGAACAGCAAATTACGGTTATGGATGCTATTAATACAGTTTTATGAAATGAAAGTTTGGCTTTTCGTAATTTCTTCCTTTTTGTTAGCATATAACTGTACATTTTGTAGTGAGACCGAGATGGAAAACCTTGATTTCACGTAAGATATTCAATGATAAGTATCAACACCTTTACTCTCACAGATCCAAGCACTACTTGACGGTGAAAAAAATTAATTATTCCTGAGCAGTCCAGGTTGATGAAGATCTAAGGATATTATAATTGGTACGTATATATCCATAAGAGTAGATCACCATCGCAGCCCATTTTTCAACTAATTAGATCTTATAAAATTTTTATAAAATTGATAAAAATCGTGATTCTATACAAATTTTATGTACTATGCTTGTTTAAAAATTTGTTTATGTTATCGTTATTACGTCAATATTTTGCGCAATTATTCGAACACATTTTAAGTACTTTTAAACGGCCGTGCCGAATCTAACATAATGCCTTTTGTTGGATGATCTTTGCCTCATCGATTCATGCTGATAGCACTTTCTGCCGCATAGTTTAGCTAATAAAGATTCGGATTTCGGTTTTGGTTGCATAATTATTACCGGCCGCCTCTTAAAACGCCTAAGAATAGGAAAAAGCGAAATAATTCGTTAATATCATAGCAAATTTTACGAGATTATGTCATCATGCAACTTAGAAATTGCCAGTTTTGATAACGTCACTGATCGACATCATCTAGGATTAATTACTTTAGAAGAGTCAAATGCTATCTTAAATTGGAGATATTTTAGAATCTAAGATTATCGAGTTTTTATGGAGTGATGTCGTTGACTTTATGAATACCTAAGTTGTACATGCATATATGAAGGTTGATTCAGGAATGAGAAAGAGACAACATCATACTGTATTACTTAGTGTACTGATGTCATATGCTACTGTGCAAATCCATCTAAATTCTTTGATAGAGTGAATTCGGCGATAAAAATTAATTAAAAATATCTAAATTTAGGCTTGTATCTCCACTTTAGGTAATAATATTAGCGCCTGCTTGGAATTGACCTTGTGTAAATCCTTCTTTTACGGCTAGAATTCAATGATTTCGTTGATAATATTCTCAGACCATCAATAAGAACATCGGAGATAAGCATAGCGTATAAAATAATCACCGCAGCTATTGCTGCTGTTGTATCCAATACCATTTCAGAAATACAGGAAAGATACTTGTATGATATTGCATAAAATTTATGAAATACTGAAAATATTACTATAACAGCCTAGAATGTAAAATCTGTGTCAGATTGATGACGAGTTTATATCATTGTAAATTGCTTTAGTTTTGAAACTATATCTTAAGCACTGATACTGTTTTAATAAACAATGCAGTGATGCAATTAATTATTGGTGGATACTATTTAACCGAAAGTCACGTTTTTGCGGTAAGCGTTTTAAGTAAAACTGTGGTTTGTAATTTTAATTTATAGCCAGATCCATTTCACGTCGGATAACTATAAGTAGACTTTTAGTTAAAGCCTCAGCTAGGATTGATTCCAATGTTACTGCTTTTATCATATTCTAGTTGATTGTCTTTAGAAGTTTAATCCTAAAGTAAGAAAATTTCTGTATTAGAAGTTACATGCCTCATTTGAATGTAAGGATAAAGCATCTATTAATTAATATCAGCCCTCATACGCGTATATACAATTAAATAGGCAGTTATTATCATTACACTATAGTACTGTACCTCTGTAGAACGAATTTTAATAACATAGACGTGTATAATTTTAGTTAACCAGAGAGTCAAGGGTCCAGTTTATTAGGTAAAGGCGGCACGGATTTCGTACATGCCGTGACGTTACTCCAGTATAGATCAAATGCCATATTTTATAAGCGTTGCATATTAACAGGATACTGCATGGCCTACGGTATATTAATAGATCATATATTCGAATCTCATGAATAAGTGGAATATGAAACGGATACGGTAACTTTGTTCAAAGTATATAGAGAGGGCCTAAGAGGGTAAAAAAATTGTCGAGTTACACGATGCTTCGTCTACGTTTACGTTCATGCCTTGGTATAAATTTCTTTGTCTTTGTTTGCCATATACTGTACTATATGGTACCGTACTTAATTTACAATATTTTATCGATCATACTATTCTACACAATTACAGCATATTAACAATTTGATTGAATGAATTATAGTCTCCTGTAATAAATGCTGGACAAGCCTGTTTTATAATGATATGCTCTTTTAAAAATACACTATGTGCACAATTGTGTATGTACACTGTGCAGTACTGTGCAGTGATGGCAATATCCGAATTTAGGATTAACAATGGGATTGGTCACATTTACGTAGTTTGTCAATGAATAAATAAATAAAACATTCAATTATTGTCATGGTGAGCATTGTTACGAGCTAGCAGGTGCAAATGGAAGGTGATTCCTAGAATTACAGTACAGTACTGTACCGTACTGTGAGTGATATTTCTGCACCAACAATGATCATGACACTGATTGGTATTTCTTGAGTAGAACTTTATGTCGAGTTCATTGGTATTTAGTGGGCTCAGTAAACGGTAGCACCTTTTTAGCAAGGACTTCCGTCTCTTTAGAAATATCTTTTTTTAATATACTGTTATACTGTACATGCTCAGCATGTTTATTTTCTCTTTAGATAAAGAAAAAGGAAAAACTAGGACTTAAACTAATGCAAAAATACCGTATTTACACCAACATGTGAGCTAGCGGGCTGAATTTTTTGTATACTGTACAGTACAGTACAGTACAGTATTCAACTATCTACTCAAGAATAGTTAAGGCATACAGTACTGTACAGTACAGTACAGTACAGTATTCATACTGTAGTTATAATGTACTGTACAGTACAGTACTGTGCTGTACCGTATACTGTGCACTGTTTGCAGTACTGTACAGTACTGTACTGTAGTATTTACTAATTCTTTCGGATTTTTAGATGGAAAAGTACTGTACAGTACTGTACTGTACACTGTACTTTACGCCATTAGTTTTTGGAGTATCTTCCTTAACTCTACAGTATGTACTGTACAGTACAGTACGCGAAATGATTCAATAAAAAACTTCATTAGTTACAGTACTGTACAGTACTGTATGTGCTTCAAATCCAGCAGCGGACTAAGTACTGTACAGTACAGTACTGTACTGTACTGTACTCCGATATGAAAATTTCATTGTCTTGTACAGTACAGTACGGTAATGTAATTTATTTATTTTACATTTTTAGTGATAAAAAGGTTCAGGAAAACACTTTATCGGGTGAATTTTTATTAAAGCTGATCCTCATTTAAGGTCAGCTTCTAACTGGATTACGTTTTTAATGATCACTGAATCAATTAGCTTTTAACCGTACGTTTTGATACAAGGTATAAAGTAAAGTCAGTAAACCGTTTAAAAATAAAAATTATACAGTATATCATTGGAACACTTTAATGAAAAAGAAATAAAATGTCGATATCTTTACTACGCGGTATTGGATGGTATCCAGTGTATGTTTTGGTCGTGCTCCTTTTGACGTACCTTCTTAATCAATTAGATCGCTATGCGATCGGTGTAACGTCAATGTATATTGCACAGGATATGCATTGGGGAGATAAAGACTGCTTATTGAATATGTCGTATAGTATCGCAGAAGTTGGAAACACGTCGTGTACAATTAACAGAACGCTCCCTGTTGCAGAAGCAGAAGCGATGTAAGTTTCTCTTGACTGTTAGTTACTTGCGGTTTATACAGTATTTATAATCATATAATACAAGAAGATTTAAATTAATGTTAAAAATATGATATTTGTTATGAATAATGAAATATGATGAAACATCTATGGATCGGGAATCGATTCCGAGTAGATGTCATGAAATTATCTCCCCTAGTGGTTACCGCGTTTGCAAATACGACTTTAACGGACAAGGAGAATTGTATCAACTCCTAGCTGGACCAGTTTTTATAGGTAATGCACAAGAATTTACTGTAATTAACGCTAACTGCAACACACTAGTTAGCCCTGCAGTTATTTCGGATTGGCATATTACATTATCAAATTTATGGCACTGCACGGCACCAATTTAGTCGCTAGATAAAATGTACTATGTCGATTATGTAAAGTTTGACTCCATCGCAAGGAATCGGCTATACAGTTACACATTTCAATATCAGAACGAAACGGTGACAAACGAGTGATTAAACCGTATTAGATAGATCTATGACTTCCTTATCTTAATAATATAATATACATAAATGAAATATTACTGTGTACTGCAATAATGTGAGATCGATAGTATACTGTACTTGTTGTAAAACGCTGTAGTAAAGTAGCAAGTATATCAAGCGCATCAAACGAAGTTACAGATAGCCAAGCTCAAGGTAAAATTAAGCAGATTAATGATTCACATTTAGTCTGCTAATGAAAAATACACTAAAATCATGGACTTGATCCCTTGTTTAAGCCCGTTGTCATCATTACCCAGAAACTAGGCATAATACATTTTCATTGCATACGCTTGAACACTGCGCTAGTATAATACAAAGATATAGCAGCTATCGCATCGTGCAATTACAGTAAAGGTTATGCAAGTAGATTAGTGATAAAATCAATTTATAGCGTTACCTATCGAGATACTTAGAAACCGTTACGGTGATGACACAGGATGTAATATACAGTAGGACAATTTACCGCTGTAGTGACTTGAAGATTTTAGTTCTTCAATGACTAAAAATTCTTAAGCAGAGGAAGTAGATGGCTACTTTATTAAGTCTGTTACAATTTAAAGTTTTATCTAGTTGTAGCTAATTTTGAGTTATAAAGATTATTGAAATAATGATGAGACGCTATCTCTTGTTTCAAAGTAATTTACACTATTTCTGGAATTCCTCTTGGAATTGCGGCTGATGTAACTAGCCGGCGAAACCTATTGGCGATTTGTTTACTTTTTTGGAGTGTGATGACCTTCCTAACAGGATTTTCGAAACATTATTGGCAACTTCTTTTATTAAGATTCGGTGTAGGAATCGGGTAAGTAAGATGATATTCTTTCTATGTTGGAAGTATTATTATACTTACATTTTGATCTTGTCATGATCCTATAGTGAAGCAGGCTGTACACCATTCGCTACAAGCCTAATTGCCGATTATTTTCCTGTGGTAAGGGAGTATACTGTAGTTTGTATTAATCTGTAAGGCGGAACTATTAAGTCGTAATAACTGAACCTTATAATATTATATGTGACTAGTGAATTCTTTTTTACCGTATTAAATACGCATGCAGTGTATACAGGTATATTAATTTGTAACAACTCCTGTTTTCAATTAACTCAATAGAATTTACGTGCTTCTGCCATTGGTATTTATAACTGGGGGATTTATACTGGCTACGGTATATCATATGCATTGGGCGATTTTGTTGTTAGAGCAAATATCATAAATCAAGGATGGAGATGGGTTTACTGGCTGGCCTCTATCCCTGGTGTTTTGATATTCTTATTGCTTATATTTACCGTCAAAGAGCCGGCTAGGCGAAACGAAATTAGCGACAGCCCAAGATTTACGTGGGAAAGGCTGAGACTAGGCGTGTATTAATGTTTTATTTAAGTTTAAGTGGAGTAGAATATCTCTTACCAGATTTCAGATATTGCGTTAATACTTATACATGCGGTTATTTGTTTGTAGCATTACAACCGTTCGCAGATCGAACGCTGCTGATGCTCATCCTTGCTGGCTCAGTTAGAAATGCTGGGGGATATGTATGGGCATACAATACGAAGCCATATTTCAACAAGTACTACCCGCGTGTTGTAGTCGCAGACTTTCTAACTTGGATTCCTTTAATTGGTGGTTCTGCAGGAGCATTTTTTGGTGGATTCATTTCTGATCGGTTGGTCGGTTCTCGGGGACTTAGCGCACGTCTGTGGGTTCTAATTATGAGCCAGGTAGCTTTAATGGATAACGTCAAACAAATCTTCAATTGATATAATGTATCTCGAGGTGATAAATTTTTGTTTGTCAAGAATTCGATGACAGCCTTCTCACTTTTGTGTTTTAGGCTGTAGCTTCACCATTCGCTCTCTTAACTCTACTTTTACCGCCTCCCTGGGCTTTTATTGCCCTTATACCTAGTAATATTATTGGTGAAATGTGGATTGGCGTTACCCTAGCAGTTATAGTTGAGGTGGTGCCAAGTAATATTCGTACGGTAGCAGTAGCCATTTACCTTTTCATCATTACTAATATTGGTAAGTAGTTTTTAGTCATTTCTCCGAATAATAATGTAAAGAGTAGCATAAAATTAAGAATGAGTTTTCTTTTGGCATAAAATAGTAAAAGAATGATATTCTTTTGTCCGTATGATCTCGTTTCAACTCGTGTAGGCACTAATGTACAGATATGTTTTGTGTAGGTGGACTAATGCCCTTACTGATTCCCCCTATTGCTACAAGCACAAGTTTGAGGACGGCTCTGATACTACTATTTCCAGGGCTCTATCTGCTCAGCTCTGGGTTATTTTTTATTACCTATTTGACCTACAAAACTAAGCAAAGCATACGTATGACCACTGTAATAAATGCTGAAGATGAAGAACCTTTAATTAAAGGTAGGTGTATTAATTTATAAATTTGTATTGCTTATGTCTTTAGAAATAGTGAACGTTTTTACTAGTGTAATTCTAATATTTTATCTACGTACTTCTAATAATAATTATGATCATTAGGTCCTGACGGTACAGATAGCGTGGATGAGATAAACGGAAATCAAGCCATAGCTTGAAACACCCAATGTTATAAATATTGTTACGGTGCATCACACTTGATAACGATGTCATTCTGGGTTACTTTACAATGCGAAAACCTTTTCAGAAGATCGATGATTGCAAGATATTGTGTATGTGTTCAGTATTACTGTAATACTGAGAGATAAGATTTTCTATATCCAAATTTTATTTACAAGACTGTAATGTTTGGATTGCAGCAATTTTGATTGGTTGATGGTTTATTATATTAATAACTGTAAATAATTCTATTCTTCACGTTATCATGCAATTATAATTATTTTTAAAGGGTTACTGATGTCTTACTTGAGCAACTTTTATGTAACCCTGCCTAAACTTGATCATAAAGGCGAGATACCTATAGAATTATAAATATAGAACAGAAACCAGTAAGCTACTAAATGATCGATAAAAATTCGAATCAGTACAGTACTATGAATTACCGAAATGATATTGGTAGCATATCTTTTCGCGGTATATAAGCACTATTAAATTAAACTTTAAAGTAAGTTTTAATCTAAAAGCTATGGGCAAACAGCATTAATACTGTAATATCCGGGACAGTTCTTAGGGATTGCCTTCAAACGATGCAAAACTGTTTGATTCGCTATTAAACGAGATCTTTGATAATTTAAGATTAATAAATTATGTAATGACTTTGCAATGTCTCACAGTTGAAGATCATGCCTGATCGGTATTACGTGTTAAGAATATATGATTTTATACCGATGTTAATGTTGTTTCCTTATACAGTAACCACACTATCAATAGCGAGAAAAGTTAGTATGTCTAACGACTATTTCCAGTGACTTTACGTTGGATATATTTTGTTGTACGGTAATTATCATCCAAGATTGCATGATCAGTCACAGATCATATTTAAATTTAGCACGCTAAAATTTGGACCTAACCGTAATAGAAGGCAAACTGTTATCAATGAGTGAGTGCTATTTGAACTTAAATAATAATTTTCATGATCTTCAGCTCAGAGCAGCAGAATAGATATAATATGATGTTACACATGATACAGTTTAGTAAAGGCATCATGGAAAAGAGCTTGTACTGTAATATATATATACACCTTTAGTCAAGAATAGAAGAGCAATGCATAAAACAGCATTTTCTGTAATAGCTAATTGTTTAGAAATGCTTTGTTCACAGTAACCAAGTGATCTAATCTGAATTGACCTTAGGAATCATAAGGCCTATCCATATTTACGAACTGTTAGTAAAACTGGCTAAGTTTCTTATCATGCTCATACATTCAACATCAATAACGTCATCACGGTGCAATTATTGACTAAGTTAATAATTTGTATTAAGTGTAGTACGAATGGTATTTTATACCGCAGCAATTTCTATTTGTAGGTATCATGAGTTGCTTCTTCCGTCCATAATACCATAAATTAGCATTTACAGTTAAAACAAACAACAAATTCCGGGAACGCATCAATTGTCGCTACATTATTACACATCTTTTCAACTAAAGTTAGTGTAATAGAAATGAAATTCACCGAAACCATCTACTATTTTTTGTATTGTAAGTTGAAGTACCCGTAAAAGTTACTTACGGCTAAAATATAGTGTTTTATGTTAGAGTGACGAGTCATACGAAATCCATCATAGAGTCGGCTATTAAATGCCTCAATCATTTCTAAATTAATAATAGATATTAAAGTAAACATCCTTATGCTTACCAGAGCGAAGTAGAGCGTTACATTAATATTAGAAACAGTATAAAATTACGCGTCCAGATCATATACCGAAAGCGTGTAAACATTTGTTGGCTTCCCATGAATCAATACGATCTCAGAAAATTGATTAGGCAATATTATATAATATACATCTATGTATATTTGATTTTATATGTATTACACTGGGTAGAATTTCGGTATTTCATTAATACCAAAGGTAAAAAGAACATAAAATTATTTTCATAAATATACAACGAAATCTTTATCCTTGAATTCACTTTTTCGAGATACAGTGGTTAGGCAAATTATTCGTGGCCTTAATACGCTCTAACCAAGATAATGCCATACTGAGTTGAAAAGTTCCAAGTTATCAGTTTAATTCATGCATCAGTTCGTGCAAATCGTCTCTATAAGACTCTAACAAAATAGATAAGCGAGATAAGATAACTTCAGAAAGATGAAATACATCGAATATGTATAACTCTTATCGTTACCTCTTTGAAAGTCGCAGCTTATGCCGTCGGTTATAGTTTCTAAATCAAATTCCGCCTGGTTGAGAGGTAAAAGTTTATCCATTCTAAGTTATTGCATACTATGAAATCTTCTTACTATATTAATAACCGGTTAACTTTTATTTATATATACGATAGGTGAATTACCTCATTATCATAAATTTCGTCATTAGATAAAGTAAAAGATGCTGCATTCGTTGTAGAACACTGATTATTTTCTGCATTAAAGTCAACTTGAATTGAATCCTGATTTGAGTGAAACTCCCGAGCAGCAATTACGTCTTTAGGTACATTTTCATTGTAATTGAAACTTCCTAAATGCAATCAAAGCAACATGAATCGTTTAGGTTATAACTATAATTTAATATGCGTGATTAATTCCGAAGTAAAGTGAATACGGTAGTATTTCCGCAAATATAAAGCAAGGTGCACTTATGATATAGAACTACGGGGGGGGGGGGACGATTCTAAGTACCGTTATTAATATGAGTATTACCCTCAAGATTTGGCTGCACAATTGTATCTCGATGTAATTGATTCAGATAGTTATCAGACAATGTATTCTTGAAAAATAAAGGTAACACCTCGGATCGATCTAAAGGCGATGGTTGTGAATTATCACCAGCTGAGGTATTAATTATTTCATGAAGCTTGGATGAATTTCCTAGTTGGAAGCAAAGGCTGTCTTATTTCCATACTAATGCAACTAAGCTGAATGTATAATACATTTCGCAAGCGCAAAAAATAAAAATAGGAATCTCTTACCGTGTTGATTATGGCTTTGCTTTGCAACTTGCAATAAATTGATATCTGTTCCATCTGTCGTAATCATTAATGAGGTTAAAATAGTGGTAGCAAAATAATACAATCTTGCGGAAAATAGATATTTTATATTTATGAAAGAGAATTACCAGCTACTCCTACAGACGTTTTTAGTTCTGCAATTCTTTGAGTAACATTGTTATGCCAATTAGGAGATAAAATTGCTGAAGATTGAAGTGAGATTTCAACTGGCGCTTGTGTCTTAATACTAGAGCAAGATTGTGCCTTTTTTAACTTTGGCTTTTCATTTGTAAATATAATTTTTGCTTGATGATCTTTAATTAGTGTACCTTGCGCAAAGTGATATTTTAACTCTTTCTGATTTTTCTTTTGGCCTTTTTTGCCTCTTGATCGAGACGTGTGATTCATCTGGCCATTTTCTTGAGTGTGAGTTATTTTACGCGTATGTAGATCACCTGACGAGGCTCTAGAGACTAATGTATTGGATCTGTTGTTGACATGAGCGTTAGTGTGGCATTGAGAAAATTCAGAAAATTGATTGATACTGTCAAGAGTTACATTAGTAGCCTTAGATGGATTATGTATTGACTGATTCGATAAAGTTACAGTTTCAGCGTTATTTGGGGAGTGTCTTACGTAATAATTAGCGTTAGAGGTGATTATAGGATTAGAAAGATCATCGCGATTAGAAAATGATCTTGGCCGTTGGCACAAAATAACGTTACTGTCATTATGGTGACGATGATCCATTGTAGAATAAGTGCTATCAAAGGAGGATATGCTTAAGGATTGCTGAGATGGAGGAGATTCACCAATACCAACATACTGTGAATTAGAGGAGGGGATATTTCCTACATTGATAGTCGAAATTTGGTTTCTTAAATTAGACATCACAGATCTATCAATACCAACACAGCCATGTTCAGATGGACCTGTAGACAACTGTGTATTACTATTCTCATTTAAATCTGATTCTGGATATGGCACATCTGGAGTTACAATCAGTCTATCGTGAGGATTGTTAACAGGATTTTGTTCGATTTCAGAAAAGTCGGAAAATGGTGATGATCGAAAAGATTCTGAGGTATCGAAATTTTCGTCACGTCCAATGTTCTGTAATTTGTTTGATTGGGAGTCAGGGCATGAATTGATATGCAAGTTGTTTAAAAATTCAGGTTGTAAGATATTGTCCTCGATAAGTTTATCAGGTGTTGGTCGGTTTCTGATGAAGCTTTTCAGTTCATTGACTATTTGTAACCTTTTTAATTTTTTACTGTTAGCTTGTAACGTTGGATCAATCCTACCGGCTAATAAAAATGAATATATTTACATAAATACACATATAATCACCAAAATATATTTCTTGAAGCATAATAGATTAAGGTCTAGAAGATTACGAGATGGCTACGAGATCCAAAATTAACGAAGGTATCACATACTGCAATTTGCAATGATACGGTAATACTATCAGGATATGACAGTAATACCTGTTAAAAATTCATTATTTAACCGAAATAGACATTGAACGTACATTCTAATATGTTTCTCTGCATTAAGTCTTTCTTCTGTGGTCTGTTGCTAATCCTCCTATTCAAAGTATCTTTTGTCTAAGAATCCACGATTAAAAATTATACCGTAGGAATCAGTATGTATGTAAGAAGAGATCAGATATTCTTTTCGCATAATAAAGTTATAACAATAGAAAATCAGTAAAGATTAAGGAAAAGAACCATACTTTCATTAGCTGTAACTTCCTAGCAGCTACAAATACTGATCCGCTGGTTCCGCGAGCTTACAGATTGTAGGAAATATACAATAAAGTTAAAAAGTTATACAAAATTTTTCGATCTCTGTTGTATCATCCAGTATTTAGACCATTTTGGTTCAAACTATTTTAAGTAGGTGGAATGTCAAGATTACAAGGGAAAACAGGACAAAAACTTGAGAAATCAAGCCGAAAATTAATCTCTCTTATCAAGTTTAGTTTAAAGACTACTAGTACTTACGAGGTATTATTCCATGTTCAACCAAGTTATTATGTGGTTGTCTATCGCGCAAACGTTGATCTAAATCTAAATATTAATTTAGATGGTAATGATTAATTTATGATTATAAATTCGCAGAATGCTAGATAGTAGCCTACAGTACAGTACTGCTCTATCATTCTGTGCACTTCTTTAAAAACTTGCATTATGCATATTATTGAAAGTTACTTTAAGTTAGCGTTAAACGTACGAATGAATTTTAAAATGATCATTATAAGATCTTAGCTCTTATTGAGCATGGTTGATAATAACTACTTTAGAATACTAAAGTAAACACCAATAGTAAAATCAGTAGACGATCCGTAGGAAGAACTAATACTGTACAATCAAATTTCCCATTAGTAAGTCCGTTATCTCCATTACAGACTCTCTAGCCATGGATTCAATGTTACGATATACGTACATTACTGTATATGAAGAATTTTTGGAAAGATTATGTGAGAAAGAGTTTTCAAATCTAAAGTAAAATCGATCTATATTACATGGATAGGACATAATTAGCGAATAATAGTTCTTTGAAGGTAAATACAACAATGTTAATAATACAATACTGTACAAAAAAAGACGATAAACACGAGTGATCATGAATCATCGTTGTTTCGATTTAGTCCTATATTTTACGTCTTAATAAAATTAAGACGTAAGATTAGGACGTACGCCAACTTGCCATGATAAAACTACTGCATGCTTTGTAAAGGGCACAGCATACGAGTCACATTCTGATACGAATATTTGGATGTTCATCTACACTTTACAGTTCTATTGTATACAGCACGTTTTGCTTAATTAATTAAAGAAATGTACATAACTAAAAAATAGCAGACTAGGGATGAGGCACTACGTGTTCATACTGTATTACATTAACGATCTGGCTCAGTATAGCTCTGGGAAAGCATGATTTATTAAAATAAAAATAAGTATCATATAACAACAGACACATCATCAGCTATTAAGTTACTTGTATCAGCCAGAAAAAATATTAACCCTTCAAATAAAGTAGCAATTTACTGGCATGTATCTTACGAAATCACCAATTGTTACTCTAGTAAGAACCGTTTGGGCAATTAGCATTTATAAGCTGATTTTAATAATTTCGCCAGGTGTTTAACATTGATATTATCTAAATGCACTCAACTTAGTTAATGAAGATCAGTAGTAAGCGATCGAAACAAGGCGTGGTTGTCTGAAACAATCTTGCAGTATTTATATCAGAAAATAAAATTTTTATTTTTCTAGTCATGCCTGCCATGAGTACGTTTGTAGTTAATTAACTCGAATACTACAGTACACAAAACTATACAATCTAAGCGCACATGGTAAGTCTGTATAAGTCGTTAAATACATGCCAATAGGATAAAATATTGCCATTCCTTATCAAGAAATCTATCTTTATCAATTATAATCATTCAAACGTAACGAATGCAGGTACTCCTGTCTACAGAGAAAAGTTCTATCATCCTTATTTTTACGAACTTGTAAGTTGTAATATGAATAGACGTGCAATGAATATCGTTACTACAGTACTTTCAAAATGTACCTTTGAATGGAGTTAGTCAAATTAATAACGAATGTAAATTTACTTTATAATAAAAAAGGCCACCCTCTATTTTCGCTCAATTTAAAGTTATTAAACAATGAGTCATACGAGTTACTGAATTGCCTTCTTATTAAAAAAGAATCGTAGGTTACCTGTACGATTTTAGTTTAGTTTTTCTATGTTTTACAGTATCTATCGGAGTGTGAGTGCTGAACAGTGAACAATACTGTAATACTTTGTTCATAGTGCTTGGCTAGTTCAGCAAGTCTAGATAGAACGTTATTCTACTTAAGTTTATTCATTTAGATCGTAAGTATCGTGAAGGAAGTATTGCAGCAATTTCGATCTTTCCTGATGTTACAGCACAGCAGCATACTTTCGCCATGATACACCTGTACCACTGTACTGCAGTCGCACTAGTCTGCACCGCGTATACAGTAATTATTTATTATAGTATACCCACCCCTATGTACTGTATACAGTATACAATATGTATGTACTATACTGTATCAATATTAATTACAATTTAAAATTAGAGTATTGCATAATATACTTGCCATGTCGAACTTGATCAAAATTGTTCTTGCTTGAAGGCTGGCACTGATTTGATGTTCCTTGACAACCTTCGGGTGAAACATATTGGTTGATGTTCTCATTCACGTCATAGCTACTGAAATATGAGAAACTCATATTCTCTACTGTACTGTACAGCAACTTGAACTCTTGGTGCGACTTTGATACTTTAGTAAAGCACGGATATTGCTTTGGGCCGAGTTACTGTTGACTTGCTGATGTGTTCTTAATTAATTAAACAGTTTAAAAAGCTAAGACGATAGGACTCGAATCTTGCAAGCTGATTCCGCCTGAGTTTAAGTGAAATTTTGCCGAATTTATTATCACCATGCCCGGATTACTTCGAAAATCTGCTTATCAGCTTTCTAAAAGAAGACCAAATCAAATCACGGGGATCATTGCTAAGTACGGTATGTGCAGTACTGTAAAGTACACCGTACAGTATACTGTGTCATACTGTATGAAACAGGGACTACAGTAGTGTACAGTACAGTACAGTATTAAATGATCGAGATGAACAGAAAGCAATTTTTGTTACTGCACAGTATACTGTGTCATACTGTACTGTATGAAACAGGGACTACTGTACTGTACTGTACAGTATTAAATGATCGACATAACGGAAAGAAATTTTTCTCGACGCATGTACAGTACTGTACTACTAGTACACTGTACGGTACTGTACACCGTACTTTTTTGCAATAATAGTGATTAGTGTACTGTACACTGTACAGTACCGTACTGTAGCACTCGCTCGTGAGAACTTAAAATACAGTAAGTTAATACTGTAGAGTGCAGTACAGTACACTGATACTGTACAGTATCAGATTGACACACGTACTGTACAGTACAGTACTGTACTGTACTGTACTGTACAGTACAGTACTATACTGTAGACTTTTGTGATATACTGTACAGTACTACTGTATAGTCTTTTACAGTAAAATGTAAAAGATATTCATAACACTAACTGTACAGTACTGTACAGTACCGTACAGGTGTAAGGTACTGTGCACTAGGACTGTTTCAGGAGTATTTTAATTTACAGTTAATTAATAATTAATTAATTAATTTAACCGTTTCAATGCAAAGTGACTGAGGGAGGGGGGGAATACTTTTGTGAAGAAGATCTTAGAAATCCCTGGCCTGACAGTACTCTTGATAACAAATGAACTATAGCTAGCTTTTTCTTTTATCTCTATGAAGTGAACTCCCATATTATTACATATTATTATTATTTTTAGCAACCAAGGCTGTAACTGCATAATATTTTGTCGAAAATTTCAGCCAATCACATGCTTGCTTACTGTTGATGACTTTGTTGCTATGTGCAACGAGTGACGTCGATATTTTGCATTAGAAACTTGGCAATCTTTATTTTTATTATTATTATTATTATCTTTAACTACGAGATCATTGTTTTGTAAACTTATTTCAATATCCTAACTTTGGTAAATTTCTCTTAGTATCGAAGTATCGTTATCTCGGCAAGGTTGATCATCGAAGTACAAGCAGCATTCAGAAAGCGCCGTAATTATTGGCTTAAACACTATTTCACGACTACTGTACACTTGTACTGAACTTTTAATGTTGAATTGTAGTTATAGTGCTTTTTATATCTTACTACTGAATTAAACGTTCACGGTGCTGAAAAGTGATCAAAGAGACGTGCGTTAGGGATAAGTACATATTGGTACTGATTATAGCCGAAAGGTATCTTACGGTTAATACAATCGTGATTATCTTCCATTTATAAATAGTAAATGCCTAACTTATTAATAGTCACAAACTAATTCAGTCTATGCATTTTGCTCTAACAGTAGGGGGAAAAAAAGATGGCATGCTTACTAACGTTCGCAAATAACAAAGTTGCTACTGAGTTAGCGGCTCAAAAATTAGCTGAAAATTGGAAGGCTCGAAACCCAGACGAATGTAGTGAAACTAGCACATCGCCAGTACTTGAAAATCTTGATGACAGTTTAACAAGTTTAAATTGGTTACAGAATATGAATATTAATTTAGAGCAATCTACTGAGAAATCAAGTATTACCAGTGAATCACCAACCCAAGATCAAACGAAGTCGAATGTCTCTAGCAGTAATTGTGAGATAAAGGAGCAAGAAAGTAAAACTCAAGAGATCGATTACAAGACAGATACAAATCATAAACCACCATATTCTTATGCTACCTTAATATGTATGGCAATGAAAGAATCTAAGAAATCTAAAATTACACTAAGTGCTATTTATAATTGGATAAGAGAAAACTTCATGTATTATCGCATCGCAGACCCAAGTTGGCAGGTAGGAAGTAACTGTAAATATCTCTTCTGATATTCGCAACACGGTACTATAATTACTTAAAATTTTACGGTAACGATAACGCGGGCGAATACTATATGTCGTAGTATGATTGTAATACCCGTATAAGGACTTTGCTTAATAGCAAGTATGTTTATTTTTGATCCACAACATAAGGCCAAATAATGTATATTTGACCAGTAATACACTAACATCTTTAGGCCTTGGCTGTTAGTAAGTATCTTCGCCATCATTGCTGTTATAACCTTTAATCAAATGCAAGCGTACTATAAATGGCGTAGCAAAACAAAGCATCACTATCGAGAATTTTATTTTTTATTTCTTCCGCATACACATTTCTACTCAGCCCACAATTTTGTCCATGAATTTAACAACTACTGTACAGACTTGAGTTAAATTAATTGTTATTTTAGAGAACCCTTTTATTAATGCGTCACACATGACAGTAGTCGTTAACCTTTCTCTACTGGTGCCACATCTTCTCGTAACGGACTAACTATCGAATTTAGTTTTGGTTAATGTAACTTCCCCTCCCCGCCCCTCTACTCCTTCAGTCTCTCGATGTTCGATACTGTACAGTTAATCGATTTACTACTATTAATTGCAGCTTTAATTTACAATAGTGGTCCAGGAATTTTAAAGCGATTATAACTGTTCGTATTAAAATTTATTTGCCATACATCTTCTTAATGTTCCTCTTCGCATACTTTATTCCTTCAGAGGCCATTCACTAACTAGTAACTACTATACAGTCACTACACCGCCTTTGCAGTATAGTCTGTCATAACAATACATCGTAGAAGAAATGCCCTTTGTCATAATCAAGTAACAAAGACAGCACTATTAATTGATTACATTACATTACTGAGAATGAAGACGGAATAGCAGATTGCACGAATAGTCATTTAATACTACAATAATTAGCGGTACGGTAAAATTAAAAATTGCAGGTAAAAATTTTGTTTTACATTAAACTGCTACTGCACGGTTGATATCCTGTTATCTCTAAAAAAGTTCATTACTTCATTACTGTATTCTTTCAACAACTTATTTTATTCTAAAAGAAGTAGTTGCCTTTCAATGTGTAATATATAGAGTTCAGTAAAATGTATTAAGATCTACTCCCTGTCAGAATTACTCACAGCGTTAATAAAAGGATTTGACTGAGGTTCCCGTAACGATCGATCGTTCGTAATCGTTAGCTTAATTCTTTTATTATGGTAAAAATAGTTTAGTGCTAAATCTTGACGTAATGACGTGGCCAATAATATATATATATATATATGACAGATATGTAACATATTCGTATACTGAAATAAGTATAGAGTTAACTAATTTTTCTCCTAACTTATAGAAAGTGAAAACCATTAATCGGGTTTCTAATTAAAAATTTGATCATAAATATCTACATATTATCTCAATATCGTACAACTCTATAGCTGTACTTTGCATTTGAATTTAAATTTTAAGTTATACACTATAACGCAAGGCTTATAGTTTTCACTTAGCCAGACCATTACTACTACTGTAAAACCACGTTTATCGCTATGTTATCATTCTCTAGAAAATATTCGGTCCTAAAATTAGTTCGCCCTCTAAATTCTTAAGGATCGAAAATATTGTTCATCTATGTTCACTTCATATCTTGACTCCGTAATTGGAATTGGAATACAGTAATTGTGTACTGGATTGGCGAAAAGAACATCGATGCGATCAAAAATCCTAATTTCTACTGTTTGTACTTGCTACGCATTGTACATTAGAGCATTAGTCCAAGCTAGTTAATACTACATACTATAAATAGATATGTTTAATTTTTAAAATTTAGTGTTGCTGCAGATAGGAACGACTCTTTCACGGTGAATATGCACACTTGCACATGGAAGACGTGATCAGCATTATTTCAAATTTATCGTATCAAGTATTTTCGGTCCTTTAAATTCTCGTATGGATTTATGTGCCAAATTTTAGAATCGAGGCATTATTTCGTTAATCCATTTCTGAAGTACTTTTGGCTAGAAAATTCATTTATTTTTTGTACTATCGAAAGGCTGTATACCAAATTTAAGGTCTAAGCACTATATAAGGGTATTTTGAAAATAGGTATAGGTTTAGATAAGTGCGTGGTACACAGTATAACTACTGGGGCTGTAATTATTGCATTGTTATGCGACAAAATTATTACGAACGCAGATATTAAGGCACTTATAATTAACATTAACGCTTAATAGAATAGGATAGAATATATTCATTGTACAATACTTAAAGTAAATTTTTCTAGTACAGTTTTCGTCTATCGTCTAATGATATCATTAAAAATTGAGTATGAAAACGATGAATAACTGTTAATATTTCTACTATTTCTCTATTGTTATTGTAGAATTCCATTCGCCATAATTTATCATTGAATAAATGCTTTACTAAAGTTCCAAGAAAAAAGGATGAACCGGGCAAAGGAGGGTTTTGGAAAATAGATCCAGCACACGCAGACATGTTCGTAGATGGTATATTTAGAAAGAGGCGGAGTTGTAAGGAAAATAAAAATAGTAACCAAATCAAGAAAAAATTTCGGTCTTTGTCGCATAATAATGGGGATCGTGATGAAGACGTTACGTCTAAAAAGCAATCTTTCGTTCTGAAAACTTCAGATAATGCTACTGAAGAATCAACAGGTGACTTTGATCAATCAAGACAATTCCTGGAGTAAATAAGAGGAAAAACAAACAGCAACGTTTGCACAGAAATGATGATAAGAAAGTTAAAAACCATCGCCACATTCGTTATCAAGGCCGTAACGGCAGTAGTGTTCGTTGCGATAACAAGCACGACTTTGATAGTTGCGATACAGATGATCATCAGAGCAAGAAAAAGTCCAACTTGATGTACAATAAGAAGCGTAAAATTATAAATGATGGCAAACATAAGAAAAAGATCAAATCTAAGCGGAACCACAGAAATGATCAGCAAAGTTCAGAAACTAGGTTACGCGAGGAAGGTGGCGAAACAATCTTGGATGATATTTTAGATCGCAGTTTTAACTGGGATGCTTTCCTTGATCAGGGTACCACGTTATCATGTGATAGCTTATCACCGGATTGTAGCAGTCACGAAAGTGTTGATCCCAGCTTATTTAACATTTCTAGTATGTCAGATTTTCAGCTTAGCCCACCAATGTCACATTCAAATTGTTGTGATGATGAATTTACCCCAGAGGATTACATCCCAGAGATTTTACCAAACGACGATCCTGATGTGGAATTGATGGTTCGCGGGTTCTCTTGTTTCCCTAGTTCCCTAGACAGTTGTAGTGACCCATTGCTTGGCGCTGGTGTTAACCAAGACTTTCAGGAACATCAAAAGTCAGCTCAAGTGAATTTTAATGAATTGTTAACCGATCCATGGTCTGAAACTAAGGATGGATCAGATTTATTTCAGAATAGTAGTGATATTCGAACAATCAATTCTGTTGTTTTATTATAAGTGTACCACTAATCATGAATGTTTAGTATAATAGTTGAATTAACGTTAAGTTTCATTGAGACTATCGCCTTATTTGAATACGATATTTATTACATTACATATGTGATTATATTCATATTTCTCGGAAATCATGATATTTTCGAAATCATCTGATTGATTCTATTAATTAAGTTTCATCATTTTAAGTGGCTATGTAGTCGTTTTATTTTTTAATTTAATACGAACGAACTGAAGGATTAATAGTTTGTTTAATGCAGATATATATAAATCATTACATTTTTACATATTACAAAAGTTCTAAAGTAAGGACGACAATCATGGCGTTATACCTTTACTCGCAATAGCTTACTTTAATTAATTTGATCTTAATATTGCTTCACCAAAGACATTTAAGTAATCCCTTAAAATGCTTATAAATATTAACTGCAGTAACTGACATGAGTAAAGGTATAGAATGACTCTTTAGAGCTGGCTCAACTAAATCTATTGATTGGTTTTGTATTAATATAACTGAATTACTGACTGCCACTTGTATAGCGCAAGTGGTTATAATAATTTTAGAAATGAAAACGATCTATATAGTAGTTACGCAATGCTACTATAAATTAATGTTTCTTATTTATTTCCTAAATATCTTGGAACAATAGTCGTAAGATGACTCAAGAGTCATCTTGTAAAATGCATTAGCCTTACGTATATATATTAAATCCATCATTAAATATTTGATGTCTACTTACGCTATTACTATAATAATCTGAATCAGCACTAGTAAGTGCTGGATGTGTAAGTTCGAATAGATACCATGATATTTAATAAATAAACTATATTCTGCTTGTACTGTATTAGGATCTGAAATCCAGTTTACTTGATTGTTTTAGCTAAAGGATATCTTATTAGCACTTTATTGCTATCCAAATTATACTTTGGATGAAGTATCCAACTTACAGCTGTATGCTGGATACAAAATAGTACAATAGCTTCAAGTAATGTTATAGATTATACTAAATAATACTTGCTCGCTCATACGTGCATGCAATTTGTTTTGTAGCTTATAGATTCAGTGTCGATCTAGTATAATGGAAGTTGCTGTATCTTCCAGGCTTTAATTGAAAACTTATCAATCTAAATGATAAGTACTTGCAATGTAACTACTGTACTCCTACATGAGTGAGTTACATATTACTTTCATATAGCTCCGGCCAAAGGTTCTTATAATCCTTTGATCTGGCATATAGTGAGAATTGGTGCAAGACTGTTGGGGCGTAATAAATTTTAATTTTGTCAAATTAAAGCAGATTATTTTAGCAGTTCATTAATTGCTGTTCTAACAACTTGGATCTTAATTTCATACATTTAAAATCAAGTATGAGCGAGGCGATTTAATCTATCATTATTTATTAATCCTGGTGAGAATAGTGAGAGAGATCTGTATCAAAAATTATCGTGTCGCCTGACGGTCTTTGATTATAGTCAATATTACATTAATACATTTACCTATAAAGCTTTTAAGCCACATATTTATATGCTGCACATTACATGAAAGAAATGGGGATTATTCATTACGAAATGCTTATATAAATCAAACGACTACCTGTAAGTTACTAGCAATTGTAGACGAATGAATTCTATTCCTAAAAATCAGTTCTAGTCTATTAAGGTGCAATCGATTCAAGCAGTAATGCTCCGCTACTATATATTCAATATCATAACACAATATTTGTATTGAAATAAGCTAAATATTCAGTAATCGTCTTTTATTATAGTTATTAACGTATAGCAGCTTGACACCATAATTACTTGGTTAGTTATCAACGGTAACGTACTTTTCGAAAACTTCTAGACGGAAGAGCGAAATTAAAATAGTAGCACTAGAATATGCATTGCACTCTGCTAGGTAAAACAACGATGCCTTTATTCTAAAATGTATTTACAAAAGGCCTTGAATTTCCTTCATAAAGTCTGCATATGCTACATCTGTAGAAAACTTATTGGAATTTTTTGAGGACTGATTCAAGGTAGCTACAGGCATAGTAGAAATACTACTTTGGACTATTGGTTTCATCGCTTGCTGCTTTATAGCCTGATCTCTACGAACGCGTAGTGACAGTGGAACAAATTTTTTTACTTCAGATGTATTACTACGCAACTGAGGCTTAGCACTAATAGTTGCACTTGTTGAATTCTTTTTACAACTGAGGTCTATTGGTGCATCATCGGATCTATCAGTATTGCTAGTAGTAGATGGTTGAGGAGTTGCCGATTCTGGTAAAGTTAATGATGGTTGTGAATTTCTCATAAAAGTGGCCATTGGTGGAGGCATTCCAGGCCGTAATATATTAGTAGGTGGAGGTCCAGGAGGAGGGCCAGGCGGTAAGCGGTTTGGGAGACCTGGAGGTATTTGTGGCATGAATGGAGGCCGCGATAACGTCGCCAAGAAATGTGATGGCGGACCAGGAATAATTGTTGGGATTCTCCCAGCGTTATTATCGCTCAATTTGCTTGTTTTATCATCAAAGCTCAGTGGAAACTTACTGGATGGATCTCCTTGAACTTCATCGTAAACTCTGCATATATCATAAAAAGTATTCGTCAAAACGCCTTGCATAGCAATATTAATTGGGATACCGTATTATCGCTCAGCAAGATGAAATATATTACTCATATACTTATTTGATAGATCTTCATCGAGTGGGCTAGTACTATCACTGGAATCGCTACTAGAGCTCTCGTCGTCATCATCATTACTGTCATCATGATCTTCAGCGTCAGCACTTCTTACATTAGAAGCTTTGATATTCGTTTCGGTAGCTAGTTCATCACTAATGAAATAGGAATTTGAATATTAAAATGAGATAGATCTGTACTTTAATTATTGCTATAGTTACCTCAGCTCATATTCTTCTTCTGGTAAAGGAATATCATCAGAGAGCACGTCGTTATCTAAATGTTTACATATATGTGCATAATTTATGAAATTAAGTGCGATAGATCATACGTGACAGGCATTCCTTAGTAGCATTTTAAGAGTAAGAAAAATTTAAGTCTTCAATTTACCGGTTACTGTATCAGGAAGTGGAATATCATCTAAAGGAAGAGCCATTGCTTTGCGCTTAGATTCTTTTAAGTAAGGAAGTATCATTATATTACATATTAGTATCAAAAGAGCTACGCAAATTTTAAAAAAATCTTCCACAGCTTACCATAGCAATATATTACTTTCTTTCGCCGTTGTTCATATTCTAGTTCCATCCTGTAATGTATTCGAGTATGATAGCAATATACTGTAATTTCGATATCTATGAATTTCTTAAGTAACGCTAAAGTAATTCACAGAATCAAGTACAATGAACTCGTTACCTTTTGTACTCGTTATATCGGTCAGGGTCTTCCTTTTCCTGTAGGATGGCAGTCGATAGGTTAAAATTAAAATCGTACAATACATTGGCTAGCAAACAGCATTCTTTAAGTGCAAGGATTATGCACATAATACTCTATATGCCACCACCTAAAAGCTATAAATTTTTTACTGAAAATCTTTAGCACTTGCTATCGTCATAGCTATTTTCGCTATGTTTTTAATATTTCTGTCACTAGCTATTAATAATTTATTGATTATTATAGAGATAAGATACTAACGAACAGTTTTATAGTTTTATCAAAACACTCTTTCAATTTTCTCCTTTTCTCTTTTAATGGTTTATCGTTTGATGCAGCCGTCAGTCCAGCTTCTAATTCTATTAAAATGTAAAAAGATTGCTATAGCATTAGAAACACTAACGATAAGGATTTGCTCTATACATTTAAATAATTTGGCACTGAACGAAGGTGATTTTCATATAAGATATCGCAATTAACATCGTACTTCAATTTTAATTATCTATTAATTCATAAATTTTAATCGTAGAATGCAGCTTTATCTACATCAGTTAGTCATTTACACACAGTATTTATAGTAATCCTATACACAACGACTCAGTAGCTATACTATGCTACCGAAGTTCAGCATACTGAATCCTTAAATTCGTGAGTATACACAATGCGTGTCCTATGTAATTGAGCACCTTTCCAATAAATCTGCACACACAAGCTGGTACCCTATTTAATCTTTACAAACGCAGAAACCAGGGTTGTTCAGAAAATGACTACAATTTTGCAAGTACAAACCTTGTTGCTCCAGTTTTTCAATTTCTTCAAGTATACTTTTAGGGTTCCTACTCCTCAATACAGCTTCTCGCACAAATTTTCGTTGCTTCTTATTCTAGTAAAGCAGAATTACATCAGCTAGCTATCGCAGAATCATACTTAACTTAAACTATGATCAGCAAAACTGGTTTGTACTGTACATATAATTAAGAAGGAACGCCTTAAAAGGTGTAGGAAGTAAGTAACATATGTATGAATATGAAATGCACAAGCGCATGTACTAGCATTTCTACGAACTTCAGTGTAGATTGCAATATTAAGGATAAATAGGTAAATTCATGTATCTGTAATGAAAGTATGTATGTATAGTACAGTACAGTACTGTAGGTTGTACATTCAGCGTAAGTTTCATCACCATCGAGTTCTACGCCTCTCAAAATATAATTATTGCCTTATAGAGTCGTAGAATAATTTAAAGGACAGTGACAATGTATGATCATAAATGCATGTTTTTAATCTTGGCTAATGAGTAGACTGCACTGTGGCTAAATCTTTGCAGAAATTAAATGAATATGATTCGTGTGTTGCTTACTTTGGTAACTCACTACAATTTTCTTAAGTGCAATTTAGCTATTGTTATTACTTGTTATACCTTTTTTAACTCTTTTTTTCTCGCTTCTTTGCCTAATAAAAGCGTGAGATATGATTTTAAGCGAGAAAGCTCACAAAATTACTCATAATTATCAGAAAATTTTCCTCAAATTTTAACAAATAACCAATATATATCATATGAGCGTATATGATTACGATATATTATTGTTATAATACAATTAAACGTTCACTATACTGTAGCATAATTTGAAATACCAAGTAAAATCTAGCAAAGTGCCTCAATTAATTAACGTATTCGTATCAATTTTATGTTAATTTTAAGACTAGTCTCAAAAGAAATCTTACGCGCTTGATCAGTAGGATTCATGTAACGGCCGCCTTTAGTAGTTGATGTTGATCGTCGCCCCATTTTACTCGTATGATCTATTTTTCACTACTGCTGCTTAATTTAAAGAAATTACTAGAGATGCATTCAAGGAACAGCTAGAGTTCAGAACATTTAACAATTAACGAAATCTTACGAGATTACGCCCCTTCAACTGCAGCGTGAGTATCAGTGATAAATTTTACTCAATCTTGATCTGCTATTCAGTAAACGAAAGCGCCGTATTAATATTGAACTTAAAACTTAACATCTAATTAATTATAGTAACTGATGAGCATCGAAATGCGCTAACGAAGAAGAGAAATATCAATGCCGCGTTTGTACAGTACTGTATCTAGTCTACCATACCTAACTCTAGCGGTACTGTACTGTACATTCACTCAGACGTACAGTACTGTACTGTACAGTACTGTACTGCTACTGTAATGATCTCAGCTAATTGTTGTACAGTACTGTACTGTACAGTACTGTACAATACTGTACGGTTAGCCACAGTATAATGTACTGTGCGTTGTTTGTTTCGTACTGTACAGTACAGCATGCCAACTACTATACTGTACTGTGTACTGTAAATTACAGGTTCTCGGGTGTGGCGAGGTAATACTGTACAGTACAGTACAGTACTCAGTTTGGTTCTAGACCGTGATCAGATGTGCCCACAATACAGTATAGCCATAATCCTGCTTTATAGTCCTTTTTTATTCATTTCTTTTTACTTTAGGCAATACTGTACAGTACTGCAGCTGATCATTAGACGAGCGATAGAATACGGATGCATTTCTAGTATCTACTAAACGTTGGCTATCATTCTAAACTTTATTCAGGAATATCCATAACATTGTGATGGAGAATATTTCTATCCAGAAAATAGCTCTAGAGATTAAATTAAAACAGGTTAGGCAAATCCCCTTTCGAGAGCTATTGCTACGCCAGCTGATACAGCAACGCTATCTACGAATACCACAAATCTTAAATTTAACTAGAGTAAAATAGTATTATACAAAATGCTTATTCTCTCAGTAAATATCCTTTTGAAATTAGAGATAACTATAGTCAGTGCACAAGGTACAATAAAATCATTAACTGTAAATCGAGATCAAATTTGACGTTTGACAGTCAAGGAATATTTTAAAAATCTGATGATGAGATACTTTGACAATTCTCTCCTGTAATTAATCAGTATTAAGAAAAGAAAATCATATACTGTCACATTTTACTTTATCAAATCGCATGTATGAATAAGGTACTGTCCTTTTCACATAGGATTTGAATAGTTCCATTAGAAGACCAACTGCTACCATTTATTTACAGCGCTATGCATTGTAGCATACTGTAGTATTATTATGAGATAAAACGAATACATCCATGCTATATTTTATGTTTGTTTTATGTTGCTGTTAAGGTACAGTAAAATGTGATAGGTATATATTATGCAGATATATGATTTTCAGTCTGAGCGTTTTTAATGGTATAATCATTACATTATTTACACCTGACATCGTACTGTAATCAGGCCTGTAACAATGATATTGCTAACGGTGTCCCATCCTGGCTGCAATGAAATATTGTTATTCATAGTAATGCAATTTATGCTAGCCAAAACTAAAAATTTTAACTATATAATTCATAAGCTACTACAATCAGTTATCGGCTGGTGATCCACTGTAGGGATACTCCTACTTCCTAATTTTTAGGGAATCTGAATTACCTTTGGTGTACTGTATCGGAGTTTAACATTTCCATTTCCAAATTGATCAGATCACTAGGCATTATATTACCGTACCCCATTATTGATTTCTTCTTTCCGATATTTTAGTTATCATTATACAAGTAGATACACCTAGCTTGTAAGATTACTGTAAATCAATGGTATGATGTAGGTTATTTTAAGGTAATACTTTGTATTAAGAATTGATAATTAATTACTTAAAATAATACAGCTAAAGGATAACTTGCATATAGCAATATACAGTAATGTATAGTTTAATGCTGCCATGATATTTGTGTTACTTGTTATATTTTATTCGCTGGCAGCATACATCTGCAAGGGTAATTATTATTGTATTATTGCATGATTCCATTGAACAGGAAGAAGATGGATTATCGCTTTTAAAGGAAAGTCTTAGTAAAAGTGAACAACTGACTTTTGGAATGGTAAGATATGAAATCTTTTTGTAAGAAGTAAACTGGAGGCATTTCAGAAATAATTTTCATATAGTAAATCACACCAATTGAAAAAATTAGACTAAAAAATAAAATATAGAAACTATTAGTAGCTAGTAAATGCAGCATAAATAGAAAATATCTTATCCTTTGCTAATATCGACCTCTATTAGATTTATTTGTTAATGTAATGTTACATCTTGGATTCGAAGGATCTAAATTAGTATTTATATGAATAGCAACAATTTTATATATACTGTTTACTACTATCTCATCTTTTCGATTGTCTATAATTACACATATCTGAATTTTTCTCAGAATGGTATTTATAATTTTAGAATTTAATATAATACAACATTCATTGTAATAACAATACTATACTGTATATTGTAGATAACCATCCTTACTTCGATGGAAAGCCGCCTTCATAAACTTGAGGAAGCAATAACACCAGTTCATCAAGAAACAGAACATCTTACTTTACTGCAGGAGAGTATCATTACCATTTGTTTGAATATAACTTTTACTGCAGTTAATATGTTTACGAAGGGCATAAGTATGTAACTTTAATGACCTAAATATACGAGAAATACTAGATTTGTATGTGTTGATCAACCTTAACCAGCAGTAAGATATTGAAAAGGCGTCAACCATGACTGATAAGCTTATCAGTATACATCAAATTCCAGAAGAAGAAGAAAATAACGTTAAGAGGGGGTAAAATTATGTACTCCAAAGTTATCGATTTAAAGAGGAATTTCTTACTTAGATCTAAAAGGAAATGTTGCTCCGCTCTATACTACTGTTGAAAATTACGATAGTGTAACCCTAATATGAAATTGTGTATATGACCGTATATAATTATTAATACTGTGAATCAATGATTTAAAATTAACTAATATTATTGGCTTTCTATAGGCCATCCGACAACATAGATAGCTACTTGAGAAGCTTGGAAAAGTTACGAAAATGTGTCGAATTTTTCATGAAAAGCAAACCGGGAAGCCACGATTTGGAAAAATGTGTATGCCATTATGTACAGTAATAAATAAGAAATTTTCTGCATTTTCTACTACTGCATAACACTCTCCTACATTTAGATTGGAACGTCAATAGAATAAATTCCTTGATCTCAATATAAAGAAGCATTTTTATTCTTTCATTAAATTTTTCTATAGAAATCATTATTTATTGAAGGTGCTGATTATCTTAATCGAGAATTTCGTGTCATATTGATGCATAATTGTAAACCAGTAGCGCCTGCAAAATTGCAGGAGATAATAAATAGTCATTACGACTTAGGTAAATTGATTTACGCATTCTAAAATTCATTGGTTAACTGTAAAATCAAATAACCGATTTTCTTTACGATCACCCGCAGATGCAATATCCCTCAGTTCGCATGGATCACTGAATTCTCTAACATCAACTAACAGCATCGATGCGGTGCCTGAACTTGCAATTGAACATATATGTGGTAAGGACTTAGTAATTACCTAACGTCACTTTGCCTTTAAAGTTGTCATATTTAGAATTAAGTAAAAAATAAGCAATAGAAATCTTGAACAAACTAAACATTCATTTCTTGCAACTTATCAGAATCTGCTTTAGATAAATTGAGGCTTATCGCTAATTGGCTATCAGAGGTCGCTAGTAATGAAGGTACAAACAAAAGCTTTTTAAGCGTTAGTATATTATAATAGATAACATTTATTTAGGTAGTGCCTATTTTTAGGTTTTGTCGAAGCCTATTCCCAAGTCAGATCGGATATATTCGAGCGTTCATTGACTGTGTAATGTGTAGACAGACGATTTTATTTAGTAGTGCTTTGTCCGATATATTTGTTAATGATATTTATACCATTTCGCGATCAGATTAAAGGACCATATTCATAAAGCTACAAGTGTTACCATTACGGTATCGACTGTCGTAAGTAGCATCGTAAATTGATTTTACATAGCATTTGTAGTCATTATTGCAAGTGATTTTTAAGATCTAAAATTTTATTTTAATAACACAGGCAGGACAAAACAAGAAACTTAATTCGCGTCAGTATTAAGAAAAAATTCTTGAGATTTATGTAGGTTAAGTTTCTATAATAAATAATTGCGTTTTCATATATCCATAAATTAGTGACTATTGAAGCTGAAAGCAAAAAAAAGCATAAATCATCAGGGAAACGCAAGGAGTAAGAAATAGTCACCGATTTTGCTTCCTTCATTCTTCAAGCGTGTAATTGCAAGTTTTTTTATGCTAGATTAAAAAGAATGCCCTCATCTGCGTTTATACAATCGCCAGGTAGATAAACCTACACATTTGTTAATTTTATTTCATTAGCTGATATCAAAATCGGTTTAAGTGGAACAACTACATTTATAAAATGCTAAGCTATTGATATCAATCTAGCCATACGTAAGAATTCAACCGTACTGTCTTCAGAAGGTACCGGAGCGGGAGCTGAAGATTCTGTGTAATATTGAAATGTTTCTGATATAAATGGTGTCTCTTGTTTTATTTATTTTTGTTGTTGCTTCGATCTCATGCAGAAATCTAGAGCAAGCGTATATCTTTCCGCTACTATGCATTGCATTTGTGAAATTGTCACAGGTAATTGTGATAAAGTAGTTACCATGTTTAGATAATTTCACGGAATTGAATCAATCTCCTGCTATTTTAGACCGAAATGGAATTGACGAAGTCAGTTTTACCAAATAAATACTGGAGCTTAGCCTTCTCAAGTCTGCTGAAAAAGGCATTGATTTTCATTTGTGGAGAAGGCGAGGTATTGTACAACGTAATTATGCTATTAAATTGCCAATTACATAATAGAAATGGATGTTTGTCAGAAAATAGTTACGTCGGTGAGGAAGGTATGCATATCCAAGAATGAATACGCATCAATCTTGCATACGTGCCCAATATTAAGACACTTTAGAAATATGGCTTCCGATTATGAAGCAATCTTTAAGGTCAGTGGGACATTTAGCATGATTTAATACGGGAATGAAACTGCAATGACTTCCATTATTTTGTAGGCTCTTCCAAACTCAGCTCGCATGAAGTTAAAAAGTTTGATTTCTAGTTTCAAAGAGGCAGTAAGTATTGATCATTACATGGAATACCAATTTATTTAGTTGATGTAGGTTTGCTTCTGGTAATTAGGGTGGTAAAGGTCTGGAGGAATTTACTGCTAGTATAAAGGTATAATGCAGTAATAATTTGATTTGCTATCGTACGAATAAAAAATCAGCAGTCCCTACTTCAAATTACGTGTGTAAAACTTTTCAGAACGATCCGGATAAACAATCGAATCTACCAAAGGATGGCACCGTCCATGAGCTTACTAGCAATGTGAGATTTATTTTCATCATTATCGTTCATATTGCAAGTTCATACGTATATTATAGCAATATAAATATTCGAAGTATAACTGATTACTTTTTGATACTCTTTAATAGACGATAATATTCATGGAACATCTCATGGAATATTCAGAGATTGCTGGGGATATGCTCAATTATCAGAGTGAGTATTACATTACTATATAATGATTTGTCTGTAAAAAGCAGTATTTTTGCAAGTATCTGTAGTTACAAGACCGTATCAAAAGATGTCCTGTGCAGTGCCTTCCGCGTTTATTTTGCAAATTTTTTTGCAAATGGAACTGAAATGTTTTATATAATGCCTATAGCGACGGATTCTGCTGCACCATTATCTCAAGAGCTTGGGCACGGACAATGCAAGACTATTCTTGGATCGTATATAGGTTGAAAGCTCTTTTTAGCGATATTTACAGCCGTAATCAGTTTCATAAGGGATATTTCGCATTTTCTGTCTGCTATTGCAGCCAGAGTTCTCGGAGCATTAGGTCTTAATTTAGAAAGGAAAGCCAAGTGTTACGAAAATGTGGCTTTGCAAAGCATATTCTTGATGAACAACTACCATCATATAATAAAATCCTTAGAAAGGTCAATCCCATTCCTTGCTTAAAGATTTTAGCCATTAATGTGATATCTGAACCTTTAAATTCTGTCTATTAGATCTGGTCTTATTGAGTGGATAAACGCATTAGATGGCGAAATTACGCTTGAAGAACACTACAAAGCGCTCATTGCTAATCAACAACACAGTTATCAGAAATGGTAGGCCAAATAATTTGTTACTAACTTATACAAATACTCACATAGTACAACATTCAGTAAGAAAAAGAAATACATTGGGGTTAATTTTTTCCTAAATCAGTTGGAATAAGATTATTCAAAATCTAATTGAAGAAAATAAATCTTACCATAGCGGTTCGGATGATTCAAAGGTATATTTTGAATTTATAAGTCTTTATTCTTTGTCAAGTTTATACTTTTGCGTATTTTCTGCAGCTATTCAAAGGAAATTAAATCGCCATTTCTAAGATTTAGCATAACTGTATTTGTAGATGAGTAGAGGATCACGACAAATAATAAAAGATCGTTTTAAGGTAAATTATTGGCATTACAACTTTTCATGGATAGTCAGATTTCATCGCAATAACCGTTACGGCATTAATAACTAAGTGTATGTATTCACGATAGGCCTTTAATACCGGTTTCGAAGAAGTTCAGAGGATTCAGCAGCATTATTCAATACCTGATGAACAGTTGCGGAACAACATAAGAAAGGAAAATATTGATACTGTCGTACCATTATATGAGGCATTTCTCCAAAAGTACGTACAAATCTTATCGGAAACTTTTATTGGATTTAGTGTAATTTATTACATCACCACCTTCATTCAACTCTCTCATGTACAATTTTCATTAAAATAGGCACGGGAATAGCCAGTTTACCAAGAATCGCGACAAATACGTAAAGTATTCAGTACAAGATTTGGTAAATGCTCTTAGCACATTTTTTGATGTATCTGCTTAACGAGTTTAGATTTTTTTTATCGAATGTGTAAGTATAAAGGCTGATCTATCGACAATAAGTGATAATCAATTATTTCTATACGGTATTATCTGACAATACGGCATATCGTACTGACCCGGTTATAAATAAGATAACATGTTCCTTTATGGAGCATAGACTTGTAAAACTAATCCTGACGAAATTATAAAAGATTAAAACGCTAGTTTTATAGTAACTCAAACATACAATTTATAGTACTAGCTGTGTACGTCAAAGGTTATGTAATACAGCGCTTTGTATTTGTAAATTGGTTATATGTAGGATGTATGGCACCTTGCATCAGACATATTATATATATATTGCATTATTAAGTGGTATTTCTGTAGGGACTTATGAATCTTTTAGAAAGAAGTATGTAGTAAAGCATTTACTTCAATGTGCAATTCGAATAGATTGCAAAAATGTATAAATCGTATGCCGAAGCCAAGTGACAGTTTTAATGTAGTATGAATAGAAATTGCTATCATGTATAAGCCAACATCGATTTTATTTTAGACTGATAACCGTAATAATAAAATTAGTATCACCAATGATGTAATGTTGCAATTAACTTAATTCAAAACGTGCTTAAACAAGAGTAAGTTACAACGCATCAGATGATGTCAACTGTATAGTTTGTAAATTAAATAGCTGCATAGTAACAGCACTTAATAGTGCTGGAATAGCGTTATAGGCAGAAACATATTTGTCTAGCAAGTCAGCGATAGTATTCAAAAAATCTGTTTCTAGCAGATTAACTTTCCCTCCAGTTGCAATCTATAGACGATAAGGCATGAGAAATCATTAGACAATAGTCCGCAACTTTTTAAAAATTGAATAATAAAAACGTCAAGAAGAATAACATCGTACACTAAAAATGAGGTAATCGCCAGGATGTTCCGCATAAATAGATTGTAATTTGTATCTATTTTCGCCTATATCATCAATTCTATAGCCAGTCAAGATATAGCACGCTTCACGAAATACTTTTATCTTTTCTCTAACTATCTAAGGTATGTAATAATGAAAAATGCGGGTTATTACGAATTATATTCTCTAAAACATGGTAGAAGTTTTAGCTCGTAGAATACAGTAATAGTTTATAAGGAGTTATGCACCAACCTCTTTTAAGCGCTGATTAAATTTTTCTGCATTAGCTAGTTGTTCACGTAACTCTAACGTACACATACGACCATATAAGAATTTTCCAGTTAAGTTGTAATTGAGAAGATTTCGCTCAAATTAAACGTGTATTCCGTCAAGGATTTTTAAAGCCAAAAAAACTATATCAATATATACCTCGTATCTCTTTCTGTAAAATTTTTAAGTTAGAAGGGTTCGAAGATTCAGACCCCAGAATGATTTCTTTCAAACGGTCACATTCGCGTCGTAGCTGTTGTAATACCAGTTTTCGATTTTCAGCAGCTAAAAAAGCAGGGTTGTTGCGGAAGTGTATAATTTTGGTTGTTAATGGATCATAGTAGCCCTATAATTTCATAATTATTGAGACAGTCAAGTACAAATAACAATAGTCACTAACATGGTTAATAATTTAACCTAATTCTAAATTATACTATGTAGCTGTGAATATACCTGCAAGTGCTTCTTTTCTTTTATTCCTTCATAGCTTTCTTTTTCTTCTAACCACTCGACCTTTTCCCTTTCCAAGATTGCTAGCCGCTCCCTGCTTGTAAATGTTTGAGATAACATTACATTATTATGAAACTATCTTACAATTCGATGAACTTTGCTCACCTAATACTTCGCCAAGGCTCACGCAAAGCATCGTACTCGGTACTACTAGTATTACTTGGAGACTTCGTCTCCAGATGAACTGTTCTCTAAAATTATAATTACCGAAATAAGATTTGTGTATTTCCGAAGCTAAGATTAGGAACAAGAACAGTACCTCTTTAAGATCTCTGTTATCAATTCTTCTTAAAGTCCTCTGACTTTCAACTTCTGCCTGTAGTAAAGGGTATTCATGAAATCATTACGCAATGACCGTGTTAAGCACACCAATACCTCGAAAGTATCGTATTCTTCAAATTGATGCATTTCAATAATTAATATTACTATGTATTGAACTATTTAATGTGGCAGCATCGAACATACCTCCAACTGTTCGATACGCTTATAGCAAGCTTCTAAGTCTTTTTCTGTCTGTATGGTAATATTAGTTCAGGTAGCTGGATAGTCTATTATCAAATTACACTTGAAATGAACATTTAAGATCAACCAACCTTGAGTAGTTGAGAAGCAGCTTGGTCGCAGATATCATCCGCATTAAAGCTATTCAGCACATTCCTTATACCATCTCTTTCCTTAATGGTACAAAAAATTGACTTCAAGTATCAGGGTATTATATTTAATATATTTTAAGGAAGTTATATTGCCCTAATAAATTCTGCATACTTTCGTCACGAATAACAGTCTTTTCTCTAATCGCTTTATGGACTCAGCTTGTAGTTCAACCTTTTCCTAAAGATTTTAGCACTGTTTAACAAGACTTAAGAGCTTGAATGTAGACATATTTTAAAATTTTGCGCAATACCTTGAAAGCAAGTAAGTCCTTTTGAGCAGTAGCTAATTTAGTAACTAACGCTTCGTATGCAGTATTTTGCTGACTAGCCCTGTAGATAGACTATATTTAGATTTACGGCTTTAAGTGTCTTAATCAGTCAATGAGATAATAACAGACTTGCTATTGAGTTCTCCGTTCGATTCCAGCAACAAAGAATTTTTACGCCGTAGATCGCTTACAGTTCCAATAAGACAATCAGGGGATCTTATGAAAGAAAAATGTACATGTAGATACGAAATTCTGTAATAATAAATAAGCTAGTACATAGCTTGACCATAATGGTTATTAATTTGTTTACGCTTACATTGGTTTACTGTTCTCGTCGATGGCTTTCCATTTACTAAACGCAGCCATGTATTCCTGACAAAAATAGAGAAACGCAGGTTTTGACAAAATATTGCAAATAAGAAAAAATGTATTTATATTTTCTATAAACACATTTATTAAACATGTACTAGCAAGTACGCGTATAATTCAAGATATCAGCGATGTGAAATATGAAAATGCTCAGGTAATACTTCAATACGAGATTTTAATTCAGCATTCTCCAATCGAAGTGGTTCAATCCTTGCTAATTTGTTTTTAAGATTTTCAATTTCTTCCGTTTGCAGCATACTGTTTCTCTTATTCTGACTGTCAGACAATTAAAATATCATAGATTCATTAGTAGTAACGCAATTCGTAAAATCGATTTACTATCGATCGTTTTCGTAAATTACGATCGTTTTTTAATTTACATAAGGCGTCGATTTTCTTCGCGCAATATCATACAGCTCTCTTCAAGTTCCTTTATTTTGCCTAAGAAAGTTTCAGATGTATTAGATAATGATTTCTCTGTTCTTAACTTGTCGTTTTCAATTTCAAGTACCTAAAGTTATAAAAAATAGTGCAGTCAAATATTGATTACAAATAGGACATTTAGCCCAATACATTTCGTTTTAACGTTTTAAAAAAGCTTATATTTATTGCAGTTTCAATTGCAGCCTAGTACGGTATGGAAGTAATGTGAAATATGGCACCTAATACGTAAAGGCTCAACGTCGCGGCACTAGAACTGCAGTACTATTGCAATGCGCGTATGTTACGTTCAAGTCGTTTTTGATCGTAATCATTATTACTTACTGAAATCCTCAAATCTGCTTTGGTGGCCTTCATCTTATAGCAATCCAATTCTTTGCCTTGTTCCTTGTATTTTTCAAGTAAACTGAATACCGGTACATAGGAGTAATTGCAAAATAACTGGGTTAACCATGTATCGGAATCACAGCAGCTTAGTACAGTATACTACAGTATCATTACTATCGCTTACTTCTCGTGTTGGTTTAATCTTGATTCTGACTCTTTTAAAAGATGTTGTAGTTTCACAATCTCTGAATCACTCCTGCAATTAGTTTACAGTTACAGCTCTTATTTCGTATATTGAAAATTATATCAAACTATCAATTTCGTATAGCCACATACTTTTGCAGTTTTTCCTTAACGATGTTGGCTTCAGACCGTAATTTGGCCACTTCCTATATTGTACGAGGTGCAAATCACAGCTTATTAAAGAGTTAATGTTCAAGGATTATAATCGTAACTGTTGCCCATTAACTCCTAGATCTAACGCAATACTGTACGTACTATCATCATGTAACTATACTCATAAGAGAGAGAGATACGACATAATTTAACAAAATGGAGAGTACATAAGATAGATTCAGTGTGTCATCCGATGGAATTAAATTAAACTCATAGCAATGGAACCCTACTGTTAACAATAATACGAAGTAATTTGCATTGATACTTCTATAAAGTATCCTCAGATCATTTCGAACATAATTTAAAGCAACTCATGTATTAAAACTGCAATTTCGTAAATGCATTTCTATCAAATTATAGCTGTACTTCTGCAAATTGCTCGGAGGCTTTAATTTTGTCGTCAATGAATTGCTCAATTTTCTTTTCTGAGTTGGATTTCATTTGATCGACTTTGATACGATATTCATTTAATTGTTCATGATTGGATTTTTCACGCTCAGCTACAAGCTTTAAACGCCTAAATATATAAATGGACCATATTATATATCACAGAAGGAAGCATTCATAGCACTATTTGCGTTATATGCGGTAACAGCCTGTTACTAGAAGGTAAAAGTGAAATTTTAAGGCAATTCACGTTTAAATATCTCTTCTACTGTAGTCCAAAATCATCTATACATGCGATACATGGTAATAAATTTATAAGCTGTAATATACTGTATTTTGATTGAAAGTTCTCAAATTTCACTTCGTTCCGCAGAACCTACATGAAAAATTAGCGCTTAAAGTACAGTTGAAGGATGAAGAAAGAGTTTCGAAATGCAGATACATTCCAGTTGCATACTACGAGTTGGAAAACTGATGCTTATTATAAATAGTACACAGTAGTACGTCATGGAAACCCAATTCCTTATAAATAAATATTGTATATGATAGACGCACTATTCCAGTTCGAATACTTACTATGCGCTCCAGATAGAGTTCTAACTTTTACAACTAAGTACAGCATAGAATGCAAAACTTTTAGATATAGGGAACACTGTCATAATTGCTAATTAATTCCATTATTCTCGTTGCTAATCTACATATAGAATTTCGTCTGATGGCTTCCTTTAATCAATACAAACTAAAAATAATTACCTTCAAACTGGCCGTAGTCTAACCAACCCTATCTAGTAGATGCTATGTAATGTACTCTTATATTTATTTGACACAGCATATATTATACCTCATAAGTTCATCTTTACTTTCACGTTGATTTAAAAACTCAGCACGACTTGCATTGATTTCTTCATTTGTATCAATACGGGCTCGTTTGACTTCCACATCAAGAGTCTCAACACGATTTTCCAAACGAGCAATTTTCGATTTATGTTGATAAATCTCGATTGATTTATCAAAATCTGAAAAAGAATACACAGTAGGTCAGATTTCATTGATAAGTCATAATTACAGTACATGGAAGGAACGGATTTGGGAGTTTCGGAATTTCCATCTCAGTTTTGCGTCGAAGCCATTATAATTCTGATCAAATTAATCAGTATGAAATATTCAAGTGACAGCGTAAAGTATATGCATGTAATACATACTTAAGTATGTGATATACGTTACAGACATGCATGTGTATCTCAACAGATGAGAAACCTCTTGGGGATTTTCATCGCGGTTGTTGTGTATTATTACAAGTTGAACCCATGCTCATGATACTTTGCATACAGTACTTGTTTGCAGAGTAGAATATTTCAGTTTGCATTAGTACCGTACTGTGTTCTACTTTTAATAATTTACTTCAGTAGTCTACGTACAGTACGCGTATATTTTTTAACGGACGAAGCCCTAAACTCTACTTTACTTTCACTACTTTATTTATAATTTACTAGGAAAATGTCTTGTTCGTGCTATTTTGCGTAAAAGTACCGTACGGTTATTATACTGTGAATTTTAATATGTACGCGTATGTAGCTGAAAGACTGAATTAGATTTAATAATATAAAATCATTCTTTATTACTCTAATAACGGTATACGCGTATATCCAAATCGTACTGTACATCTAATTTTTAGGTCATATCTGACGAGTAAAAGCGCTGTTATTTTATTTACTTTAATTTCAGAGGTAGCACAACGTATCTATATAATAGAATAGTGACACGTATGCGATGAAAGAGCCATAATTACAAGACGTATACTTATACCTGTGTCAATATCTTGCTTGCATTATTACGTATAAACGAAGTCGTAAACGAACAGTGTAAACAATAATAATTATAACCTTTCACAGCAGAAAGAGAATTTACTGAACATTTGGACTTACCTATTGACCTCTTAACTTTGATATCATTCACAGAGGAATTATTAAATTTACTATCCAATATGTGAGACGAAATATCAGTGTTGCCACTGCACATGCTATCATCACTAACTACTGTTGGTAAGTGTTGAGAAGGCTGCGAAATTGGAGACTTTCCTTCACTGTTCAAAAACCCGTCGAAGCCTTCCACAAATCGGATAACAGCCGTGCTATCTTGAGGTGTACGAGAAAAATTCATCTTCGTTGTTATTACCTAATTACATATATATGAGTGATTTTATTATTATGATAAATATAAATTCTAAGTTTCAGGACGAAGTACGAGCATATTTTAACGGAATAGAGGGAGACCTCACTTTTAGCAAGACAGCACTTTGAAACACTACCTGTCGTGTTTACTGACAACTACGAGAACTAATGCAGTATTTTCTACAGTGGTACTGTACGGTAGTGCAGTACAGTACAGTACACTAGTACAGTACTGTACAGTACTGTACACTAGTACTGTACACTACTGCTGCACTGTACTGTACAGTACACTGTACTGTATAGTACAGTAAATTTTCTAAATTTTGGGGAATTTTCTATGACACCGGCAATTACAGTACTGCATACAGTACTGTAATTAGTTAATAATAATAATAAATAATAATAATAAGTGTGTACTGTACAGTAGGTAAGTACTGTACACTGTACACTGTACAGTGTCCGTCCTGTAAAAACGAAATCATGAATTAACGTTACTAGAAACTTTATGCTTTCTAATGGAGGGATTAAAGGTACATATCGTACTTTCTGCAGTATTCTTGCTAATATTGGATTTTTAATACTGACGAGCTTACGCGTATACATGTATAATTTTCCACGATCTAAAATAAAATAGTAAATGTAATGAACTGTTATATTTATACAGTATAATCAACTAACTCTCTTCACTTTTTTAACTGGATTATAAGCCTAAATTAGACTTCGCTCCTCTCCTTGAGGAAATTGGCGATAGCAGGAGAAGCTTACTAGATTTACGACGATTAATATTGCATATTATTTTACCTTCTGGAGTTATAAAGAAACCCTATTGGTGCAATATTACCAATAAGGATCAACTCAAAGTGGTTTTGTGTGCTATTAATGGCGCAACGGAAGACGATTACAATCAAAATCGAAATTGCTTTGGGATTATTACATCGATTAGACAGGCTGTAAGCTTTTTTTGTACAGTAGATTTCGTATTGCGCACTTTTATTAATTAACAATCATGCTACGTACAATACGCTGTTGCGCTGCATATCGTTTCATATGTAATTGCACTCAATGTAGGAAGGCCCATTCTGTAATTTATCCAAAGCCCCTTATATAAAAAATTGTGAAAGATCAATTCTGCGAATAGATTGCGATAGAACGCCCGCAGCCAAAGGTTATCTATCGACATACCCGTGCATATAAACTATATAGACTACATGTATAGCACAACACAGTACTGTTCTAAATTCGCTTTTTTGCCTCGTGGTGATTAATTATTTTTACTAATTCGACATATACTGTACAATATGTTAATATAAGGCTACGTACTTTGCTACGTGTATTCATTTGCTTTAGCATGTAACATTAACGGTTCTAAACTGAAATGACTAATCACAAAATTAATAGGTACGGAAATCACTCCGATTGCGAGTGTGTCGAATTGTAACTTGCCACAAAGGAATTTCTATTTGCTAACTATTCCTCAGCTTCGTGGCAATGCATTCCCGGGTTATGTTGATGTCGGTAAGTTTTAGTGCATATTCTTTATTCGATGAAGGAATACTTTAAATCATAAATATTACTACCGCTTTAATTAAGGTGTAAAAATATACATGGCGAGATCGTAGCTAGTATCTATTAACATATCAGGTTAGAACGAATAGCATTATCTCAAATCCTTTTTTTAAATAGAGGATGACGCCGCTTTCTTCGCTATTCATAATGAGTCAGCTACGCCGAAGAGTCCAATGTTCGCGCTGGATTGTGAAATGGTGATTTTCAAATATGGAGTTCTTTATGTAAAGTTCGGTCTACGTAACATTAGTTAATTTAATTAGCCTTTTTCCGATATTGGAATACATTAACCGATTGACGATATAGTGCTTAACAAATACCGGTGATTCCATTGCAAGAGTGGCCCTAGTCGATGAGTATTACAACGTTATCGTAGATACATATGTGCTACCGGATGATCCGATCATTGATTATAGGACAAGGTACTGTATTATTTTATGACTTTCTTGACTCTCGCTCTCACGTTCTTATGAAATGTCTTTTAAAGTTGAAATTCCTTGGTTACTCACTTATGCTAACTATTGTCATCACTGTACGTGAAGAAAGAGTCATGATGATTCTAGACGATACGACATTGCATTTATTCATAGGCTTGAAACCTCTTATTTTTGGTTAACTGTAGCCAGATGTACAGCACTTAAATCTCGCAATGTAATTTAGGTACAGTGGCATAACTTCAGACGACCTCATTGGTGTTAAAATTCGATTAAACGACGTACATGAACTATTAAAAGCTGCACTTCCTAAAGACGCTATTTTGGTTGGCCACTCTTTAGAAAACGATTTGCGTGCAATGCGGGTAACTGATATAGACTATGAAATTCATGGCATGGTCGTTTGAGATTGATGTGATAAATTGTAACTTACTATGGCACATATTCAATTTTATTAGATGATCTGGAATAACATAATCGACACATCGGTACAATTTTCTAATCCTAAGAGCCCAACAAGCAAGCCAAGTTTAAAATTTCTTGCTTCAGAGTACCTTCAGTAAGCGTCTAATACGTGTGGGTAACGTCTAGTAGCTTGATTTGTATGTATTGAGCTTTAGTTGACTATTTGCGCAATCAATATATGATACTACTATTATTTCAAACTTGGTAGGTATTTTTGTATTTCGATTCTTATATTGCTATAAGTAGTACCATATCAAATGCGGATATAGAATCATTACGATGTTAATTATCCAAAAATTCTGCAACATTTGAAAGAAAACTGTTACCGACTATTCTTTAATTTACGTCATAGATGCCAAATTCAGGAAAACGAGAATGGCCATTCTCCGGTAGAAGATGCTATTACCTGTATGAAGTTGATTCATTTACGAATTGCTAAAGGCATGTTATAAGAGCTTCTGATACATAAAATACTATAGATTGTCGATATAAATTTTAAGGAATTACTTTGATAGGTCCAGAATTTGGTCGGTGTAATTTCGATTCTGAAAGGTCTTTAATTATATTCTCAATTTCGTCTCAATTTTTTTCACTTATTTCTTAAGTAGAGGTTTCTAATGTAGTAAAACATTTCAATGTATTTTCTTTTGTGTCACAGCGTACTTAATGTTATAAGAAGATGTAATAAGGAAGGTATAATTTACATAAAATAAATCTCCTTGTCTTTCTTTTATTAAAGAGTTACAGTATATAAGGTAGAAATATAGGAAATTTCTATATCTCTCCCAATAGGAACTTTAATTGATAACTATCATGTTATAAATCAATACTACACTGAATCTTCTAATTGTTTTCCATGTTTCAATGATGATCAGGTAAAACTTAGATTAATTATAAGTACAATTTAGAGCTTCTACCAGTTCAGAGCAATGTCATTAAAGTATAATTTCTATACAAGATTGTGGGACAAAGTTGCAAAAACGCTTCTTCGGGGATGGCTGATTTTACTTGGATTCAACTCCATGAACCGGCGATAGTTAGAAAAGGTATTGTAATAATTATTACTAGCATCACAGTGTGTACGTTTCAACATACCAATATACACGGATTAGATCATTTTTTCAATGTCGTAATCATGCATTAAACTGATGTTTATTCCAGCGTCATGCTGCTCTGAAAACAACGAAGAGGTTGAATGCAGTCCAAAATTTTTAGTAAGTTGATCCGGGTAGTTAATATTTCTTATAGTGATCGCTGCTGTATATTCCATAGCTTTTCGCTATTAGTTTATGTAGATCTGTGCATAATCGTTTAGCTTACGAAACGTCATTATTTGGGACGATTTGCCAAGAAGCTATCTATACTTCATAGGATGCGTTATCAAAAAGTGATCAAAATATAGGAAGAATATATAATGCTCTTCAGACGAAAACTCTATTTATAGTTCTACTTGCAGGTGGTGATTTTGGTGAATTAGCAAGGTAAGGGATGAGTTACTTATAAAATCTCGACTAATCACATACCTGTGATCTAAGTTCAAGGCAACTTACTACGACATCGTGAATTAAATGTGATAAGTTAAATCACTATGTTTTTATGTAGAATTGCTTTTCTGTACCTGTTCGTCAATTTACGAATGTGTATTATACAGGATTGTATTAATGTAAAACCCGATTGCTTACCTATGTGTATAATGCTAAGATAGTATAAATGGCTATCACATCTTTACAATTACGTTAATAAATATGGAACTTTATTCTCTATGCTTACAAAAGTATTTACTACATTTTTGAATTGCTGTAAATTAAAAAATTAATGAATATCAGTGCAGCATGATACTGCGTATTGTAACGTTTATCTATCTCACATAATATTATTCTAATAATGAATAGGTTAAAGGCGAGCAAACATATACCAGAAGCAGAAATTTGGAAATACATAAATAAGAGACGTAAATGTTATGCGTTTTTTGCATTAAAAATGTAGATACGAAAGCTGGCTTCATTTCGTATCGAATTAACCTCGGGTGATAGAATTTATATACTCGTTATGCAGCTGCAATAACGAGATTCATATGAAACAGTTATGTTCATTTTTGTAATTAATATAACATAATTATATTAAGCTACAACAATAAACAACGAAGTTTTAGTTACGTATTATCGTAAAAAAGTACTTAAATATACCAAGTAAGAATAATAATAATTATTAACCCATTGTGAATGAAAGTAACAAACGCTCTGAGAACATAGATTATGAATACAAAAACAATTGATGTAATAACCGCTAATTACACGCTACGCAACGATTAGTAATTAATACTCTCATTACCTGTGTTAAAAGAGGTTAGACTTTGAAAACAAATCTGTCTTTGGATGTATTTTTAAACATATTAGTAATCAATTCGCACATATTTCGAATGGATTTCCTTAATCGGGTTAGGCATAGCGGCTGCAATGTCTTTATAATATCGTACACACCTTTAAGAAAGTTTTTAAGGAATGTTATGGAAAATAATCGATTTACTACATATTCATACATTTACATTACGTTATTTATTACAGTCTTAACTATGCGTAGAAACAGAAATTGTCCATTGTTTTAGTAATTTGTTAATTTAACTATCACACCAGACATCTGTAAGTGAACCGTTATAGCATTAATCAATAAATGCCTAAAAGGATATGTAATTCTTATAAATATTGGTCCTTTACCACCATTGATATAACAGACGTAACAGTACCCATCTGCGGATTGATTACTAATTAAGTAGTATTGTGGTAAATATTTGAATAATTGAAACTTGTGATATTCATAGAAGTTTATAGCTGGGATATTTGATGTCAAAACGTGAAGGTAAACCGCTTTGCAGTCTAGTCTCTCTTGCTTTAAAAATCTGATGAGGCTCGTTAGAAGAAATGATGCTGAAGTAAACATGATATGAATTCAGAATAGAACATCATTAAATGATATCAATAAATTCAACTGTAAATTAACCTGCACTTAGTAATATGAGGTTATAAAACGCCCGTTACCCTAACGGGTCTTCCTTACATCAATGCTAACTCGCCAACATTTAAATTACTATCTGCAAAGTTATTAGTGAATATTAATTACTAGAAACTATCCATTCAATTGGACAACTAAAATCACATAATCGATGAGAAGCGAGATATCAAAATTTTTTTATTAAATCCATGTACTTGCTACACCTAAAAATAGGAAGTATAGCTTCGTATTGTAACGCATTTATAAGATTTAACCGTTTAACTTACCAATACCACAACGGCGATAATCAGGAATTACTCCTAAACTTAGTACATAAGCTAATTCGACGTTTTGATCGGATAAATCGTCATAAAGTAATCCATAGTCCTGCAAGCGTATTAAGATCGAAGAAAGTCATAAGTTCATAAATAATCGCATACTTATTTCGAGCAATTTTCGATAGCAAGCACCTTGCAGCCGTAATCGTCAACTTTAGCATTATCATTACACAGCAGGGAAAGTAGATAAATACCTGCCACGTTGCTGATGGAAACACCTCGTTCTAGGATTAGCTGCGTTTTATGCAGTATAATGAGATTTACGTATTGTACAGTACTAGTGTACGTATATTTTGATCAGAATTCACTTATACTCTAGTAATTTTTTCACGCTAACATTGCATACATAGCATACTACAGTAAGATGATATTATATATTAGGCTACATTTGTTAGATTGTGTACTAATATGATGTATTACTATATATACACGTACAGTATTAGTCCTATTAATTGAGAATAGTAGGAACTTTCAACACGGTTCCTGGTATTAACTCTGGATAGCAATATTCTATACAGCTGAGCCTCATACAAACTGCTTCTTGTATTGTACATTTTGCACTATTTATAAACGTTTGATATCCTTATGAGCTTTATAAGCCAGAATTTGTTGCAGTATCGCCCTAACACAAAATACTGTATATACAAAATTTCTGCTCCAATGGACGATATCTTCTTTGGTCGCATTACGTTTCTAATTTGATAGTACGGTAGTACTGTGCAAGTAAATCCATACGAAGTTCTACAACGTAATATTTTATCACTGTAAACAATAGCTTTTAGGGCGTAAGCGGATGGTTAAAACGCTTGCATACCGAGAGAATAAATAATACAATTCATTTATTTATTGTTAGATAAAGCATAACTAGGTATGCAAGATCGATTAGTAAAAACTAAATGGTATAATAATATAGTTAAAGCGAAATAATAAAACAGTTTCTTTTCCTATCACAACATTCAGGTATCCGTGCGTAATACAATGAATGACATGATACCAGATCAGCTCTGAAACTGTTCACTATTCATACTCGTATCGAGCCAATGCTACATACAGTGCTGTATGACTGTATTTAGTTGGCAGAACTCTGGCGAAAAATGTACCAAAATTTTTTAAAGAAATATAGGATTATTATATTATATATGTACACGTAGAAAATGATCCCTAGTGACTAGTTGTATGTCTGTAAGCAGCAAAATACAGTAGAATATCTGCTGTACTGCACAGCACATTGAACACAAAGGATATATCGTTTTATATACCTCTCTTTGACAATCGTTTTTGGATTTAATTTCGACAATTATCAGAGCTATTATCCTGGATAAATTGTCAATTCCTGCTCTTGTGTAGTACTTACTCGATGACGTTATATCCCTATACCACTCATCAGAGTAGCTAAACGGTAAAAATAAGTAGTAAGTGTGTGATTTTTCGTGTTTAAGTTAGTAAATGAACCCAAACTATAGCTGTTAGAGCCATCAGTAAATGTACACATTTATACGCGTACGTAGATCTGAACGCCAAATGCACTTAAATTGCCAAATACGGGTTAACTAATTACTGTGAGTAGACAAAAAAAATGTTCAACACAACTTAGGTAGGCCAGTAAAGTCGAGAAAGTTGTCATAAGCCTATTCATTCATTTATTTACTAACCGCAAATAAGAAATTACAATGCACTAAAAATTCGAATAAGTATAATCAAAACCGACTCCGAATCAGTTAGATATACCGCGTACAGACGGCGAGAATAAAATATAGGCTGAAAGGAAATACTAAACCTCTAAGTTTCTTTTAGCTGCATGGCATCACCTCGCTTGTCTAGCATACAATAGAGTGAGTAAACGCTAATACTGTTAATGTACAGTATGTAGAAGGCGTGAAGTACAGAACCGTAATTTCAAGACTGCATTTGCAATGTTGCAAACGAACATTAGGAAAACCCAAAAATACACAATAAACAAACAAAACCAATAATGTAGTAGACTAGCAACAGGGACTACCAATAGCAACATGTGCCATACATAACAGTAAAATTCAACAACGATGACGGATACACAGCAGTGTTTTGGTAATAACCGCAGAGTAAAAGGTTCGGTTATGTACTGGTACTGTAATATCATGTTAAAGGTAACTTATATATAATATACACGACGACGTAACTTACTTTAAAGGGAATAACAACCGACAGACATGTTGAACCTCATTGAAATCATCAGATCGCAGAGACCGAAAACTTAAGCCTTCCATCAGATCAATAAATGCTTTCGCAACACATAAATATAGCTATTTAACAATTGTCCATGCATTTTCACTTATTCAATTAGTTGCACTCATTTGTCCATCTACGTATGGAGACGTAGCGAGTAAAATGGAGATTGGACATGGACAGAGGAAACAGTATTTTTATGATTTACGATTTAATAATTTCTTCCTTTTAGTACTTTAGTATGGTATCACCGACTTAACGTTGTATTTCAATTGAAGGTGGTTATAACGATGTGCTGTACTGCACTGTACACTTATTGTACTGTACAGTACAGTACAGTACAGTACAATACAGGAAAGTCTGCGGTACTGTACAGTACAGTTCTTCTTTTCCATACAGTACAGTACAGTACAGTACAGTATGGTCTCTGCTCACTTCTACAGTAGTGGCCCATGTGCACTTGTACAGTACAGTACTGTACTGTACAGTTCTTTTAGTCTTTTGCCACTACAGTACACTGTACTGTACTGTACTGTACTGTACAGTACTTACGGTACATACTGTATGTACTGTACATATGTACTGTACTGTACATTTAACGCGGGCTGACATTACAGCTGCACTCCAAAGTACGTAGCTACCGTCCCAAGTTGATCGCAGCACGTTCGGTGCAAGGACTAATGACAAGATGGTGAGCTTTATTAGTGAATCAGAAACCGATGATCAAAATCACTCGATAACTGAGGTGAGGCGCAGATTTACATGTTCGGTTTATTTATTATAAGGGATAAAACAATAGTAAGCACAGCACATGTATAATATTTAATATAATTCGTTAATACTCTGCATCTTTACCGATTCTGTTATGACGCAAATCGATTTTAATTAGGCTACGCGTATTACAATATTCAATCCTACGAGATTCCTTGCTGTCTCGTGTCGTTCAAGAGTCAGCAGAACGACGAGTTGCGATGATTTATAGTGCTATAGTAGATAGGTCAAATCTCTCTAAAATACACATGCAGTTTATCTAGCGTTGAAACACCGTATATTTCGATGTATATGATTAATTGCAAATTATTGATTTTCGCTTTCTTACTTTAATTTACTAGGTATTTTCTGCATGAGTAGCCTATTTTACGATCTTGAATTTACAGACTGTTCACACTCAAATTTGTGTAGAAACTTCATAAAATCATTGCACGATACCTTGACGATACGATAATTCTAACTATTCTGTCTGTTATTTTAACATATTATTAACATTAACGTGACTATTCACTCGCAATATTGTTGACACATTATGTGCTCTATTACTTTCTGAAATTCTTTTATTAAATCCCTAAAGGAAGAGGATGAATTCATAGAAGAAACTATCGGTGAACGATTGTGGGGATTAACCGATATGTTTCCAGAAATTGTACAAAATTCTATTAGTGTAATAGCGACATTTTCAATGCGAGGTGGAAAAAATGTAATATGGTTCACATCTAAAGCGATATGGATTACCAGTACTTCATTCATGATGCTTGTTTTGCCCGTAATGTTAGAAATTGAACGTGTTACTGTAGAAGAACAGCAGCTACAGCAACAAAGACAGGTGAATTAGACAATCGTCTTTATTGTTTGGTTCTTGCTTAATTTTCCTCCAGCTCTAAAAGTTTTTGTTGGAATTAAGCATTTACATTATTTTCATCACAGATCCTCTTAGGTCCGAATGCAGCCGCTTCTGGTTATGGGCCGAGCACTCAAGGGTTGGGGGCGCTACCGTCAATGCCTGGACCGCAACCAAAGTCATAGATTAATCACATGCTCATGAATTTACAATTAAATATTTTTAATAATATTCTGATATAAAAGACATATCTGAAATATTGCTCTTTTCTACATTTCATAAAAACATGAGTTTCCTGCTAGTACCATAGTATTTAAATAACTGCCTGTAATATGCATGTCCATGTGCAATTCAGCAATTATTTCAAAGGTCTTATTAGCCATTACATTTCAACCCAAGTATGATTATACAGTTATTTTATTGGTTCAATAAAAACTAAACCTTATCCTAGAAACTTAGAATCTTTTTTGGATGATGTTGATCAAGTGTACTATTGATATTTTAAAAGTCAAAACTTAATTATTCATCATACCAATAGCAAAGATATGAGTATATCTTCATATATGTAAATCTTCACGTTTACTCGCGCACGACTTAATTTGTTTCAGATACATCAGCAAACAGAAATGTGCAATTTAAGTTATGCAACAAAGCTGTGTTTCTTTTTTGAAACATGCAGTAGTACATATCAAAAGAGTAAACAATGTATCTGCCGGTCCAAAAGTTAATTATATTCATTAATAGTAGATCTTTCTATCAATTCATTGTGCAATTTACCGTTGACGTTCCAAACTTCACTATGACATTAGGACAATACGCATAGTCTTAAATACTAGCAGCTTTCAGATTTTAAACTAAACATGAATATTTAGGTTTCGCAAAATAAGTTATTGCAAATGCATACGTAAACTGTACTTTAGCTCTTTTATAATTTACACGATCCAGAATATCTAGGAAATGGCATGACATCGCGGATATTTGCAAGGCCTAAGATAAACTGTAGGAATCGTTCAAACCCCATTCCAAAGCCGCCGTGACGGATAGTACCATATCTTCTTAAGTCAATATACCTAGCGACCAATTATAAATATAATTAAATAAATACCTTCATTAAGGAAGGCTAGCTCTTAGGTTAGTAAATATGACATCCATTGTACCAGGAATAGGATTCCTGCGATATATTAAAGGTTTTCATGTTGTTTAATAATAAATCAAATCTTTCTTCACGAAGGCTTCCGCCTATTAGTTCTCCAATAGTAGGCACTAAAAAGTCAAAAGCTGCAACCTAATATAAATTTAGCCCAGTACAGTCACTTAGCTTTATTTAAAATAAACGTGGTAATACAGCTTAATCTAAATAAGTTAATTAGATCTAATAATTAGGACCGATAATCACTAACTGTTTTGTCATCATCATTTTTTCTACAGTAGAAAGGCCTTAATTTAGCAGGAAAATCTGTTATAAAAAGTCCTTTATTTCCGCTCATTTGAATCAAATAATTTTCATGATCACTCTGTAATTCTTCGCCCCACTAAATAGATATATAGAAATATGTACATAAGCATAAAAAATTGAAAGAGCAAAGCCATAACAAATTCTATTTAATCCACCTTAGGATATGTGGTAAACTTTTTGCTGGTGGCTTCCAAAGCACTTATTGCGTCCTTATAAGTCATTCTAAACATTATAACAACATATTAGATGGGTGGAAATACCTGCGTGAATTTACTAAGAGCATTAACTTCACCTGGTACATGAGAAATTTAGGAAGTCATCCAAGGCTATCTATAAATGAAAGTAAGTATCAATGACTGTGAAGTATATACCAATGAAAAGTCTGTGTTAATCTCGAATGAGATGTCTCCCAAATCAAGATATGCTGTATTATTTAATATATATTATCTTTAATGTAACCTTATGATTTGGAGGAACAAATCCATCAAATAAGCTTAGGTCATCCTGGCATATCACCAATAACTTTTTTATAGTTTCTTTAACGAAGTGTTCTGTACTCTAAGTAGCGCACAAATTTTTATTACCGATATAAGAAACGATACTTCGTAGTAGCATAAAAGAATATATATGTATGGATGAGTATATATAGTATGGTGCATATGATCACTCACACTGATTAGTATTTCCATATTATCGAATCTAGTAGATTCAGCTTCGATCATGTAAAATTCTGCTAAGTGGTGGCGTGTATGAGATTTTTCAGCCCTGAAAGCCGGACCAAAGGTATATACATGTGATAGTGAACTGAAATACAAAGCAAAAATGGTCAATACTATTGTAATTCTACTTTTACTGATCAATACCATTTATGAGTAAAGTAAAACCTCATAAGAGCTTCAGCATGAAGCTGCCCTGATACTGTTAAAAAGCTTGGACTATTGAAAAAGTCATTAATTCGCTGATCATCTGTTCTGTCAGTGTTTTCCTTATTTTTAGGCTAAATTAGGTTATTAATATAATCTATGAATAGCGAATCTAAATACAATTAATACAATGATAGAAAAAAGGTGTAGAATATAATATAATATGATCATACTGTGACAGTGAACAAATCTCCGGCACCTTCGCAGTCACTGGAAGTTATAATTGGAGAGTGAATAAATGTATAATAGTAATCCTAAATATAAACAATGAAATACCGAACATTATTATTACTGTATGCATATAGCAGATCCTTCTTACTTAATTCAATTAAGTTTACACTCATAAATTTATTTTCTTTAGGGTTTATACTTATACTACAAGCATTGCCTCAAAAAGATAAAGCCATAAAAAACCATTGACAATTGACCGTATCCAACATTATTTGAATATAACTAGACCTGAAAGTATTTATGAAGTTGCATGCAAGCTTGACTTCTTATTCTCAAAAGTGCTTGGAAAACATTAGTTCTTGCTCGTAAATGTGGAAATTTTCTCAAGTACTCTAGGCTATAGCGTCTTCCAGGAACAAACGGAAACTGTATGCATCGTAAAAGCATAAATTCAGATATATCTGTGATTTCGCGATCCAAATTTACTAATACTGTAATATGTTATGTCACCCGCTTGTCAGAGCTCGTGTTCTAAAGTATACAGTACTCACGTTAGAATCTAACATATCTCCTAATACAGTAATTGTATCGGCTTGTAATTCGTAAAGTTGACCCTTGTGGCTACTTTCCACTAGTTCTCCACATGCTTCTACAGAGCTTCCAATTGTAGGCGGCCTATTGAAATAGAAGCAGCGATCCTTTAGCTATTATTTATCATCATTATTCACCCATTCCTTGGATTTTCTTAAACGGTATTGGAATATGTAAAGTAGAAAGTAGAAACTAACATTCCCGAAATATGGCTAACTTACTTCGTGCAAGCGGAAGCGGGAAGAACCACCTGTAGCTTACTCGCGCAAGAGCCATCACTTACATTTAAAAAAATTACGTTCTTTTGAGATCGACATAATCGCACCCATCCCTAGCAGCGGTAGGAAGAATCATAGTACAGTATTGTAATTTTATTATATTAACAATAAGTAAGATTCAAGGTTATGGTTAGGGGCTTAAGTACAGGAGATGACAGGAAGAGAAGTCCCTGGAGATAAATACCTCGAAATCACACTACAGTCAGTATATCTTAAATACAAATAAAATTTCATAACAGAAATAACTGTAATATAATTATTTATGTTTATTGTATTCAACGCATTTAATGCGAATACCAAACCTTAATCGTAATCCTCTCTCGTTTTCGAGCAATTTCTCCTAGCATGATCTCTTTAATAGTACATGTTACATATGCACGAACATGTTTATACCACATTAGAACGGTTTTATTGTTCATACAACGATTAAAAGGAGATATAATACATTGAGCCCGTATAAGATTCATGTCAAAAATAAATCTCTTTCAAGCCTAGTACGATTCAAAACATCTATCGAAATAATAAAATTAATTCACATATCCACACCACTTATAGTATACGGTATATCAGTTGTACTGCCTTCAGTAATGCTGTACTGTACAGTACAGTACTATTATTAACAATATCATTGCTTGCCGCTCTGCCCAGAACTGCTAGTGCTGTACTGTACTGTACTGTAGTGTGTACGTACAGTACTATACAGTACTACTGTACTGTATGCCCTGGATCTCTAATAACATTCTAACTGTAAGTGTACAGTACAGTACAGTACGTACAGTAAAATAAATAAATAAATACAAAATCAGTACAGTACTGTACACTGTACAGTACTTGTGTATGATAGTGTAGAAAAACGGCATTTCAAAGGGGAGTGCTGCACTTAAAATTGGGAAAAATTCAAGTTTTAATTCTTTTAAGCAAATCTAATCAATTAATTTATATAATAATAGTATTATTATGCACCTATAACACTTTTTAACTACGGCAAAATTAGAAACTGAAGATGTAGTACTGTACATTAAAATAAAATTAATTAAAAATGTAGCAGTACTACTTGTTCCTAAATTTATTTATGAATCTCAGATGCAACTTTACGTCATGCCTCGAATCCGTTGCAAGTTACTTTTTGGCTTAATATTGGCAAGTTTATCCCTTCAATTTCTTTTTTATAATCTTTCTCCATCATTGGACGACTGCGCTAATCCGAGATCTCAAGATCATGAAAAGGTTCGTACCACAAATATCGGGTTCGAGGAGGTAAACAAGAGACAGCACTCACACTCACTCATTCTTCATGTTTAATACACAACAATATTCGCCATAAAATGTTGACTGTTTTCAGTGGCTGTATTATTATGTCAGCCCTAGACATAGGACAATACTACATTTGTTGTTGAGATGCTGATGTATCTATCTGTACTTATAATTGATCGATAGAATATGGATATTCGTGATCTGGAATTAGAGTGCGAAATTGTACAAGTTTATAATAATAGCATTCTTATTGAGAATCGATGCAATGGAAGCTTGGTTACCAAAAGTAAAATCTTAATTGAAAGTTCCTATGGATCAGTCTGTCGCATTGAAGACGAGTTAACATTAAGCGCCTATAGGCGAGCTGGAAGTTTGAATTGTAAAATAGGCATACTGCAGACGGCGTGTTTAGCAAAAATCAGGATGTTATACAATGTATCCTTGCCTTCTAAACCTTGTAATCCAAGATCTAGCGATGAACAATCATCTACTGATCAGGTCATATTATAGCTATCGCTGTACAGTGTACAGTACCAGTAAACGGCTTAACTTTTGTACCTTACTACTCGTAATTATTTTTACAGTGTATTGTTATATTTTATGTTTGATTTTACGTAAACATTTTAAATTAACGAAAAGATGTTTTTTAAAATAATTCTGCTATAAAACGTTTAATAATATGTCGTTCATTATGAATTAATACAATTTTCTACCTTTCATGAAATTATATCGTGCTTTTTGTGACAGAAAATTTCTTAATTGAGTTAGACTACTTAATGTTATACATTCGTATCTTATAGTATCATTATTCCCCTACAAATGCGATATATTTTCGTTAAAATAATTTATTTACGTACTTTCTGTACCTTCTTAACACATGATAATGCTATTACTGCTATTCGCGGTTCTATGAAATATGAAAGAAAACTTATAATATTCTCCTGTGCTGAATCACGCTTGATTATTTTAGGATTATGCACCGGCTAAAATCCTGTTTATAATTATTGTCCATGGACGTGATTTTCGACAATTTAAGCGTTTATTAACCGCTATCTACAACAAGAATCATTATTACTACATACATACTGACAAGGTAAGAGGAGTGCTGTGCTGCAGTAGCAATAATTAAATTAATCAAGTGATTAAAATGAAATAATTAATCTGATCGTAGCGTAACAACTCAGATGAGAAGGTATGATAACCGTGTACAGCAATGTGTTTTGCCATCACAGTTATTATTATTAGAACATACGAATACTTACTTTTTGTACTACTACTAAATGAGATTAGTGACTTTACTAGACGTTACCTTATTCATGCCAGAGACTACTAAAAGAAAATGCTAGTTAAGCACCTTAACCTTTATTATCCATTAACTATTGTCAGTCACGATTTAAAGCATCAAATATGGTTGCATTTGTTGATATTATGAGGCTAATGTGCGTTACAACCATAACAGTATTATTGTAAGCATACCTGTATATAAAAATAATTAAATAACTAAATTACTGGATTGAAGTTATGAAATGCACAAATAACAAGTAATTTATACATATTCCTATTTTTTTAAAGCTTCATTCTTTCCTTCGTTTTTAGAGGAGTGAATACCTGTGCAACAAAATAAGGGATTTTATTGATACGCGAAAAGAGAGAAACATAGCTGTAACATCTTGGAATCTTGAGCCAATGTGGGGTAGTTCAAGCTTCCTTGATGTTTTACTACGTTGTATGAAAGACGTTTTATTATTAGAACGATTCTCGGAATGGAAATGGGATTTTTATGTTAACTTGAGCGGTTCTGATTATCCAATAAAAAAAATTGATCAGTTTACCGCATACCTGTCTCTTCGAAAAGGAAAAAACTTCATTTCCAGTATGTCGATTTCCACTGCTGAGTTCGTCAAACGTCAAGGTTTAAATTTCCTATTCTACGAATGTGATAATCGTATGTGGCGAATTGGTAAGAGGAGCATTCCCTCCCATTTGCATTTTTATGGTGGAAGTGATTGGATTATTTTATCCTACCAGTTTTGTAGTTACCTAGTAACTTCCAGTGATCCATTTATTAACGACATAATTCTATTTTATAAATATGCTCTTCTCCCAGCGGAGTCATTCTTTCACGTTGTTCTCCGAAATAGTGAATTCTGTGGCACAATAGTTTATGATAACCTTCGATTGATCAATTGGAAGACTAATCTATCGTGTCATTGTCAATATCGGAAAATTGTTGATTGGTGCGGATGCTCACCAAGTAATTATAGACGCAGCGATATATCAAGAATAGATACGTCGAAGGCAGTATTTTTCGCTAGAAAATTTGAACCACTGGTAAATCAAGAGATCTTGAACATGATTGACGAACTTTTACTTGGTAAGAAGCTCAGGCAACCAAACCGATACCATTATTGGCAAAATTTATGCCACGCTAGCGAATTTATTGCTGGAAAATGTAGCCGTTATAAATTTTACATTGAATCTTGCATGCGCTTAGCAAGAAGTAATATGACGTCTTTATTGAAAAAGAAAATTGATCGATCACTGGAATTTGCGGAACTTGTCCTAATTAATCAGAACGATACTTTTGCCGGGATGCTAGTCTCTTTCTTAATTTCTACAAATTTAATTCTAGAAGTATGGATGAAAAAAAGGCAACTAGCGTGGGCTATGCCCTTAAGTAAAGGCGCAGAGCGTCTGTATGATATGCAGGTAAAACTCATCGTTGCTAGCATCAGCTGCCACATTTCGTATTCTTCAGTGATATGAATTGCACGTATGAAAAATTTACTTTCTATGCACTGTATTCTCTTTCCAAAGGTTGGTAGTAATTTAGATAAAAAAGAGCAAATCTTTCGCAACTATGGTATATTGTCAGCAAACGATGAGCTAACTGTTTTTCAAAGATGGAGACTGGGTCCTAAATTTCATTGTAATCTAACGTGGGTTAAACCTGACGGTGAAATAGCTGATCATAGATTCTTGGCTATCGAATCCAATTGGAGATTTTCTTATTTCAAGGCAGAAATTTTGAAACCAGTCATCCCTGGAAGATGGAAAGTTTATTTAAGCATCAATAATATCATCTTTTCAGAGCTACAGTTCATTTTGTTCCCTGTAGACAGTAGACTAATTCGAGGCCTGCAGACTTCATCAGCCCTCGGAAATGACTATTTAGCCGAATTACCTAGATTGGGTGAAGCTAATTCAAACGTTATGTACACAAGTAATCGTTTAAATTACGATAATATTTATTCTAACAAGAAGTGGATCGACTCCTTAGTTTCAGAATCTTGGGAAACATATAAATTTTGTGTTGGAGTCAAGGATCGGGACGTAAATAATGCTTCATTAAAGTTGATTGCCGGTACTGGGATAACTAACTGTGAAGACTCAGAGTGGAGCTCTTTCATTAAAGATCATAAAACTGAATTTAGAAGCAATGTCGTGGCAATTGATTAATTAAAAGTAAAAACTTGCTGTTATTAAGAATAACGAGTTCTCGTTACCGGGGAATAAGTCTTGTTTACCTGGCTTACAAGAGCTTATATTATAATAAATCTAAAACAAATTCACTTATTAATTGACCAGTCTTTACGAGGATCAATTTACACGGCTTGCCTAATACACAATATTAGAAAGAATAAATAGGCAGGGTTTATACGAATGCTCAAGTGCTTTGTGAAGGCGTTCATAAATCGTGAAAACCTTGGTTAGAGGTAACCGAAGTATTTTTATCTATTGGTTAATTGTGCAATATCCTTCCATTTGAAATTTCTAATTGATAGATATTATAAAGAAAATTGCTCAAAATTGTAATCCTTTGGAGTTTTTATGTGTACATACCGTACAAAGGTCTGTTATTTACCGTTAATAAAATTATCCCTAAACTAAATTCGACTTTGTAGTCTATTGGCTTTCGTTCGAAAGAATTCCTATTAATTTTTAAGCTTTGCTAGCAAACTGGCAATAGTCATTGCTATTAAGTAGAAACTTCTACTGCAACCAACGTACTGTAGTACCGATATACAGTACAATAAGTTACTTAAATGTGCGTTTGAAATTCACTTCAAGTTCTGACTCTGTCAGCCAGAGGACATTCGACTTAGTTTGTGTTATTTAGAAGCGTATACTGCCGTACAGTAACTTAATTTTAGTTAATAATAAATATTCGAGACTTCAATATTACAGTTGATTTGCCTTTGTTATCATCTAACTGATTCACAGAACTTATACAGTATTGTGCAGCTTTAAAATGCTGTGCTGCACTTGTAGTGTACACTGTACAGTAGAGTCTACTGTACACCCGATTTTCATTCGATATTTCAGATTACCTAGAAATGGTCTCAAAATTTCAAATCACTGTACAGTGTACAGTGTAAACTTGTACTGTACTGTACTGTACGGTATGTACTGTACATTGTACAGTACAGTACTGTATTTTGAATTTATAAACCTAAAATAATAAAATTAATTTTTTAAAACTAAAGAACAACAAGTCGTTTTCAACGGATATGACATCGAGACATTTTGTGATAAAGTGGTAATGTTCGCTCATATATTTTGTTGCTCAATATCATTTATTTCGTATGATAAATGCTGCAATAGCCTTGTACACAAAACAGATTAAAAATACTTGACCTACATTTATTTCGAAAAAAAGTTTCCGATTACGTTAAATTAATGAAACCTAAATAAAACCTTAAAGACCTTCTAATCTGGCCTAACTGGTCCTCCTTAGTCTGTATGTCATACTTGTACGTTATATTTCATTCTCATTTAGCAAGAAAGGTATATCCAAGGTTTAAATGTGTGCAACACAGCGTACAGCATTTATGGAATCCGCGTCCCTTGCAAGAAATTCATAAGTAGCTTTTTGAAGTGTAATAAAAAGAAAGAAACATTTATATTTTCATATTAGATGAAATCTACTAAGGAAATCGCCAGGTAATCATGTTATTTTTATCATTACTGTTCTATTTGTTTAATTTACTATCGTAAGCTAGTGCAAGTGGCCAAACTAGAGAGATTACTGTTTACTAACGAACCATGATGACCACGATCTCAAATGTTTACTAAATACTCGATAAAACAATTTGTTTACTGTGATCTGTTAAAAATTTAAATAACAGTAGTTAAAAGCTTAATTGTGCTTACGTAATGTACTGTACAGTGTGGATCATAGCTAAGATCATGCAGGATTTTTACACTTTTTTATTACCTATGTGGCTATCGCTAGGGTTACCTTTTACAATACTGTACATCGTACTTATTAATTGTATATCATATAGTTACCGTACTTGAAATACTATATCGATACGAAATTACAGGAGTAAAATTTATAAAATTTCCTGTAGTTTGCTATTATTACATTATTTAGCAAAAGAAAAAGGTAAACTATGGGCTCTGCTGAAGTAATACGAAAAATCGAGATATTATTTTTTTAATACAGTAAACAATTTAATTTAATTTAACTTACAGCACTGTGTGGTGTAGGCGGTTTTCAATTAGGAACTATAATACCTCAATTACTGTTTCTACAACCAATTATGGTCATCTCACATTCACCTAAGGGAATAATATCTTAACTCTCATCTGCAGACAGTTGGGGCTGGTTAGAAAGAGATCCCGAGTTACATCGTCTGAAGATCCTTGTAAAAAACGTTCAAGAAATATATGTGAGTATTTCCATATAAATTGATATATATTTTCTCAGATACATTTCTTTGCTAGAGATACATTAAAAATCTGAGGAAGTCTTCTAACGGGTAACATTGCAATATTCTCTTCCAGGTCAAAAATTTTCTTATGTGATCATAATAGATTTCGAAGCTACTTGTTGGAAAGATAACTCTTCAAGATATAGTAGCGAAATCAGTAATACGATATGACGTTATTTAGAGAATAAATCAATAGAGGTAGATGAATAGGAACTACGTATTGTTCAGTAATAAATAAGATGCCATTCTAATTCATTCTTTAGTTGAATTCCCGGCTGTATTGCTAAACGTCTTAACGCAGCAGATAGAAGCTGTTTTTCATCAATATGTCCAGCCGACTATCAACCCAAAACTGAGTGAATTTTGTAAAACTCTAACCGGAATTACTCAGGTAAGAATAATTAATTATAAGCCTTAAAATAAACGATGGACAGTTATGTTTGTCACTTTTACTTAAATTTTTTTATACAATTATACACAATCATGCCCCCAGAAACAAGTAGATGATGGAATACCGCTGGCTACTTGTTTAGTATCCTTTCGTAAGTGGCTGGATGAAATAATAAAAAATAAGAACATACGTCTGTTTAACAAAAATTGCCGCGATGCTGGTCACAAAAACTATTATAACTGTATTTTCGTGACATGGTCAGGTTGTATGATAATTAATTAATGCTTGTAATGTCAACTATTTTATATATTGTGCTATAATTTATCATGCGATATTGCATGAGCTAGTTATGACGTAACTTACGCTCATCTATTGCCAAATCGAAGATTGGGACATCGGTGTATGTCTTTATTATGAATGTAAGAAAAAGCAAATTAAACTACCGACTGAATTTTACCAGTGGATAGATCTGAGAGCTTTATACAAGGTAAATCAATCTTTCTTACATTAAATAAAAGTCAATGTAAACTAAACTTTAAACTATTTAAACAGAGGTTTTATGGTAAGAAGCCGACAGGATTAAATGGCAGTATGGAGAGTGTAGGTTTAAAGTTTATAGGTCGAGAACATTCAGGTATAATATAGAAGTTCTTTGCAGCAGATTACATCGCTTTGTCTGCTAATCCATAAATCGTACCTTAGTAGCTTTATTTATTCTATAGCAATATCTCAGTTTTACATCATGCCACTAGATTAAAAAGGATTGTTTTACTATCAAAGGACTAGATGATTCTAAGAATACAGCAAGATTATGCTCAAAAATGGTCCACGATGGATGCGTATTAGATGTAACCAAGAGGATAGCACTACCTCCAGTTAGTAGGATAATTCTAGACTTAGAAGTGATCCTCCAATGATACTCAATTTTATTATAATGTTATGAAATGCTCTCTAGGAAGAAAAATTTACTTGTTCCGTAGCTAATCGCAATCTAGCAAATGCCACAACTGTATTGTCTAATACGAGTGCAGCTTCGATAGCATCGACTTCAATGGCTGCTACTGGCATGATAGGTCAAAAAGATATTAATTCCGGTGATAAAATGCTGAAACAAAGAATGAATGCACTATCGTACAAAGTGAATGAGTACCAGGACACTAGCTCCAAGTATAAAAATTTAACGAGAATAAACGATAAAAGTGATCACAGTAACAATTTTTGCATACGCGAAAAATCTAAAACATCTTTTAGCAGCTATTCTGTTCTAAATGAAAACATGGTAAAGCCAAATCGACATATACATTCAACGAAAGATGTAAGCACTCCTTATAAAAGTCTCATTTCTCCAATAACTGCATTTAATAACGGTCAGAATAGTCCCAATCTGAATCTGGGCCTATACGAAGAGCCTCTTTGCAATACCATTAGGGATCGGAAAACAGCTAACAATAATGAGAGTTCACCTGGTAATTTATCAACGTCAGTAAACCTTATCAAGCCTGAAATAAACATACCAGTTGCCGCTGATAATTCCGCAACATTTGGTAACCCATGTACGGTTTCTACCCAGAAATCTTCATTCCAGTACTGTAATAGTGCTCGAGATTTAGTAAATAGTGGCGCAAGAGAAGCTAAAATTAATACTTTCCCAGTCCCTTTCAGATGTCTAAATATTGATGATCTCAATAAAATCAAAAATCATGCCTCTGGTGAAGGCCATACCTCAGGAAAGGAAAACATATCATGTAATACCGGTACTACTACACCCGAGGCCCCAAGTACAGTGAATTCGCCTGCTAACAAAGCTTTTACACCCATTACGACTCTAAAAGCAGACGCCAATAATTACAACTGTCAATACAAACGTACACCTCCTCTGTGTTGCTGTGGTAAGAGAGCTCGTCGATATTTCGTCGGTTCACCCGGACCAAATGAGGGTCGTACATTCTATACGTGTGCCACGAAGGCGTGTAATCCAATGCTAGACACAAACTATATGAAAACTGTAACAGCTAAACGTAAGATTTACGCAGGCTGTAGCTACTTCCTCTGGGAAGATAAATTGTAAATAACCAAGATTATATTTACGAACAAGAATTGCGGTACCATAGGTTATCGTTGTACTATTAGGGCAAAATAATCGAAAATTTTATCACCATAATAACAGTTTTGCTCAACACTTAACAAATTACTATTTATGACTTATTAGCAAATACACCCGCTCAAAGAACGGAATTCTGACATAAATCATGATCGTTTCATATATATACATATTTACTAAGTAATCATGGGAATACTCCTACTTTTACAAGTTGCCATAATAATAATCAATCGAAAATATTTCTGTGAGATAAAAATAAATATACTTCTTCAACATTTTACGCACTGTCTTGTTACTGGTATCGGTACTTCAGGATAAAGAACGTTCTTTGTGACATTAGCTCTTTTGTCTAGATTTGACGCAATATGAGTGTGCTTTACATCATAGATTACTAAATTTCAGTGCTTTCATTACCAGCTTTCGATAACGCAATGTGTAATATGCCGTGGGGAAAGCTATCTTCGTTAAGAGTGAGTCTTCCTTAAAAGTCTGATGGTTAGATTTATTGGCCTCATAGTAGAATAAAGGCAATTAGAATATTGCAACCTTGAAAATTATTATTTAATCCGCATGGAGATGGTACATACCCATTCTATACGATTTAATTCGGATGTAAAATTATGAATGAATCTCTTCGTTAATCGATTAGAATAAGATTCTTAAAAAAATTCATAAAGTCAAATAACTTCAAAAGAAATAATATCGTCCTTATTACAATTATCAGTAGTCTATATTCATAACCAGCGTAAACTCTACCCTAAAAATTGCATTGGAAAGTATGCATAACAGTAGGTATTATTTTGTCGGATGAGATTAAATATTTGTTTTGTATGTCCTATTATAAGGTTGTATCAAAAGTTGTATTAGCAAATATGGAAATAATCTATATTTCTACAACTATCATTAGAATAATTTACAGTTTCTATCATGTATATAGTGCGAAGTGACGGTGATGTAAAATAAAATATGCAAGTACGTACAGTACGCGAAGTATAATGAGTCTAGGTTCTACTAGTATTTACGATTGCTCCAAGAAGCATGCATCACTACGAACCGTAAAGGTAGAAATTTCTGCAGGTTGCAACCAGTGTTGCCGCAACACACCGTAAGCTGTATGTTAAAAAAGTCTTATATGATGCAATAAAAAACAGTAACTTGAAAGTAAACTATCTTATTACATAAGCTATATTTTTACGTGAAAAAATTATATCTGTCTTTTTTATAATGTCAACGGTTAATTGCTGAATTAAAATTTACTCTATTGGAAAAATTCACCATAAGTTAGCATTCGTATATAGGATTATAATTATAAATCGTTAATGTAATTGGTATGAGTATACTGAGAAAATTCTTTGAATGATTTAAAATTACAATTTTATTATCAATACATATTGAAAGCAAAATAATAGCATATGCATCCTTAATTTACGAGTATCAAGAAAAGTGCGGTTAAAAATCTATTGATAATTAATTTACCAAGGGAATGAATCTTTTAACGGATATCGGCTATTAAATAACCTAACCATGTAGTTTACTGTATAATTGCGGTTATTGACAGGATGTATTTTACCAAGGTTCTACACTCGCAGTACAGTAAATATTACCTACAATTTTTCGGTTAGAAGCGCGAGTATTCGTTACAGGACACTATAGCACGCATCATATAACGATAAACTATAAATTTATCAGAATCTGCACGCCCAATATCCATACAAAACACAAATTCTTGCCTCTTGAATCATAATCACGTAAAACGTAGCTTGTTAGACCTATCGTTATGCTACAATAACATTTATTTAATTTTTTAAGTACTTCGTTGCAATTAGTGCTGCGAATCACATGCTTTGAGTTAAAATAACTCTTGCAAGATTGCCTCACATCCATCAAAAGCCTAAAGGCCGAGTAGTTGCAATTCCTTCTTGTTGACTAATTTGACTTGCAATTTGCGAATACGAAGAAAAGTTTCTCAGATTCCTCTTCCCTATTACGGATCCAAGATTTCTTTCAGTTCTATCGCTAGCCTAAGACATTCATTATTAATTTAAAATTCAGTTTTGAATCATCTAGAATTAAATATTAAAGGGCATTTTAACGCCGGGCAACAATATAACGAGTAAGTTTATCTTAATGGATGCTCGTGATTCTATATATATATATATTAATTAGTAATAGCTTTATGACCTGGTAAGCTGAACAAGAATAAATCCAATAAATGCTAGGGTTATCACAAGCAGTCAATGAGACTGGATTTAGATACTTCAAATTTTACATGAAGAATCATGCATGAGTGGTGCTATGCCGTTTGCCACTACTACCGTTAGTTAAAATCTCATGAGTAAATTCAATAATATCGATTCGATTAGCTTCCCAGAACGATAGTCATACAGAAATTTACTAGCAGGCAATACAATAAAATTTATTTAACTGGCTGGCATTTACTACACCTGAATTTTCATTCATACTTATTGTACTGTATAAAATATAAACTACTTCGAAGCTATTACAACTATGTGATATCTCTATTGCAATTTGCAACCGTGTAAGTTTGATAAATAGCAGCCCTCAATTTTTCTATTTCTCTAATCACGTTTCGAAAGCATCAAACCGATGAAGCCCTTAAAGGGCAAGTACTATACTGCCGATGTCAGATAAAACGTTCCAATTACAGTACTATATGAACATAAATACAATAGGAGAAACGAGTGATACTAAAGCTTCCAATATAAATATACGTTTTATCATGTTATCATCTACAAGTTACAGAAATAGAATATAATTTATCTTTACATTATTGTACCTATCTTTCTAAACTTTTATGATTGTTATCTCACACGGTAAATCTAAAGTACGGTAATGTTCTCACCATAGAAAGGTATAATTTGCTTAAAACGAATTATAACAGTAATACGTAAGTGGCTGATCGATCGAGAAATTTTCAGACAACTGTGTGAGGAGAAAAGTATGATATGCACAGTAACTCCACTACCGACTTTCTTCGTTAAAAATACGCGTACTTTAAAGTAGGAATTTCGTCACTTCTAATCATGTCAGAGTTTTCCGCATCTTTATGAGGGGCCTCGTTTACCATCATAGCTGTTTAGAGTTCAGACCCGATAGGAAATTGAATGTACAAATCATGGTAAAATGCTTCATTCATGATAAGTGAACATAGCAACGGTAATTTACTGATAGTGCTGCAAGATCTATAAATAATTGATTAATATTTGTTATAGTACAATAGCCCAGCTACAGAACCCACTATGCTACAATAGAATTGATTGAACCGGCATTTAATTGACCAAGTGATATATAACATATTGTATACTTTAACTCCTTCAGACAACGACCGTAAATTTAAATGTCATTTTCTATATACTTAGGCTGAGATACGTAGACGTAACTAAGAACGTGTGCATCGAACTCTATAATACAGAATGGCATTAATCTATTTCAGGGAGCTAATTTATCGAATCACGATCAATGTCCATATACACCTTACAGTATCTAATTTTGGTATTATACGCGTATATTACTTGACGTATACTCATTAGCCTATCGTAAATACTTCTACTTGCTTTCTTAATCTGTACCTCGTCAATAAAAGTAGTTGCCAGGAGCTGCTCATGTTCAGCAGTAGGTAGATTCTCCTTGATAGCTTTTGTAGCTCGAGCTAGGACTGCAGCCATAGTATATACATCGATGCTTGCATCGGCAAGGCGGGTTAACAAAAACTGTTCATCGACTATTTGTTTCCCATATTTAAGTAATAATTTTTCCACAGTTACACCAAATTCCTCTATTCGCTGCGTAATCTTGCTAGCAGAATCACGTAACTGAGGAGCAGCATTTTCAATAAGTTCTTCATTGTTAGATATACCAATAAACTGTCTAGACCTTTTAATTCCTTGGTCCCACAGGGTTCCAAAATTAGATATTGGTTCCTTCATCGCTTTTTGAAGTTCTTTTAAGTGATTGCCAGCATATTGAACTCCATTCAGGGCTATGAACAAACGCAAAATATCATTTGTACCTTCAAAGATTCGAAATATTCTTAAATCTCGCATAAATCGTTCAATGTTCGCTTCCCTCATGTAACCTATACCTCCCAAGATTTGCAGGCATTCATCACAAGTATTCCAACCTGATTCAGACCCTAACACCTTGCTAATAGCAGCTTCTACCTGATATTCTTTTATGCCTCTATCCATGTTATTACTTACAGCATAAGCAACAGATTCAACAGCATAATGAGTTATTGCCATCTTAGCAATCTTTTCTTGTATGGATTGGTATTCAATTAATTTTCTCCGAAATTGTACTCGATTATTTGCGTGTTCAATAGACTTAGCAATCAACATTCTAATTAAGCCGGACATGCCAGCTCCCATCCCAAATCGGCCATTGTTGAGTATGTTCATAGCAACTTTAAACCCATCGCCAACCTTTCCAAGTACATTCTCTACAGGAACTTTAACATTATCAAAATAGACAGACGCAGTATTGGAGGATCTTATGCCCATTTTTTTCTCAGGCGGTCCATTAGTAACGCCACCAAAATCTCTTTCTACTATAAACGCTGTCACTCTCTGTGATACTTTCTCAGAATCACTTGATTGAAAAGGAACTTGAGCAAAAACCGTCATAACATCTGCAAGACCACCGTTGCTAATCCAAATTTTATTTCCATTTAAAATATAATGTTTACCATCGCTATCAAGAACTGCTTTGGTTTGGATCGAATTTGCATCAGAACCTGACGACGGCTCCGTTAAGCAAAAGGCAGCAAGCTTATCACCTGAAACAAGGCTTGGTAAATATTTTTCTTTTTGCTTTTCGTTACCATAGAGTAGTATTCCTTTGTATCCAATAGACTGATGAGCCCCCATGAATATTCCAATTGATAAATCGTAAGTTGCAATTATTTCACAGAGTCGCCCGTACTGTGTATTTTTAAGCTCCATACCACCGTACTTTTGCGGTACCTGCAGACCCATTCCACCAAGCTCTTTCAAACCATCGATCGATTTTTGTGATATTGCTTCATCCAAATCGCTTTGAGCAGGGTCATGAACTTCGCGAAAAAACTTCTCGAAGGGATCTATCATCAATTTGATAGTTTCCTTCGATTCCTCGTCTAGGGCATCTGGGAAAGGAAATAATTGCTGGGAATGAATTCTTCCGCCGAAACTGCCCAATGCAAAGGATGCATCCGGACCATCTATTGGTAGATTGCTAGTACTCGTTTCAAGATTGCGATGTGGTATCGCCAACCTCGACTGACGAATTGGGAACGCATTTAAGTTCCTGAAGAATCGTTTATATACTGTTGCTGATTTAACAGTCGATCTCAGCATGGTGATCTGAAAGTGCGTTTCTTGTTTTTGCTTTAAACGTCTGACCTCTATCATCAAAGTAGCACATTGCTGACGTATGCTGTACCGAACCTTTACCATGTGTACTGTACCGTACGGTACTGACCATGGACTCCTAGGGAGACTCCCATAGAGATACTGAAAGTTCATTAACAATACTTCTGTTCCAGTACCGTACAGTACAGTACAGTACTTGGCGGTTCGAAAACAGTACGCTGTAAGGTCCAGTATCGTGCGTACTGAACAGTACAGTACTGTACTGTACTGTACAGTACACTCAGTCAAAGTATGTACTGTACTGTACTTCTACAGCAGTACCAGGGACTTCTAATAAGAGAAGTTAGTCTGCAGTACTGTACTGTACATACATTTAGTATGCCATCGACGCGAGTCATCGATCAAAATCAATCAAGTCGAAGAACGCAAAATAGCAAAAATGAGCGAGCCTTACAATGTTTCTGAAACTAGTGACACCTTACCAGTCTCCAATTATGATTTAATCCGACAACAACAGCAAGCAATAAAAGGTTATATCTCCCTTTTACTGAATAACTATCAATTTTGGGGGATAATCTTAGCAATTTCCTTACCATTCGTAGACTACTGTACATACTCGTATTTACGCAAAGCACAGCTTTGAATCTCCGATGCTGCATTTTACAGTATATTCTGCACGATGCTTTATCGTTAATTACATAAGTAAAGTACTATACTGTACAAATTATATGTAATATCTATGGTTTTTCCTTCTTATTTACTTGTTAGTGATGTAAATAATTATTTATTCTACTTCGTGTCTTAACTTAAAAGAACAAGATGAGGGCCTGGAGACGTTATCTTCCGTCATTGCCCGTCAAAAAGAAATGGGTCTTGCGATTCATGGCGAAGTCACTGATCAAAACGGTATGCGTAAAGGATCTGATTTCGTATTTTTATTTTCATATTCGTATCGTAACTATAACGATAGATTACGCATCATCCAATTTTATGTACTCAACCTCACTCTTTCGTAAGAATCTCATTCGAATTACCCTTATGTAGAGTTTCTAATGTTGAAGGTCTTTCCCAAATACACTGCCAAACTGTAAATTTTTCATTTTCTAGCCTTGATTGACGACATCGACGATTTAACTGCGCACACTACGAACAGGATAAGGAAGGAGACACATGGCCTAGATATTATAAGACGAAAATCATCTACCTGTGGTGAGTCTGTTTGTTAGACTAAAACCTACGCACACGCCCAGTATAGTACTAAAATGCAAGGCATGCCAAAAAAATCAAAAATATCAATAATACTGTACATTCGACATGTAATTACTGCTCTATTACTACCGGACTACTGACGTTATACGACATACGTACATACTGACTAATAAAATGATTCATGTCTAACTTTCCATCTGACATATCTCTAACACTTTTCTCAATATATATTTTCATCTAGGTTTGTATGTGATAATCGTTGTTCTGTTACTGGTTATAATTGTTATCGCGTCCGTTCCTGCAATTTACCAGTAATCAATAAGACCAATTAGTAGGATATACTCGTATGAGTATACAATGATTTACCGCTGCGTCACCTAGTAATAAGATATCTTCAGGTATAGCAAACACTACCCACGTAGCATTCATTGATGATCTTTATAATATTTCGTTCAGGATCTCATACAGTATATACGCGTATATTATACACCTCATGACTCATGAAGCTATTTGCATTGGATTGTCTTCTGAAAGATATTGTGATATATGTCATGCTTGTGCGATCACTCGGTAAACTTCTGTTTTTGATTGAAATATACCAAGGATTTTTTTAAAAGTAATATGGAACATTAAATCTTTACTGTACATAGAATTTCTATAAAATTATTTAGTATAATATTATTTAATAAAGGTATTTAATTTGTTAATAAGCTTTAAGAAGTTATATACAGAAATTTTAGAACGACATCTCAAGACTGCTATCTCAACTGTAATTATATCCAGTGATTTCCTCTATTAAACAAACAGCGTAGTAGTTTGTATTTATCGTACTAAACATAAACGCAATATAAACTTACAAAGTATCAATGATGCTTAATGATTTTGATGTGTTTCATTAATTATGAGATTAAGAAATGACTTGCTGTATGTCAAAAGTATTTACATTAGATGACTGTATTTTGACCTTTGAGATATTAACTTCAATATACTGATTATTTAAGAAAACATATAATACTCATAATATCAATACGATTCGATATCGCAAGCCGAATAAAAAGATACAAATAATAACGGATAAATTCAAGAAAGATTTTATTGTCTACCGTTTTATATATTCTATAATTATGGTCTAGGGAAAATACGATAATACCCATACCTATATATACAGTACAATCGAAGATCACAAACAGAATCAAAAGATATTAACGATATCACGTAAATCTATGAGAGATTTATTATCTACTTTTCTATGAGTTCTACAGTATAATTATGACTACAGTCAGGGTAAATAATATTTTACGGTTGCAATAAGATAATCGCTATCAAGTTTCCCATTAAATACTATATCACCGCCGCCTGATATTATTAACTTGCATTATATAATTATCACTACTCGTATAGATAATAAGCTTACGCAGCAGACTAAGAGAAAGAATCAGATTAAAGGGTTATGGTAACAATTTAGATAAAGAGAAAAGCAGGATTTGATCTGCAAGAATCTACAAGTCAATGTCCATATATGAGAAAGTATATGCACAATGTACACATAGCTAAGCCGTGGCATTACTAAGGCGTATCAATAACATTTAGCATCTCAACAACAGAAGTTAATTTTTCTCGAGGCTTGTTTTTCATCCTCCCAAGGTATTTTTCGTGAGCATCAATTTTATTCCAGTCTTCAAAAGTTACATACCTTACTCCTGAAATTCAAGAAAATGCAAAACGTGCATCTAAGTAATGATATTGACTAAAGCGATACACGCTTATATGATCTCGGATAAACTTATTTCGAAATATAATCTTTCAATCTTTTGATGTTAAGACCAACCTTTTTGATCTAAATACTTTGCAATTTCTTCAAATCCAAAACAAGAGCTGGTAGGCAAATTATCTATAATAAACACGATGCCATTTGCAAATGTTTAGTTCAAAGAATAATAGATGAATACATTTGCGATATGATGCATGTCCCATATAGAAGCTAAGAAAGTGATATTATGTAAGCCAATTGAGTGTTTCTCTATTTCTGCATTAAAAGAAAACTGCAATCGTATGTAATTAAATAATAAGTTACAGTAATGGTAGTACATTAATAAGTCATACAAAAGCCTTTTATAATTACAAGGCAATAAATTAACCATGTGTCGCTGAATTACATAACTAATTAGCATACTAGGGACTTACAGAGATTCGAAACGAATCTTACATTTCTCCATATAATAAAGATGATAACAATAAATGAAATAAATAAATAAAATAATATTAAGATAATCGATATGGAATAGATCATTAACAATTTGTTTACAATTTCGATGCACTGATAACTGCATTGACCGTCGGATATCTTAAAATCACACAGCAAGGCCGTAAATTCGAAGGTCTTTAAAGCCATGAGCAAACGTCAGCGTAAAGAAAATTTATGATGGGCTAAACCTATGATATCTTTCCGGTAGTCATTGTACCTTGCTTCATGTCTTCCGAAATCATTTCAGCAGTCTCAAAAGCGTCCTTCATAGTACTAGCAATTACTCCAATAGGGCCACGCTTAACCCATCCACTACAGTAAAGTCCTTCATAATTAGAAATGCTCCATAATTATTATATGATAGATTTTATACTATTTTCAAGTCTATGTTTTATCTACTACAAAACCAATGTAAAAAATAGCCATATAATAAACGAGAATGCAAAAATTGAATCTATTCGTATCAGACTAGAAAATATATCATTCTACTAACTAACTGACACTTAATGTTATAAACAGTGATTACGCACGCACCTTTAACGAATTGGTCCTGTTTAGTTAGACTACCTATATAATGTATACAGATATTTGACATTAAAATGATAATAACAAGACACATCATATCTTCAAAATGTAGCCCAATTACTTTTGCTAACAACGCGCCCTTTTACATTAGGTATTATTCCTGTGACCGCATCGAACGGAACATTTTCGTCTATAGCGATGCTCTTATAGCCAATACTCGAAATAACCTACAATTGAAATTATACAGGAACTGTAAGATTATACCTACTATAGAAAAGACTAAAATCACAGCCTACCAAACCACAAGCAAGGTCTTCAAATTTTCCTGATCCGACTGCTCGGACGGCTTCAGAAGTTTTCTATATTTTAAGAGTACATTCATGATATGACTGACCAATTATGCAAGACCCTAGAATGCTATTACTGTTAACAAACCTCTAATTTATTTATTTCCATCCGAATCCCACTAACTCTTCTGCAATTCGGCGATGATAGCACTTCCGTAGGACTTCTATTGAATTTCATGTGCCAGTGCTGTGAACCAGTTTGTTGACATAATTCAGCTGTTTTTTCAGAGCTACATATAGTAATATGCGCAAATGATATCTTATAGCAAAGAATCACTACTTCTATCATAAATCTCTTTTAAGTTAATAGGAAATTCGTTTGTTTTCGAACGTACAGAGCTGTTTTCATCATTAATTCAGTTAACCTTCTACGAGGCCTTGCTAGATCTAGGTCAGCACAAAAGCAAAGTATTACTGAATGAAGAGGTAGAACCTCAACAATGTATAAATATTTTACTAGCTAAACTTTACCTGGAATAATGCTATTTAGATCAGTAAATACATTTTTATCTAAGTGCCCATGACAATTTGGTAGCTTTGTTAACTCTCTAAATTCTTTGATGGTGAACGCAGTCTTTCATCGAATGCACAACGTAGAGGATTGAAAATCAGGAATACATTAACATGAAGACAAACGCATTATAATACTTTATTACTATAAATCATGAGTATATATCTCTCTTACAAACCTGTAACGGTCCTCTACGTCCGATGATATATACATTTCTTATCTTACTATTTATTAACGTCTCTAGAGCAGCTCCAGATATATCCGTTTTCTTCAATAATATCCATTAAAATTTAATCACAAAATGAAAAATTGAAATAACGCACGTTAGATATCTATCAATATGAATATGAGTATGTTTGTATGCATATGTTTGTATACCTCCAATACAGCTACCGGAGACAGTAACATCCTCGCGACATCTAACGCAACATTTCCGTGTCCAAATATTACTACATTCTCGCAACTTAGGTCAGGTTTCAACTGTAGTCATAAAATATTAAATATATGAGCGCTACTGCAGTTACTATAAATTCCACATTATTAAATACATTTATGAAGAATGAATCAAGGATCTCGCTAGCAGTATTACAAAAGTCTACATTAGTACGTACGCCAGCCATACTCGGTATTCCATTGTACCAGCCAACAAATTCCCGGGCGGCATAGCAACCAGAAATATCCTTGATAAACATAATTATAAGATACTGACATCCTTACAAACTATTTAGTAATTCCTTTTGTTACGATTATCATGAATTCATGATATTTAGTAATATCAATCTTCAGAAATGACAGTACCTCTCCCGGTATGCCCAGTTTGCGATTATTTTCAGCTCCGTATGCCTAAAATACATGAATTAGAAAACAGAACTACTCTAAGCATACATAAGCCTGGGTGGTCACGCAATAATCAAGATCATCACAGATAGCACATTCGCGTTTAACCGCAGGGTTTTTCCATCAAGTATCTGAAGATTTTTGATATTGTTTACACGCAGTACAGCCATTAGCAATGAAAGTGTAGAACACTGTATAGTACCACAGACTATGGTGCAGTATATTTCAGTGCTTTATTTGGCAAATTGTGATAATAGTGTAAAACAACTGGTACAATTTAGTTATTATAAGGTTACTAATTTTTAAAAGTGATCAATAATCATAATATAATTAGAGCTGTCGCCTACGAGACGTAGCATCAACTGACAGTACTTTTATCTCGGCATAGACTACCGGTATTTATTTAGTAGTCCATGATCTCCATTACTCCACAGTATAGTAAGAGAACCAGTCCAAAACGCAATACCAATTAACTGTCTGGAAACAACGCATAAAAATGAAATCTTGTTGCGATTTTTTGTGACTGTGATTGTTCTAGTTTACTATTAGAGGTAAATTAAATATAATATTAACTTTTTAGTCGATTATATATGATTAATTATAACAATAATCGAATCTCACTACATAACGTACTGCACCTGTGATTACGCAGCAATATCAGCAATTTAAAACATACAATACTGCAGTAACTGATTGTGAAATAGTATTCGAGCTATATTTGCTCAATATTAGCAAATCAGACGTCCATAGTGAATTTATGCAGGATATAAATCGATACATACGTGAAAGAAAGACCACTTTCTGCATAATAATGTACTGATATACTGTCATAATACCTTAGCATAAGGCTTTTTAAGCTAAAACTAAGACCTAGTAATGGCAAATTAAATAATTACCAGTACGACTCCATTGTAAGCTGATCTTAGCTGCTCAACAGAAATATCCTTTCCAACGTTAACGTTTCCGTAAAAACGGCATCGACGTGTTTGCATCAGACTAGTAAAGCCATTTATGCAGTTCTATTTAAGAAATTCATTCTATTAATTGTTTTCCAGAAAAATACATTTAATTTTATATAAAACCGATATTTTGGTATTAAATAATTTCTTAAATAATTTCTTAATAGCATAAATATGGGTAAAAAGATCTACAGTACACACTCCAGAAATAAGAACATGATTACATTTTGCCATGTACGATATATGCGAGTAATCATTGTACGAAATATACGTCGTAAATATGTCTACTGTTTATACGTATACGAATTCATACTGTACAAGTACCTTAAATAGGTCTGCAAGTGAACTGCAACCGAATCACACTAATGTTATTACGCTACAGTATTCAGATCAAGGTAGTAAAAATTTTATTTTTAACAATCGAATTCCATAGATGCAGCTTTAACTTTTTCGAATACCGCCGTTCTAATCTGTCATTATAACAGGGCTACTAAAAAATTTTTTTAACTGTATTCGCGTTTTTCGTATTTACCATTTACCTTGACTTCAGGATGATCAGGAGCTACGCCGTATCGAACAAGCCCAAATGGTACAGGCAATCGCTCAAAAATATCGATTTCAGCTCCGCTTCTCTATTTAAGATGTGTCCATAGCATCGAAAAACAAAGTATAGTCGATCGTGATTTACTGAACAGCTGTAGCTTAAAGTGCAATACAGTTAAATCTGACGTCGAACAGGTAGGTGTAAATTCAGTGAGTAGATTACACAACTACGCGTGCTACTGTATTGCATTATTAAAAATAAAATGATTTAGACACTTAATTGGACATATTTACAGTACAGTATTATTCGACAATACTGTATGTACGCAAATGTACACGTATATTATTCATCTGCTGTATAATCCACGCGCTCGGTATTGATCTCAGAAACCAACCTTCAGTAATTCCTGAGCAGTATAGAATGCGCCCGGTCCGCTGCCAACAACGCAGATCTTATATGTACGGCTGAAATTGCTGAACCGGTGAGTTCTTTTATTGAGATTATTAACATATCTCCCAAGCATATTTGGTAAACTCGTCATTTCTTTATTCAATACCCGAATGAATGACAATATTATTATTATCTTTAACAACGAGCCTGTCAACCTACTGAAGCAACCTGTATCAGGGACTTCTAGCACTTCAGCATCTTCTTATGGAAAGTTCTGTCTGGCTGTCTATTGACATATACAGTACAGTACACTCAGTACAGTACAACTACTGTAAATGTACTGTACTGTACAGTACTGTAAATACCATAATAAATAAATAATACTACCGTCAGGGGAATAAAACCATTAGTCCTGAAGTTCCTGCTACTGTACTGTACAGTGTACACTGTACAGTACGTGTGTACGGAAAGACTTATAGTACAGTACCGTATGAGACACTTTGTAGGTACTGTACTGTACTGTACAGTATACAGTATTAACGGCTACACAAATATACAGTACAGTACTGTACAACTGCTACTGCATGTACTGTACAGTACAGTACTCATTTTACTGTACTACTGTACAGTATTGTACTGTACTATACACTGTACTGTACAGTACAGTATAGCACAGTACAAACTGCAGTGGCTCAAAAGGGACAACACGTCAACACCACAGTAGTGTATTGTAACCCCACTAGATCCGAGTTCAATTCACTACACCACAGTGAATTGTAAATAAGGTTTTATCTATTGACAGGTCTTCATGGCCTGGTCTGTTAAAATGGGAACTACAGTAGACTCTTCAGATTTTTACCGCTGAAACGTCTCAAACGATGGCATTTACTTACTAGAACTTATATATATATATACTCCGGAATCCGGAGTACAAAGTTTCAGCTAATTTAATTAAGATTTTGGCTGTACTCTGAAACATCAATTAAAAATCGATCTGGTCTAAGTCCAGGTATTCTTCTAGTACAGTAGTCCATAGTAATAGTTGTGTACAGTTTAGAGTCTACTACGTGATGAAAAGCCATGAAAAGTCCTATTATACTGTACTGTACCATTCTACACTGAGTGTACTCAATGTACAGAGTGCACCGCCGTAGCATGGACTAGACATCAAAGGGCAAAGTTGCATGACTTGTACCGTACAGTAGCAATCTGCCATTGCGCATGAAATATTACTGCGCACACTCATAACGATTTGTCCATGATCTTCAGCCAATGATTACTAATTACCGTAGTCACGTGAAAACGTCGCGCCCGATATCAGTTCCGTTCGGTCTGTACCCACTCCCTATGTTGACGTGGTTTTTTTCGTCTTTGTTGTGTTTTTAACTCAACTGTGGCCATCAAATTTTATTTCATGGTGATTGACTAACTAAAACAGAAAACTACGATTGGACAAGTAACAAATTTCGTCATGGATGGATTAAAGCAACAAATTATGATCAACCAATTTATTATGGCGACTGGATGTTCCGCTGAGCAAGCTATGCAAATCTTACAGGCATCGCATTGGGAATATGAGGTACGGTAGAAGTCGGGCAACGGTCCGTAGAAGTAATACTATCAACACTAACTTTTTCTGTTATTTTTAAATTAAGTCTTGTGAATGTGCGTGTACTCATGTATCTACTATTTTGTACAGTGTATATCTCTTCACGTATCCCTTTTACCACTTTACTCTAGTATTAGCTAGTTTTTTTATACTTCGAATTTGAGCGTAGTACTGTACGTATGTATACTTCTGTATCCACTTTGCAAACCCTTGTACGCACTGATGTTGTTTACTGAAACTTGCCACGCGTTTTCTAGTCTTTTCGTTCAATTAAATGATTTCTTTGCGTATATATTATAGTCATCATTTAATAAAATGTTATGTTCTCGATAAACTTTAGATCGCTCTTAGCGTGTTTTTCCAAGAAGCCGGAATACCGTGTAACAACTCGGTTAGTAATATATCGCCTATGATTCATAAACATATGGTATCGATCATCCTATATGTTTCAGTACAGTACAGATTGTTTATAAACAAGATACTGGCATTGCTGTAGTGTATTGTTAATGGCTTGTTATTGGTATCGCACTTATATTAGTCTTTGTAAAATGTCGTTTTTATACTGTAAGTAGAAGAGACCCAACTGTTCCAATAGTTTATGAATAGTTTATGCGTGATTGCTCTTTGATATCGATCGTTGGATTATTATTAATGACTTGTAGGTATCACACTTAACCTTGTAAAAAAATGTGGTTTCTTTTACATGTAGAAATAATGATTCTGGTCTAGTCTAGCAGTCCGTATGATTGCTTTTCTCAACTTTACTGTATATATATATATACAAGGGCAGATCATGAATCCACGCATTCACGATAAACTTACCCAATAGGCCAGTACCATAGATTATTAAATTTGAAAATTTAGTAATCTAGGCCTTACTGTCATTGACAAGATACGCACATTTCGATCGTAAAAAGCGAGTCAATATGATTAGTGAACATTTTACAGTACGCAAACGCTTGGCTCCATCGAAGTAGATTTTTAGCCACTCTAACTACGATACAGATACAGAGCCACATTCAGTTGTTTGGCAGCACATTAAATGATGTACAGTATACAGATACTTAATCCAAGTTAATAAATTATATATCTATATTTTCGTGATAGATACGCAAGTTTTTAGGCAATTTACAAAGATGTATGACCTTTAGAATTCTTATACTGTATACTATTTAGTATTTACAGTATCTGTATTTACGTTAGTCAATACCAATCAATATCATGATGGTGGTACTCTTTGCAAAATTTTTAGGTCTGTGCACCAACGAATACCCCAGCTACACCTCCGAATTTTCCAGACGCTTTAGCGGCATTTTCGAAACTTCAAGCATCTGATACTTCACCGTCTCAAAGTTTATGCTCAAGCTTACAGGGCTGATACGTTGAGAGTAGAGTTTAACTGGCGCGGAAATAACTAGCGCTATAAGAAAAGTTCCTAGGATCTGCACTTGCTATCCTAATACAGTACTAGATGTATGATTCCCGTAGGCTGAAAGTAAGCCACTTTAATTCGCGTACAGTATCAATATATCGATATTTCGTATCATAATCTGCTGTGACCTAAGTTGTTCTCCTGTAAAATTAGTTTTCACATGAACTTAGTGTTGCCTTTTTTGTTCGGAAACGTAAGATAATTTTGTCCCTGTTATTATATGCTACAGTATACAAACTACTGTAAACACGTATAACCTCTAATTAGCCTCGCTTCTTATCATTATATCAAGGGATTCTTCAGTAACTATATGCTTACTCAGGTATTTTTTAATTTTCAGAAAAGGTTCTCTTCTTTTACAGTACGATTTATTACCTATTAACGTAATATAAAAAGTTCTAATCGGTAATTGCCATTCTGTACAATACTTCGATAGGCAAATCATACCCATAATTAACAACTTATGGTTACGCACGATATACTGCACAAGTTATTTCTCTACTTAGATAATTACTAGCATTCAGCTTTCATTTGGACCCTTGTCTGTAATAATCAATACTAATTGTGAGCCCTCATTCCTGTGAGGGCATATTCTACGTATTCATGTTATGTAAATACTATCCTTTAGAAGAAGTACCGGACACTTATTGCGTCTTGAAAGTACCAGTTGTTTTCGTATGCGGCTGCGTTAATAGGCTTTTACGAGCATCACGTAGCCTTACCAATTTTCTGTTGGTATTAACCGTAAGATAATCGAAACAGGAGAAAGTTCTCGTGAGAATTGTGTCGATGTAATTTCTCAAAATTCACAAACAGTAATTCACTTGTACTAAGTACGGTTGATCTCGCTTCAAAGAATTACTTGTGCTAGCACCCTGATATAGTAAGGGATAAAAATGTCAAAAAAAAAATAAAAAGAAAAAACTGGAGAAGAATATATATATTATCTGCTTTGCTTTCTAACGTGCACTTCCCTTGAACACGGAATTGGTAATAACAAGTATCGTTTTAATCCACAGGACAGTATGTGTAAACTGAAAATGTTTTACGCAAATTTCACGAATTTACTTCAAATGATTACATTCGTATACTCTACTGTACTGTACAGTACTGTGCTACAGTACCAAACTACAATAAAGAATGACCTTGGTTTAGGTTAAACATCTAGCTTTTGCGCATGACCTTTAAATGTTCAGTTGCGACCTGATCACAAAGTTAAAGCGAAAGATTGAGACGTTTCATACCATACTAGTCCAAACTCCCGTCGCTTTGCTGACGGTTTACGATAATGTACCCATTTATTAATAATAATTAACAGATAGTATTACCATTCGACATTATACGTATCCCGGTAATAGCCGGGTACTACTATATTTCAAACAGATTGATTTAATGTACGTACTGATCGTGCATTTCCACATTATTCACTTCGCTTTCGCCTATCAGATCGCTGACTAACTGACATTAGAAACACTTTTTGTTATATGATATATAGTAATCAAAAAATAACCGGGACAGGGGAACTACAGTAGGGTAACACTACGAAATGCATGAGAGCAATAGAACTCATAGTACCTACTAATGTGTATCAATCACTTATACCTTCTCAATAATATTTACAGAAACCCTAGAGATCATTCATTTATATACCAATTCAAATTTCCTTAAGTAACTTTCGTATTAGTATGTTTACCGAATAAGCATGGTTACTATATACAGTATTAATGCTATGTTAAGATTGGTAAGCGAAACTGTCAAATATACGTTTATGCTCAATTTGTTAATAAAATTAATAGATAGTATTATCATTCGATATTATATATATCCCGGTAATAGTAATGTACTATGCTATATTAAGATTACTTAATAATCCAAAGCGCATTATGATAACTAATGTACGGTGATGGACATACCAAGTTAAGATTAGCAGGTACTGGTACAATGCCCTTAGTACTGTGGTAAATTCTATACCAATCATTATAATGTGTCTAAGGATCGCTTGCGTATGCAAGCAAAGCTTGCCCTGTCGATAACAACCGTTATAAGAAAAATGTAACAATCAAAATGGCTGAGTAGAAAACTCTATAACGAT